ATACAAAAGGGAGAGAGCTTAGGTTGTGACAACCACCACAATCCACCCAGCATCTTTTAATCCCTTCCAACTGAAGCAAATCAGATCAAAGCAATTGCTTTTAAAGAGATCATCTTAAAAGGTACTGACAATTTAGAATGTGCAGCTTTACTTACATTCCATTAGTTCAGCGGACAAATGCTGGAGACTATCCTAAAGTCTTAAGTGAGGCATGGAATACCTTTCAAGATGAATTCTGGATTGCTTCTTCAGATACTTTCTGCAAGGCCACATTATCTCAGTGGATAAGACTAGGACTCTTGCATCTGAAAGCCCATTGTCAGATATAATCTGGCACAGGAAAAAAAGCCTAGGTTTCAAATCCAGAGGCTCATGGCCCCTTTCTAGCCCTATTCTTATAGACTAATTATAAATGTCTACCAAATTTTCAATAAAGACAGTTAATTATCCATAAATATTGCTGTCATTTTTCCTGTTTATGAATGGATGGAATACAGTATAAATATATATGTTTCACAGAGCGGAACAAGAAAGGGACAACAGTATCAACCAAAGGCAGTGTCAAACCAAAGCCCTGATCAAGCAATTTATGGCTGTCATTGCACCATTCAGCAAAGCTGTCTGGTTCTGGATGCAAATAAGGCTTTGCTAAACCCTAAAGAGCATGGTATCCTTTGCCCCCAGCTGATTCCATAAAAGAAAAAAATATTGTTTTTTTTTTTCAAATTCAATTTTAATGACTTCATGGAGTAAATTATGTAGTTTTCTTAATAAAATTATGGAAGCAGTTTGACATGTTTGGGCATGTCTTTAATTCCACAGTCCTATTCTTTTATAGATTACAGTATTGACAAGATGCAAAGTGAAGTATTTCTTTCAAATAGTAAGCAACAACAAAGGTCTGAAGATTCAAATCCGGGGGGATTTTCCCCCCTTTTAATTTTAAGTCTCCCAGAGTTGTGGGGAACCAGGTGGCCTATAAATTGTATAACTAAATTCTAAATACCAACCACAATCAATAGATGCCTAATCAAATGCCCCAAATTCCAAACTATTTCAAGAAACTATCATGTCTAATAAGAGGTAATATTATATTTCTAATATAAATCTTAAGATTCTTGTGAGAGCCATCCTGAGGATAATTCAGGTTATGAGATGAAGCAAACAGAACAGGAAGTACCATCAAAATGACTCATCTTAAAGTGCATAAACTTTCCTGAAGTGGATCCTCCTCACTGATACACCTAATAATGATATCAATTACAGGACAATTTTAAATACCCTTTTGGTTATGTTTCTATCCTGAAAGACCTAACCACTTTCATCTAGGGCCATGATGGCAAATCTATGGCACACGTGCCACAGCACCCTCTCTATGGGCGTGCGTGTTGTTGCCCCAATTCAGCTCTGTCGCACATGCACGCATGCCTCCCACCGAGCTGGTCATTGGGTCTCTGCCACACATATGGGGGGGGGGGCATGAGTACATGCGCAGGGAGGGGGGCACGTCACTTAACAACTGGGTTACTAATTTAACAACTGCAGCGATTCACTTAATAAATGTGGCAAAAAAAGTCATCAAATGGGACAAATTCACTTAACAAATTTCTCACTTAAGAGCATAAATTTTGGGCTCAATTGTGGTTGTATGTTGAGGACTACCTATATATGTAATTGAGACCAATGTATGACTTAGTCAGAGACAGTTAGCTTGTGGTATATGAACTAAGAACATAAATATGTCAAATATGACATGACATAAATATGAGCCCTGGTGGCGCAGATTAAAGCACTGTTATTAACATCAGCTGCCTGCAATTACTGCAAGTTCAAATCTCACCAGGCTCAAGGTTGACTCAGCCTTCCATCCTTTCAAAGGTAGGTAAAATGAGGACCCAGATTGTGGGGGCAATAAGCTGACTTTGTATAAAATATATACAAAAATATGAAGGCTATTGCTTAACACATTGTAAGCCGCCCTGAGTCCCCGGAGAAGGGCGGCATATAAATCAAAAAAACAAAAACAAAAAACAGTGAACTGTTCTTTCTTTTGCATCTCACTTGCAGCATTTAACTGCAATATGTGATGCCTCTATTTATTTTACTATTTATTCTTCACATATACATTTTCAGAATACATATATATATATATGTTTTTCCATTTGTTTAGAAGGGTATTTTGGGGGGTAAAATACTTCCAGAATGTTAACTATCTCTCTTGGGAGTTGTGGCAAGAAAAGTCCTAAAATGTGTGTGGGAGGGAGGAGACCTCACTTAACAAATTTCTCACTCAACAACTTAAATTTTGGGGTCAGTAGTGGTCCTAAAATGAGGATTACCTGCACGGGCTGGGACTGATGGGAGTTGGGAGTCCAGCAATCTGAAATACTACAGGTCCGGGCTATGCCTTTCATCTCTCTGTACTATCAGCAGCAGCCTCCCTGCCTCTTCCTACAAGACTTTGACCAGGCAACGCCTTGCCTCTTTCCCTCATCCAGAGGCGGTTGCCGTCCCTTTTTTTTCTCCCCACCCCACCCCACACGCCTGCTTCGCTCGGTAGCGTAGGGTGGGGAGAGAGGGAGCAGAGAAGCCGCGCCTTATTCCTCCTCGGCGTCTTCAAAGGAACAACGAGCAGCCGAGGCCGCGGGACCAACCGACAGGGCAGCCCAGCCCCCACGCGCCACTAACGGGAGCCCGCGTGCCGCATTCCTTCCTTCCCTCCCTCCCTCCCTCCCGCGGCCGAGGGTAGGCACGCGGCGTAACTAACCTACCTGTGAGGTAGTCCTAAAGGTGCTTCCCGTCTCCCCACCCCTCCCCGCCAGAGGCAACTAACTGGGCTTCCTGGGTTGTTGTTTTTCCCCTTTGAAGACGTTTCGCTTCTCCTCCAAGAAGCTTCTTCAGCTCAAGAAGAAGCTGAAGAAGCTTCTTGGAGGAGAAGCGAAACGTCTTCAAAGGAAAAACCAGTTACCGTAGTTGCCTCTTGGGAGGAGAGGGAAAGGAGAAAAAAAAAAGAGAGAGAGAGAGAGAGACCTTCGGGACAACCCCGACCTGGATGACTTGAAGAACCTCCGTAGATATAGATATATATATACCTGTGAGGTAATTCGTCCACTTGTACAGGACGCCTTCCATCATTCAGAAGAGCCGCCGCACCTGGCGCACCATCCTGCACGCCCGCCTCCTCCTCCTCCTCCTCCTTCGAGAGCGGCGGCGGCGAGGCCGGCCCTCCTCGCCCCCCGCAGCCTTCCAAGGCACCGGCGGCGGCGGTGACAGCAGAGCAGCAGCGGGAGGAGGCGGAATCTGCGATGGGCATGGAGGGCTGGAGAGGCTTAGCTCAAAAGGCAGCCTCCTCCGCCGCCGTCGCCGCCTTTGGGACCCAAGGCTGCTGTGAGAGACGCGGCTGCCCAAGCGGGTTTGAAGTCACTCATTGCCCGTCTCTGAGGAAACAAAACAATGAACGACGTCTCTGCCCGGGGCTCGGCGGCTCGCCTGCCTCCTCGGTCGGTCCGCTTGCTTGCCTTCGCCTTCCCCTTTCCCTCCCCCTTTCCCGGGCCTGTGCGTTTGATGCCATCGACCCTGACGTCTCATTTACTTCCTGGATGCAAGAAGAAGAAGAGGTTGCTGGTAGAGGGGGGAAAAAAAATAGACCCTACACGCATGCTCGCATCGTTGCGGAACTCCGGAGACTACCGTCGCCTTCCATTTCCAACTCTTCCCCTCCAGGGACGAGGAGGGGAGATTCTGTACGACATCATACACTCGAGCTTCCCGCTCGGGAAGTGCATTTGTTTCTTTTTGCTACCTACTTCGTCTTTTCCTGGAGGAACATTGCCCAGCATCACTATGGGATATAAATCTTGCTACTTCCAGCCCGGGCTGGATAGCACATCGATTTTAGTGTGCCGATGTTATAATATATGCTAATATGTTGAGCTAATTCCTCAAAAGTAGACTGTTTCTTTTCTTTGCCAGTCGCACAAAATGACAAATGATGGCAAAACGATGGCCATCCAAAATGGTTTGTCCTTGGTGTTGGCCGAGTCATTAAAGGTTTGGATATTGCAATGATGAATATGTACCTTGGAGCAGGGGTCTCCAACCTTGGCAACTTTAAGCCTGGAAGACTTCAACTTCCAGAATTCCCCAGCCAGCTTTGCTGGCTGGGGAATTCTGGGAGTTGAAGTCCTCCAGGCTTAAAGTTGCCAAGGTTGGAGACCCCTGCCTTGGAATGTCTATGGAGATGAGATTCTCAATCATCGAGGTCATGGTTGTCTCGAAGGTGCTTTTTCCAAGAGGCAACTGGGCATTCTGGTTTTTTCTTGGAAGACGTTTCGCTTCTCATCTAAGAAGCATCTCAGCTTCTTCAGAGCTGAAGCTTAATGGATGAGAAGCGAAACGTCTTCCAAGAAAAACCAGAAAGCCCAGTTGCCTCTGCACCTTTGGGACATGTGTCCTGGAGGGAAACGAAAAGTGATTATTCCTCTTTCCCTTGCCTATGGGGAACAGTGCTATGGTAAAATGACTAAATATGAACATCCTTTAGTTTTATTGCATAATTTGGCAATAAATAAAACGTGCCTGCTCACCTTGTGATACAAATGAAGCCATTCAAGAAAATATTAGGGGTGGGTGGGGAGAGAGAAGGTTTAAGAGGCAACTCTCCCAAGGTATGACCGGTGCTTCACCTTTCACCGCCTCCGCGGAAAATCGCACCCACGAGGCAGCAAGAGACTACAACCCTGCTCATCCTATCCATGTCTAATAACCACCCTCGCTCGCTTTAAATGGACGAGAAAACGCAGCAAGAAATGCAAAGTCAACGCCCTCAAAAATCCAGCAACTGTACACTTTCTCTACTCTAGAAAAAGGAGACGGGGAAGGGGGGGGGGGGCAAAGAAACAGGCGCAAGGCACAGCTACGCCTTTTACGTAACCGCCGGAACAGGGCAAAACAGTTAAGCGGCCTTGCGTAGAGGGAGCATCTTTGGCCACGCCCCTCTCGGCTCCCGTGACGTCGAACAATGCTACTGTAGTGCCACGCAGCCAGAGGACGAATTTTGCAAGTATGGCTTTCCGCGCGGGACTCTACTTTGTCTTGCAGGCGTTTGCTCTCCTCCTTCTTCCGTCCTACGGGCAGAAGGCAGAGGGTCCCCCTGCAGAAGATGTCCAGATAGAAATCGTGCACGTCCCCGAAGTCTGCGAGCCCAAGAGCAAAAAGGGCGATCTACTCAATGCCCATTACGACGGTTTCGTAGGTAGTAATAAGACCAAGTTTTATTGCAGGTAAGTTTGTGGCGGTGCATTCTCTTTTGAAACTCTTGCCTCCCTCAGCTCACTTTAGATAAGATGCCGCTTTGGCTGATCTTCTGGCAGTGTCAGTTTGTTTACTCAGCTGTATACATGTACTGGAAGGCAGTTGTAGTAATATTTAGTTAAGCTGCTTTCCAAGGGTTTATGCCCCAAGTACTGCAGCCTCAAGTGGTAACAGATCCTTTCTTGATCAATGGAAGATGCAGATGTTCTCAGCATACTTTGATTAAAAAAAACCCTGTATTGCTCTGTATGCATATCCTTTATATCACCTAACAATCTTCCCTAAACATAATTAATTACATTACCTATTAGAAACATCTGTAAACAAATGTACAAGCCCAGGGAGCACTAAAAACTCGATTGAGTTGTGTACTATATATGCCAAAAGATTGAATTCAGATACAAATGGCCCTGCTGCCAACTCTCTTGACTTAATGTGGTGATTCAGTGATAGATTGCTCAATCCTTAGATCAAGAATAGTTTGGTTTTCAACTAGAGTCACTGGCAGATGCTTGCCCTCGATTACAAAAAGCATGAACTTACTAGATAGCTCCCTAACAACTATCTTGTGCTTTTGATACACTTTAAGCAGGCTGGCGAAGCTACTGGTGGACCCTTCCTAAAGTATCTTATTTTCTGGACATTTTCTTCATGTGACCTCAGTAGTACCTCGCTGCCATTTTTTAAGCTGGTTTTTAATAATTAAGGCACTATCTGTAGTCATAGCCAGGCCAAGTTTACATTAAGTGTAAAATACTAACAGAATTATGAGTATGTAAGTGAAATAAGAAAGCCTCTTGCATTCTTTGGGTCCACATACAAAAAATATCAGTGCTGATGTTATGCTAATATGTTGAGCTAATTCCTTAAAGTATACTCTTTCTGTTTTTTGCAGTCGCACACACAATGATGGCCATCCAAAATGGTTTGTCCTTGGTGTTGGCCAAGTCATTAAAGGCTTAGACATTGCAATGATGAATATGTGTCCTGGAGAGAAACGAAAAGTGATTATTCCTCCTTCACTTGGCTATGGAGAACAAGGCTATGGTAAAATATGACTAAATATGAATATCTTTTCTTTTTATTGCATAATTTGGCATCCAGTGAAGAGCATTATTGAGATGCCAGAGCATATCACTTTTACGTATCAGTAACACAACTTTTCCTTTTTTTTTTCATCAGCAATTTTTTCTGTAAATGTCACTTATCCATCAGCAATTATGGAGTGATAGTGACACTGAGGAATTGCTGCTTACTCTCAGGTTCTTTGCATTGTCATTTTAACAGTTATATATATTATTTAGTAATATTGTTATTGGTTGCAAGATGTAAAATGTACAAGCCCCAGAATGCAATATATTTTCACAGAAAGAGACAAAGGACCTGGCAGCCTAAAATAAAACGAGGGGAGAAAGAAAGGAAGATAACTGTCCTTAGGGCACATTTTCTTCTAAATTTAATGAAACCAGAGGGGAGAGGCCCCTGAGATTAAGACTCTCTTAAAGCCAGTAATAACTTGATTGTCACTTCAACGTGATCCATCAAGAGGTATTATATAAGAACACATGAGCACTGTTGGAAACTAATGATTCTTTTTTCAGACAGCAAATGAAGAAAGTATCTTTCTTCCCAACCTACAACCTGCTTGTTCTCTATCAGAGCATACTCCTGCATGCTGGGCAAAGATGACCTAGTTAAGAATGTCAAGAATGCATGTGGCTTTTTGCTTCTTTCCAGGGTATTCCTGTGGTATGTATTGCTCTTGGACTTGCTAGTGACCGAATTCTTTTATTAGGCTTTGTTACTAAATCTTGAAATGGAAGGGAGGGGAAATATAAGTAGTCTATGTGGCTGCTGCATGTAGTTTTAAAAAATGACAAAATAATGATCATTGAAATCCCCCCTTTTGTGAAATTATCCTCCCCATCTTCAACTAATACATAGCAGGGCATATATGCATAACTCTTTAAAGGTTTGATTCAACTACCTCAAGTACTTGTGGCTTTAGTAAATATTGGTATATATATTCTTTTTTCATAATTGGCCAACCTGATGTATTGTGGGTAAGGTTCAGATTTGTACAGTGCTCAATGGGCAGCAGTGTAGCTGTGACAGACCTAAATGGCACTCACAGTTTAAGCATCTATACGTTCAGTCTTTAGTGAGATTGTCACAAGATGTGGCTATTTCTAAATACACATGACATTTTTGCCAATCTACATTTATACTTATAGGGAATTGTGTTAGGCTCTGCCTGTTTATTCACAGTGAATTCTTCATATGACTTTTTACTTCAAAATTGTTTGTGATGAAGAATGTATTTTAATTTTTAGTTTTCAGAGCTACATATAGGGGCTCCAGAATAAATTCTCGCATTAAGGAATGTCAAATCTAATCCCTGTGACCCAACTTTTACTCAGTTATATAAGCAACACCTGCTACATTTGAGGCAAAAGTGTTTCCTAGCCCTAGAAAAGGAACCAAGCCATTTTGAATTTAGTCACTTTGAATGAGTTCTCCCTACGAAGAAGAGGACTAGCTCCTTCCTCTACTGACTACTTGCATGTGCATGGCTTGTGAATCACTTTTCCAGACTAATTCTTGAAACTCTCTCCTTCAATAATAACACGTCTTCAGTGTTCAATGTCTTATTTCTGAGAACCTGCTAAATCTTACATATCCATTTTGATGTCCATCTTCCTTTTCTGAGGTCCTTTTGTCTTTCTTTAAATGTTAATGTTTTTTTGCTGAAGCCTTTCTCCCATATTCCTAAAAGTCCACATATTAATAAAAACAGAAGGATGAAGTTAGTTTCTGATCTGCCAGTGCTATTTGGCGCAGACACAGACTTCATGTCATAGTCAAAGCAGTGAGAGCACCACCAAGCATCCAATCCTGCCATTTATTATTTCTCCATTGGCAAAAGGCTTCAGGACAAAGAGTGCACTGGACAATGTTCATTTACATTGTGTCTTTGATGAGGGAGGATTGACTCCCAAGTGGTTCCACAAAGCACTTCCCTTACCACATTGCTAAAGAGCTGTAGATATATGTTGTCTGCGGTTAAAATGATCAGAGATCAGTATGTGCATTTCCTATAACTTTCCTGTTACATTCTTAGAACCAGCAAAGATCCCACCCAATGCAACACTGATCTTTGAAATTGAACTGTATGCAGTAACTAAAGGACCACGGAGTGTTGAAACATTTTCTCAAATAGACCTGGATAGTGACAAAAAGCTTTCAAAGGAGGAGGTATGAAGAATAATATTCTAAGTCACTTCATTAAAGCATTTCATTTGTTTTACAGAATCAATTTATGACGTATTGTGGAATAAATGTATGAACCACTCTCTTTTTATAATCACTTTTTCTAATTAAAAAAAATGTTTTTCTTTTCTTAGAAAGGGATGCCTGGATCATCACTAGTTCAATTAATTTGTTCACTTTTGATGTCTGTTCTAATAGATAAAGAGTACAAAATGCTAATTCTCATCAGTCCTCCCAAGGTTGCTTGAATTCAGTGTTGCTTTAAAGTTGGGTGGACATACCAGTTCCCAACAATTATTAGTCATGATGACAAGTGTTGATCAAATCAGAATTCAACAATTTATCGAAGGTCACATATTGTTCATCTCTATCTTAAATCCCCTATCTAGGACTCAGGTTCATCTCCAATACTCTCTGACGTTAGCCATTCTTTGGGGAATAGAGAAATAAGCTGTTTGCTTCTTGAATTGTGCTCCCCAACAGTGTCCCTTTCAGATGAGGAGACCTATAACCTACTCTTACCAGAGAGGAAAGACAATGTGGGAAGATAGTGAGCATAGAAACAATAAGTATACAGATAAATCTCTGATTTATGACTGGTCGCTTAATGACCATCCAAAATTACAATGGCTGGAACAGGTGCTTTATGATCCATAAAGCACTCTATGATCCATAAAGCACTCCTAAATATCAGCTAACTCTTGCAACTGGTTACACAGTCCCACAATCTCCTGACTGAAATTTGCCACTTTTTACAGATTTCAGTCAGATACACCAAATCAGAAGAATGGGTTCGCACTTACAACTGTGGCATTTTCTTAATAACCATGGATTCACTCAATGACTGGTGATTCACTTAATGACTCTGCAAATTGTTGTAAAATCGGATCCGGTTACGTGAATATCTCAACTTAACAACCAACAATTTAACTCCAATCCCAATTGCAGTAATAAGTCAAGGACTACCTACATTGTTGCATTTATGGTAGAACACAAGCAAATCTCTTTCTATCTCTGTCTTGTTCAACATTGCCAGAAAATACAATCAGACCATTGAATCCCTCTCTCAGATGAGTTAGTTTACCTGAGACTTTTTACTTTCCTAGTAGAAGATTCTGTTTCGCTTCCTCCAGTGACATTTCTTGGATTTATCCCTCATGAAAAACAAGCAGTTTGGAAAAATCCTCCTCGATTGTAAATTGCTGGTGGTTTGTACTAATGATGGCTGCCAGCAAAATGAATCCCTCTGGAAGAACAGATTCTACCAGAATCAACCACTTGCTCTAGCCCTGCTGTGTTTCCTAAAAATATTTTCCAGAGGATTAAAGGTGCATGTGTGAAGTCAGCAAGTAAAAATTTTGTTTTGTGAGTAAGAGTCTGTTTTGGGGCCATAGAGGGAAACTTCATATATTTTAGAATATTATAATGCTTGTCTTTTTACAGTATGTAGTATTTTAATTTTCAGTAGTTGATTGTCAGCGTATTGGGGTTCATATGCAAGAGGCTTATTTATGCTGCCCATCTTGCTATTTAAAGCAACTCTGGGTGGCTTACAACAGAATAAAAATAGAAATATAAAAGCAATCATAAATATAAGAGCAAGTTGAAATTATTGTTGTTTTTTTAATTCCTTTAGATAAATCATTATTTGAAGAAAGAATTCGAAAGAGATGGCAAAAAACGGGATTCTTCTGTTCAAAATGATGTTTTGGTAGATATATTTAAAAAGAATGACCATGATGGTGATGGCTTCATATCTGCCAAAGAATACAATGTCTACCAGCATGATGAACTATAAAAACTTATTATTCAAATGTCTACTTGTTGCTTTATGGACTTTAATGATCTTGCAGTTTTCATGGACCATGGGAGTTCTGCAGCCATCAAAACTGGATGACTTCGCTGTACTCACTCTTCTTCCTAAACAAGTCTTGGTAGATGTATTCAAAGGAATTTAAAGCTGTGGCTTGGATTTGGTGAATCAAATACACATCATGCACAAAGGTATAATGAAGCAACTCCATTGGTTTCACTGGGATTTATCCACAGCAAAATATAACTGCATTTTAAAATCTTTTTTGTGTTACATACCAGTTTATGTACATTCACTAGAATAATTTTTATACTTTTGTATTGAGATTAAAATTGGTTTCAATTATGGTCCTATAAACTGCAACAAAAATAAAATCTGAAAAGGGTATAATTGGTATGCTTCCTCAACTAAAGAGAAGATTCATAAAATATGCAAGAATTTCTAGGATGTAAATCTTCAGAGCTAACATTCCTCAATGGCAAATATTTCCAAATCTAAGCATTTGCTATGACATTTTTAGAGTTTTTAAAAAATTAAGATTTTAACTCAAAAGTGTACATATCATCATGTAGATCAAAGGAAATCCAAGAAAACAAATTTTGGAAAGCAGTTTTATTAAATTATTCTGATATTTATTTTTATAACTAGAAAACTTACTTTTAAAAACATAGATGCAAATAAGAGACTTTGTGGTTCTGTCTTTTACATGTTTGCAGTCAAAATTCATAGAGCTTGATGGCACAATCAAACCTAGTTCAGATACAGAATTGGACCCAGAATAAGTTAGTTGCATTTAAATTCCACTGAAATCAAGATGAAAAGATAGCTGTGACTTAGCTAATTCCATTGGTTTTACAGGGAACAAAGTACAATTAACTTTGGAGCCAGCCCTTAAACATTTATCAGAAATCTACTTCATTCTTTTGTGCCAGAGATCAAAACAAGGCACGGCATGAAGTCTCACAAACTTTTGTCCATTAAAAGAACATTCAAGACAACCATAAACTGTTTCCCTTCTGGAACTCCCCATACCGCATAAAGAACAACGACCTTTAGGAATGTGGTTATTAAGCAAATTCACTCGTACATGGGCTCCTTCTCGGAAATAGTTTGTTGAAATGTCTGTCATGCTTGCTGTTTTTTCATAATAATCCGCAAAAAGATCATCTAAATAATTATCAGAGTGGACAATGATATCCATCACCCTTTTATCTGTAAGAAAGCAGACATACACAAGAAATATTACGAAATTCAAGTGGCACATTATATGGGTTACACAGTAAAATAGCTGCAAAACACATTTCAATTTAGAAACCGCATTAATTATTATGTAATCTGTCATAGTATTCCACCCTAGCCGTTAATATTATAATTTTAACTGCTTAATAGGATGCCATTATGACATCTCACTCAAACATAATCAGTAATTTTTACTTTCTTTTCTTTCTATCTCATATGAACACATACATGGGAATAAATATATATATATCGGTATGTGTCACTTAAACATTTTACAATAAACAAGAATTTGTGCATAAAGAGTGAAGGAGGGTTCATTCTGTTCTATTAATACTTAACATAAACATACAGTAACAAACTTGCCAACCCTTTACAGAATGGGAAATATGAAAAGAAGAGTTGTATCATATTGAACCTTCACATCTCAAAGCAGCTAACTGTACTCTGACCGATATTTTAACTGGGGATTTTATATATTTTATTATCCTTCCTCAGGCCAGGGATTGAGTATATGTAAAATTTCTTCAGTGATTATATCCTTTTAATCTAGATCAGAGAACTGATTGCAGGAATTTCGGAATAGCTGGATTACAGTACGTTAGACTTTAAATATCATAATATAGCTATAACATTTCATTGCTGAACTTTGAAAGGTATCTCCCTAATATGGAATTTAACATGAAGCAAACTCAATTATGTTAATTAAAATATATGCACTATGCTTATTTTGAAATCCAATTTTTTAACAGTAGTTTTAAAAAACTATTTTCACTGCTCTTTAAGGCTGATAACATCTTTAAATTAATCAAAGAAATGTAAATAAATATTAAACATCATACTTCGATGAAACAGATTTTTCCTTAATTTAGTTAGTGAAAATGATCTTGATGGTTCTTTTTCAAATCCTCCTTTTGATTCTGGAGCAACACAAAGTTCTGGGAGAAAAAGTATTTGAAACTGTTATTCAAATGCAGCAAAAAAATGAGAATAAAAACATTTCATTTGTTTTATAACCAAAGTATTACAGATAAGGTAAAAGTACTGAATTATTAGGAAATGATACAATATCTATAGGAAGAGTGATTCAGCAATGGACATTTGGACTTGGAAGCAGATTTCTTTGCTAGACTAGATACCCCAAGGGGTTTTCTAATAATTTATAAGTGAAGTCTGATAAACTTACATGATAATGAATAAAAATCTACATTATTTTGAATACAGTGCAGATATTGTGTCCCATCCTTTCTTTTCACCCCTTTTGATCTTTTCATTTTAAACCAGTGTTTCTCAACTTTGGCAGCTTGAAGATGTATGGACTTCAATTCCCAGAATTCCTCAACCATCATACTGGCTGAGAAATCTATTAAGGTGAAGTCCACACATGTTCAAGCTACCACTGTAGACAAATAATGTTTTAAGCAATTCAACAATTCTCTCCCTAGATTCCAGACAAAGCTGCTGGAATAAAAAACATGTACTGAAGATAAAATAATGGCAATCATTTTTTAAATTATTTTAGGTAGCTTCGAATTGAGAGAAAGGGGACAGTACAATTGACTCCAGCGTGCAGATTTCTCCCCTCCCCAATGTACAGGAAATTGTTTTGCTGTGTGTGACACCATGTGTTTTTTTCCTTTTAGACTGTTGAATTTGTCTGAGTTGCATACAAGGAAAATAAAAACTTATCTTTTTAGCCCTTAATACTATGCTAAAAACAATAGATAAAGAATCCCAGAGGAAACCAGACACAAGAATTTTTTTTAAACGTAGAGAATTAAATGTATCCAGCCACAAAAGAAAATTATACAAAAATCTCTTAAGCATCAGATTTTACAGGTATCTCAACTTGAACATTCCAGCTTGATAACATGATTTCCTATTGCTACCTGCTAACAGTAACTAAGTAGTGGCTGCAACGTAATGTCCCTTGTTTATTCCACCCACACTGTACTTATTTGCTTTTTGGTGTGGCTTCGGAAGGACGCAGAATATGCAGAAAGAACAACTAATTCAATTCCTCGTTGTTGGTAGATAGTAGTAACTGGAGAAGTGTGATGTTTTTCAGCCAGAGTACAGATTCAGTTAGAAGTGCAACCATCAGTCTGATATATCAGAGCACTACTTAATACCCCATTAGTTAAGTAACCGTTAGATAACTATTGAACTGGGCCGCAACAGATAAGTAGCAAACATGGAGTTTTCATATGAATATTACATGAATGTTGCTCAACCTGGACTCAAACTTTTCAGTAGCACTTCTTTTAGGTTAATTACCTTAATTTATATGTTGTTTTATTTTTATCAGTTTTACTGGCTGTAAACTGTCTAGCCCAGAGATTACTAGACAACTACTACTACTAGTAGTAGTAGTAGTAGTAGTACTACTACTACTACTACTAAGAATACTGTCTTACTACTTGACAGTATTACAGTCTCTATCATGCTTCTAATAAAATGAAACTGGCATTTTTTTTTGAATGAAATGTTATTAGCTCTTCTCTGTTTTGCAATTCATTCTCTATTGCTGTTTCCCAAACAGCTTTCTTGCCATTATGCCAAACTCCAGCTGAAAAAAAAATACAGAGGATGAGGAATAAGCAATGATAAGATGAATAGAAGGAATAGAAATATTTACTTTCCCTCACCTATGTACCCTTTTTATATAAAAGTCAATTCTTTATTTCATAAAAACAAGAAACTTAGTTGCCTCCAACTAAACTGAAATTACTGATAAATGCTTCTGCATGTCATATTGCAGCTATGGAACCATGCAAAATAAGCTTGTCAGGTTGTATCTTACATTTACATTGTGAAATGAAGAATGGGTGTAAAACAGAATATTCAACTTTAGTCTATGAAAAAGAATAACCTGGATCATACTAGCAATCAAGAGTGCAGGCCAAATGTTACTTACCAAAATTACCATCCAGGCGAATATAAAGCTCAAATATGCTAAATGCAATTGTTGTATGTGCAGGAAAGACAATTGCTTTGTCACATCCTTTGTAATTATGTTCATCGATAATATGAAACTAATGGGAAAAGAAACATACATACTGCATTAATATTTCTCAAAATGACAGCATCCGAATAATACACTGCAATATAAGTTCTAGAAAGCAAAGTATATTTTCCAGTAAAACTCTTTTTCAAGTGAAATAGAATCATCGTTGTCACTATCACCTAAAATTCTAATGAACCAAGGACAAATGACAAATAATCCAATGAATATAGCATGATTAAAATGTCTGGAGCACAAATTAGGCAAACCTGATCAGCTGTTTGTACTCAGATTGAACCCTAGTAATCCCTGGGCTCAATTTCAATTGCAAATTTATGGCACATTCATGGGCACAACTCAAAGAAGCACTTGCTTAAGGAATAGGTCAGAAAAAGAAGTGACAAAAGACTCCTTGAAGGCAAGGGAATCCCATGCCTGCATCAAAATCTTCAAAGCATATAAATGAATTTCAATGATTCATTTCACTGGATAAATTTGCATTGATTTCAAAGTCTGCAGATCTTTGATCTAAGTGGATTAACAGGCAAGCAAGACATTTTTTGTGTATATAGATCAGAGGTGGGGAACTATGGCCCCTTTATGACTTGTAGACTTCAACTTCCGGAATTCCTGAGCCATCATGGATGACTCAGAAATGCTGCGAAGTTCACAAAAGGGCCATAATTCCCTACCCCTAATATAGATCGACTAGATCAACTATAATACACTTTTGGGTAAACAGCAATGTTTCAGCATTCTTATTTCTACTACAAGAACAATTAAATTAAGAGTTAATTTGGGTGGAGTTTTTTCCTGTAAATCTTATTTAAATGATTATTAAAATGTGTAGAAGATGACTTTGTAATAAATCAATACGGAATGATGCATACTTAAAGCAGGGATGCCTTTGGGAGGATGTCAAAAAAAGTGAAGATGCTAGGCCCAACCATGTGATCAAAGCTCTGATCATTTTCACCTGCCTGCAACATGCGCCACACATGTAAAAAAGGGGTGGGACTTAAATCACATGATTGGGATCATCATCTTATTTTGATTCTCCTCATGGACACCTATTTAAAGCCAGAGACAAAGTATTCAATATACGCAAGCGATTTCGATATGCGTGCTCACTTACTCTCATTGTGTCACCTCTCATACCAGCATGAACAGAGAGAGAACACTGTCGAGTTGTTCGAATACTCTCCATTACCACACAGAGAACCGTTCTACTACTCTCTCGTGACTGACGAACAAGGCAGTGTTGGAAATCCACTTTTCTAAAATAACAAAGAAATAATCTTCAGAGTCCTGCATTATTCCTTTTATAATAGCTCAAGTCTCACTTATTAGATTTGGGTAATATTCGTAGTTCTCAAAACTCCTGCAAAGAGTGTAGGCATAAAGTAAGCAAAACCAGCAAGATAATAAAATTTTTTTTATCATACCAACCTACTAGTTAATTCTCTGAGCAACGTTGGTACCTCAACCTCATGCTTAGTTACAATACCGAAAGAAGCCTTCACTGCAAGGGAATCTGACCCAGCAGTACTGACCCCAGAAGAGTTCATGATGTGATTTCCTTGCTTGCCATTAAGGGCTACATCAGATTTGTCTTCATAATTTAGTAATTGATAGGATGAAATACCTAAGGGGAAAGATGGTTTATTGGCATCTTTAAAAACATCATATTCATCTATATTAAGAGACAATAGATTTAAGTGAACAAACAAAACCAATCTTAGAATCTTCAGATGAACTCCAGATTATGTTATCCTATAGAGTAGAGATTACACACAAAATGAAGGTTCCAATATATTTATCTCATTCCTTTTCAGAGCATATAATTTGCAATGGTGCAAAATATTATGTAATTTCTTATGACACAAAAGGTTTTTCACTGTTATCATCCCAAACTGCAAGCAACAACATTCCTTCTCTATAGAATCAAATAAGATTTCGTAATGTGGTAAATTAAAATGTTTGTACATAAATCACAGAATGGGTACAGAGATAAAAACATTTTGGATGCCATCCAGACCAGGGGTGGGTTCTACTTACCTTTACTACCAGTTTGCAACGGGGCTGCATGCACTTGCTTGCTTTGCTCGCACGCGTGCGCGCTCTTTGTGCACGTTTTGATGATGTCGGGATGGGTGGGCGGAGCTTCCCTCCGGTTTTACTACCGGTTCTATAGAACTGGTCCGAACCAGGGGCAACCCACCACTGATCCAGACTCAGCCAAGATATACTTCCTTTTTGCTTTAATTGCAGTGGCATCGAGCCATAAGTAATTTCAGGTGGGCCCTATGGATTATTAAACATTCTCTACAAGATTGTGAGTATGTGTGATCTGAGGTTAACCTTAGATTTTGTCTGTATTTTAGGCTTGGGTTAAACTACCTACAGCCATGATGGTGAACCTATGGCACGCGTGCCACAGGTGGCACGCGGAGCCATATTGGTGGGCACGTGAGCTCAGCTCCCCTAGCGGCCCTCCAGAGGCCAGAAACGGCCCGTTTCCTGACTTCCAGTGAGACCAGAAGGCCAGTTTTTCGCTTTCCCCAGGCTCCAGAGGCTTTCTAGGAGCCTGTGGAGGGCGAAAACAGCCTTCCCCACCCCCCTGGAGGCCCCCCAGAGGCCGAAAATGATCTGTTTGCCAACTTCCGGTCCCACCAGTGGGACCGGAAGGCCGTTTTCCCCCCCCCAGGCTCCTAGAAAGGCTCTGGAGCCTGGGGAAAGCGAAAAACGGGCCTACCGGGCCCACTGTGCCATTGCATGCCAAAAGAGCGTGGTCATGCACACATGCACGGGGGGGACGGGGCGCATAGTGCCCCATGGGTGCGGGCACGCGCACGTGCGACCCACCCCGCACTCCCCCTGCTTTTGGCACATGATGGCAAAAAGGTTAGCCATCAGTGACCTAGAGAGATACCTTGTGAATCCCCTTCGAAATCCATTGCCTGAAAGGTCACAGGTCTGATGTCTGATCATGAGAATACATGCACTGCTAATACTTCTGTTACGACAGCTACAGGTGGGCCTTGAAGTAGCTGTGGGAAGTACACCCCAAAAGGACAGTACCAGAAACCTCACTGCACCAGAAACCTCAGAAAACAGTGCCAAATTTCTTCCAACATAGCCATACTGAGCCTTTGAGAAGATGTGACCCTTTAACATTCTGCATCCTAGGACTTTATGGTTGCTTCACATAGCTGTGCTCTGAATACCTTCCGCTTCTATAATAAATGTTATCAGCAGGATGTCGCTGTAGGAGACCGTGAAGTGTGCTCTCTTCTAGTAGTTGCCTTCTTTACAAAGATATGAAAAATGCATTTCTGGCAAACTAAAAGCATTTCCCTATTGTTTACTTTAAGACCAAATTAAAACTTTGAAAAGCTAGGCTGCTAATATAAAAGGAAGAAATAGTGTTACAGGGAAATAGCACTATATAATATGGCCTAATTAAGGTATGTAAGAAAAGAAATGTCACATTTCACTGGACTTATAATAAAATGTATGAACTTGTATAATTAAATATTAATGGTGCAGTATTAAGGATATCTGTTACAAAGTAAATCCTATCGAATTCAGTTAGGCTTATGTCTAAACAAACATACTAGAGTTCACATTGCAATCAGGTATTATATATTTATCCTATTACAGAGAACAGGTCACACAAAATGAATAAATGTTTTAATAACAAAAAGCAAATTCTTAAAATGTATTCCTGTGTTTTCCAATCCTGTAATGAATGCACTAGCAAAAAACTTTTTAAATAAATTCTTAATATCAAGCTATTTGAATTCTTTTTCCTTATCCCCCACCTCCACAAAAAACTGCTTTGCTTTCTATTTTGTTATTGTTGTTATTGAACAATTATGTATAGTTTTATAAGCTTTGAAGGACTTTACAGAACTTACCTGCAGAAATTTCTTTCTCTCCTTGAAGAATGTCTTTTAGGCTGAATGGTGTTGAGGTAAATTTCGACCTTTTAGAAAGAAACCAGTTTTTCTTTTTGATAACAAGACTGAGAGGTTGATATTTATCAGCTTCACTGAGGCTACGGACAGGAACTAATCTACCTCCGTCACCAACCTGCTTCACAAAACTTTTAGTAGCAGCAGCAAACATATTATACATATACATTTAAAATAAACTCTTGCAATTTCCAAACCATAGAGCCATATTAAAAAGTTAATCAGTACAGGGGGGAAAACTCTACCTTGTCCTAAAGTTGATTATATCTAACTGAAAGGGAACTATTGGCATTATTCTAATCATCCTTTTCCTTTTCGAACTCCTTTTCATTGTCCAGGTAGAGTCAGAATAATTAATAATAAATTAACAAAGTAAACTGATAGGACACAGTTAGAACAATACTCTTCTGTAGTACCATTCTAGCTTCCACACTGCTTTCACACAACATAGAAAATCTGCTATTTTTAACTGCATTTAATTTTTAAAATGATTGTTACTCTAACATATATCATGAATGAGATTTTTTTCCTCTAATCTCTGTGTTTTTTTCTACCATGACACTAATTCAAGCCAAATTTACTTTGGTAGGGATTTTCAGTTTTAATGTGCGTAATTTTGAGATCCCTGTATATCACAGTTCAACTGAGGCATGTCATTTTTAGAATTTTTTATGGAACTCCGGACATTTTCTGTCTGTACCCCCCTCAATTTTTCCCATCCTTTCTTCAATCTTTCTTTCAGATTTAAATATAAGATACACAAAAAATGACCAGCTTCCAAAATTATGTAGTGCTACCCCCAAAAGGGCTGCTGGAGTCTGGGTTCTCCTGACCCTCTTGGTATGGCCGCTGGTCCCTCCCTCCGTCCCTCCCGAAGCCTCCTCTATCCTATCTCCTTCTCCCTCTCAGACTTGCCCCACAGACGCCTCCTCTATCCTACCCCCTTCTCTCCCTCAGGCTTGCCTACAGAAGCTATCCTATCTCCCTATTGCCTTCACTCTCTCTCCCCTTTGAGCCTCTTTTCCTATCCTCTCAGGCCTCCTTTTACCCCAGCCTAGGAAGGATAGGATCCTTTCTATCCTTACCTTCCAGCCTTCCCCCCTCCCACTTCCTTCCTCCTCTCACACTCTGTCTCTCCTCTTTCCACCAAAACCTCCTCCTTTTTTCGCTTCTCCCCCCCCCTACAATTATATCTTGGTTTATTTTTCCATGTTATCCCAAAGGTGCTTTTCCAGTAGGCAACTGGACTTTCTTGTTTTTCTTTGAAAACATTTTGCTTCTCATCCAAGAAGCTTCTTCAGCTCTGACTGGATGGTGGGAAATGGAAGGATTTATATTCCTTGCAGACAGCTGGTCATTTGCATTCTTTTAAAGCAGGGGTGTCAAACTCAAGGCCCATGGGCCAGATCCGGCCCACGATGTGTAGTTAGATCTGGCCTGCGGAGCTTCCCTAGAAACAGCAAAGGAAAGGCCCACAATGCCTCAACCTGGCTCAGGCTGACCGAGTGCTGATTTACAACACGGTGACAGCCATCTGGGCCAGAAAGCAGTCATCCTTAGATCTGCAGCAGCACCCCTGGGCCCACCCCCTGGGCACACAGACAGGAGACAGTGCATGCAGGCTGACTGCATTCTGAATGCCTCCCTTTCACCCAGGATGCCAGCCCCTGCCTGTTCACCACCTCCTATGCGTATGCCCGGGGCCGAGGCAGCTGGGCGGTCCCTCACTGACTCCAGGGCAGCCCTGCAGATCGGATCCAAGGCAGAGTGCAGGAACCAACGCCATCCGTGGCCCATATGTGCTGCTCACTGGCATGCGCAGACCTTACTGTTTGAGTGCAGGAACAAAGCTGTTCTGCCCCAGCTACGGACCCCAAAGAACACAGCACACACAAAGTCTGTACAAACCTTAGTTTACTAATTTAAATCAGTTTTTTCGAACAAAGGTTGTTAAATTAACTTCATTAACAGCCAACAAGAATCCAAAGAATAATAACCGTAATCTTACTGTGGTTGGCAGAATGCCCAGAAGCAATTTGCAGGAAACTGATAAGAGAAACAAGGTCAAGACGCGAAGGAATGTGAACCAAGTTGTTTCCTGCAAATTGCCTGTCGTCATCCTTCCTTAAATAGGCTAGGGGAGTGGCCAATTAGCCCCAAGCCTTACACTCAAGGAGACCTCCTCCTGAGGAGCCACTCCTGCCTTTTGGCAGCTCTGAGCGCTCATGCATCAAGAAGAAGCTCCTCCTCTTGTTCCTCTTCACTTATGGGAGCTTCTGGAGGTTCTGAAGGCCCTGGCTGAATCCCCACCTCTGGCACCACATCTTCTCCAGCCTCCTCATTGTCTGACTTGAGTGCCAGCTGCACAGGCTGCTGGCGCAGCACCACACTAGCTTCCTCACTATCGGAATCAGCTACTAGCTGCACAGACCGCTGACGGGCCACAACAAAAGCCTTCAATTGAGCAAGGAGGCACCGTGGGGCCAGGTCCCTCACACCCGCGTCCAGAAGCTCACCACGCCAAGAGAGGAATGAGGCCCCATTGTCCTGCAGACAATGCCTGCATGCAAATGACACATCTGCGTGCAAATGGGACACTTGAAACTGGAGCTATCTTTGAGGGCAATCCCACTGCTGTTCTTCCACTTTCTTCAGCTCAGATAGAGCCGGGGCACCCAAGCTTTTGGCGGCGGCAGGAGCTACCTGAGCAGCCATGATCCCCCCTCCCTAGCCAGCCAACCCCACCTGACTTACTCCTCACTTGGCCGGCCAGCTGGCATAAAACCTGTACTCAAACAGTAAGGCCGGTGCACATGAACAAGCAGCACACCCAGGCCATGGAGAGTGTTTGTTCCTGAGCCCTTCTGATTCCACGGTGACCCTCCTGGCTCCAACCACAGGGTGGGTTGTTGAAGTAGCTACGTCTGCAGCACATTTTAGCAGGCAGGGAGTGTCCCTGCCAGAGCAGCAGCAAAAAGGAGTTTGGGGGGGCAGGAGCAGGAGACAGGCACCACAAACACTTTTCACGCCAAGAATGAACGTTTCTGGGTCCCTGATTCTCTGTAAAAGAGGATGGGTGCCTGAACTGTGCAATATTATGGCACCCAGAAGTGTCCATTCTCAGCGTGAAAAGCATTTCCAAGCCAACTCTCTTCCTCCCTCAAAGGCAAAGAAACAGCAGCACTGAGATCTTTGCAACGTGAGTCTGGTGTGGCAGGAAGGGAGGGAGAAGCATGAGGTATCTTAGTGTGTCGGGAGGCCTTGAGGGTCAGCTCCATCACTAGGCCCCACCATGGCCTTCCCCATCCTGAGATACCTCATGTGCACTTAACAAAAGGCATATTAGATTAGCATTACCGAATGCGTGTACATTGGTATTCTTGAATTGTGAGCTCTTAGGAAAGTATCCCCTCACTGTGTGTTGCAAACAGCCATTTCCAGTGGGGAAAACAGAACAAAGTGGAGTGGGGGAAAATATTTTCCTTTGCTATATTTCCAGTTTGAATTAGACCATGGCAGGGTTCCTACAGAAGCGCCCTTTTAAGGATTATGTATTAATAGAAAAGCAACTAACTTACCTCTATTCCTAAATGCTAAAGTTCTTGCACACAAAAAAACCCAGAGGAGCTCTGATCAACTATCACAGCCACCATTTTGACAGTTTTGTTGTACTGTTGTCTGTGGACGCCCCCACTAAATGCAAGCATGGGATAAACTGAGCCTGGTTTGTTCTCAGTCTTAAAAGTGGCCACAAACTACTAGCAAAAGGGGCATTTGATCACAAGGCGAGGAATGTTTACCCTTTTGCATTTGAGCATCCAAGAAGGGACAGGAAAGACAAAGAAAAAGAAGGAAAGAGGAGAAGAGAGCAAGGAAGTAAAAAGAAAGAAAGGGGAAGGAGAGAAGGAAGGAGAATGAAGAGGAAAGGAAAAAGAAGAAAAGGCAAAAGGGAGGGAGGGAGGGAGGGAGGAAGGATCCCCCCAGCCCCACCCAGGCCACCACAGGCATCCCCCAACACAAGCAACGTAGAGTTGGCCACACCCATCCTGGCCCCCCAAGGTCAACCACAACCCTAACGTAGCCCTCAATAAAATCGAGTTTGACACCCCTGATTTAGACTAACAAGAGATGTTAATACAGGTAGTCCTTGTCTTCTAACAACTGAACACAAAGTTTCCATTGCTAAGAGAGAGACTTAAGTGAATTTTGCCCCATTTTACCATTTTTCTTGCCACAATTGTAAAGTGAATCACTGCAATTATTATGTTAGTAACTTAGTTGTTAAGTGAATCTGGCTTTCCTGTTGACTTTGCTTGTCAGGTCACAAAAGATGACCACATGACCCCAGAACACGGCAACTGTCATAAATATGAATCAGTTGCCAAGTGTCTGACTTTTGATCACGTGATCATGGGGGGTGCTGCAACAAATTGCTTAACGCATTGTAAGCCACCCTGAGTCTTCGGAGAAGGGCGGCCTATAAATCAAATTAAAAAAAATTAAAAAAAAAGTGTGAACATCAGTCATAAGTCATTTTTTTCAATGTCATTGTAACCGGTCACTAAATGAATCGTTGTAAGTCGAGGACTACTATACCAAACAATACTATACCTTTGCAGTAAGTTACTCTCATCCTCAGCATAACTTATACCACAGAGTTGTTATATAGGCTTTCTCCAGTATGGCTGGAGTTAAGTATGGCTTCCAACTTTCGATATTAATGAGTTACAGTATCAAAAAATTAAACAATTATTGTTTCATTCACCATGGGGGAAACTGGAGCGCCCTGACATTCGAGTTTCATGGGAAGCGGTATTTTTTTTTCCCTCGGGATTTCAAAACGGAAGCAAAACCAACGCCTTATCAAGCGTTACCATTAGTCATTTTTTTTTCTCCTCTTTGCTGCTTCTTAGCACGAGCAACTCGACGTCAGCCATGACAGCGGAATAACAAGGTGCATGGTGGTATTGCAACGCAACCCCTGCTTTTTCGGAGGCAAAGGCCAACGAGACGTCTTCCAAGCCACGGTGAATGGGGCCAAATCACCTAGGCCAAGAGAGAAAGCGACTTTGACAAATGTGGCCTATTATTAACCGTAATTTGGCAGATGCCAATCAAACCGAGCGCGAAAGAGCCGAAAAGCGCCAAGCGCCTTGAACGAAAAGCTTTCCTTTGCTTCGGGCTCCTCCTCGTGTGACTCAACCGGAACCACGTGGGTCCCATTAAGTGGGGCCAGGCAAAAAAGAAGGTGCTCGGGCCAGTGGTGGTGGTGTGGGGAGAGATGGAGGCGCTGGCTGGGGGTAGCATGGCTGCGTCTCTTCCATGCGCGCCTTTGACGCCGGAGGAATTATCCGGACAGCGGAATTCGCCGAGAGCAAAGCCGAAACTCGCCAGGTTAGGCGGCGCGCGGGGCGGGTGGAAGCGCCGCCATAAGCAGAGCGTGGGAGTGGGGGGTGGGGATGCCCGGGAATCTGCGCCGCGAGGAGGGAAGGGGCTGGAGCTTTTGGGGGGAGCGTGTGTGTGGGGTGGGGAGGTGGGGGTTTCTCCCTTTACGGCTGGCACCCTTTCTGGGCCCGGAGCCACAGAGGCTGAGCTGCTTGCATTTACGTGACGCGCCCCCCTCCCCCGGAATAGACGTATCCTTCCGAGGTCGGTAAAGCGAGGACCCAGATTGTTGGGGGCAATAAGGCTGACTCTGTAAATCGCTTAGAGAGGGCTGTGAAGCGGTATATAAGTCTTAAGTGCTATTGCTATTCCACCCCCACCCCCACCGGAGATTTCCGAGAGGATGTGGACCCGACTCGAGATCTTCTGCCGCTGGCAAAGTAGGGAGACTAGAAATGGGGGGGAGGGGGAGAGAAATCGGCGCAGTTTGGAGGCAGAAAAGGAGAGCTTCCCTGTCGAAGGTTCCCGGTTTGAATTGAATTGAATCGAATCGAATCAGAATAAAGCTGGGAAGGGACTTTGGAGGTCTTCTAGTCCAGCCCCCTGCTCAAGCAGGAGATCCTATATTATTTCAGACAAGTGGCTGCCTCAGTCTCTTATTTGGCTCTAAGCAAAGTTGGGAGGGGGGGGAACCCCCAACCCTCCTTGAAAACTTGCAGAGCCCTTGCTTAGGCGTTGAACAGCTCTACGGGTTCCTTCGAGTCCGATTTGTGACTTCATGCAGACGTCCCGCACTGTTTTCGTGGTAACACGACGGAAATGGCTTGTTCTTGCCCATTTTGGGGGATAGCTTTGGCTTCCAAGTCACGTTTAGGCCCTTTAAATTTTCTGGTGGCTTCTGATCCGAGGGACCAACTAAAAATTAATCCTGCCTACTTTTTCAGAATTAACTAAGGATAGCTCGGTAGTGTTAACCTAGCTGAAAGGGTAATGAATTCAGCTGAAATACTTTTGTTAAATTTGCTCCTGGGCTCAATAGAATAGAATGGGAGGGTGGAGAAAAAAGAGAAGAGAGAATAGAAAAGAAGAGAAAGTATTTAGAAAATAGAATATTTGGCCAAGTGTGATTAGACACACAAGGAATTTCTCTGGTGCAGAAACTCTTGTCTAACATGCAAAGTAATAGAGTAGTAAGAATCGTAATAGTATCAATAAGAGGGAGTAATAAAGAAACTAAGAAGGATAATAATAATACAGCCATGCAACATGGGTACTTAGATACTTATTTAGATAGGGCAGTTTTGTGAGTACTGTCCCTGTGTCTAGTTGTATTTGCATCCAATGCTCTGCTGCCTCCCAAGGGGAGAAGTTGAAACAGTTTATGTTCAGGATGTGAGGATCTGTAGATATTCAGCCCTTCTTCTGATCTGAACCATATACAGGTCTTCTATGGAAGGCAGGCTGGTTGCAGTTGTTTTTTCTGCAGTCCTAACTATCCGCTAGACCAGCATTGGTGAAACTTTTCGGCACTGAGTGCCTAAACAGGAGCGTGTGCATGCGTGGAAGCGCCAAAAACCAGAAGAGCAGTTACCCGGTATGCATGTGCGTGCCGTGAAGCTGATCTTCCAGTTTCTGGTCTGCATGTGCATGCCGATCTCCTTGTCTTCCGGTTTCTGGGGCACATATGTGTGCGAAGACTAGCTGGCTGGCACACATGCGTGCACTGGAAACCGAAAGCTCAGCTTCCTGGTGCACGCCAGGGAGCGGCTCTTCCGGTTTCCGGCGCTCCCACACATGTGAAGACCAGCTGGCCAGTAATGGGGGATGGCTGGCATGCCTGGAGAGATGGCTCTGCGTGCCACTTCCGGCGCACGTACCATAGGTTCACCATCACGGCACTAGAGTCTGTACCTGTCCTGTTTGGTTGCTGTACCAAATTAGACAGTTACAGAAGTAAAAATGACAGATTCAATCATTCCTCTGTAGAACTGTATCAATAGTTCCTGGGGCACCCTGAACTTCCTGAGTTGATGCAGGAAGAACATTCTTTGTTGTACCTTTTTTAATGATGGTTCTAATGTTAGGTGTCCATTTCAAATTGGAGAGATTTGGAAGATTATGAAACACAAAAACTACTGATATTGTACTGCCTGCCTGATACAGTAAGAGGTGGTAGAATAGAAAGGCTCCTAAAATCCTCTCTCATCTCTACAGTTTTAAGCATGTTAAACTCCAGATTGTTCCAGCTGCAACACAGGGCCAGTTGTTCAACTTTCCATCTATATGCAAATTAATCGCTGTCTCAAATGAAACCAATGACTGTTGTATCATCTGCAAATTTCAGTTGAGGATAAATAGGCAATCCTCTTTGCATGTGAAACTTTCTTTTTATTCTCTGAGGAATAGCTAATGAGTGTCTTCATGCATGGTACATGCAACTTCCATGCACAATATTCTTCCATGGCTGAATGCATTTTTCTCCTGAATTATCCAAATGTTTTTAAGATGTCAGAGCATCTTTTCATATACAGGTATAAGTAGCTCAGGTGAAGAGATGCAAGATTGAGGCCCATAAAATTACCATTTTGTTTATGACTACATCATTAAAAAAATACTTTAAGTACTTTAAACTACTACTTTAAGTACTGTCAACTAATTGACAGTTCCTGAAAAAACAAAGTTGTTTTTGGAAAATGAAAGTGTACCCTGTCATACTTTATTTATAACCATTAGGAATAATTGAATATGATTTTTATAAAATAAATAAATAGGGATAAAAAGCTAAATAAACAATGGGTGAATGAAAACAGTGGCTGTTTCTTAGGGAAAAGGTTTTGTCCTGTGCCTGTGGAATTGCTTTGTGCAACTTACTAGAGAAGTACCACCACTGGTTTGAGATTTACTTTTAAATAACCATGCAGAGAATTTAATGCATGATTAAGCGTAACTGGTGTGTCTGTTTATAACAAAGTTATTGTTAAAATTAAAAAATTAATAGCATTCAAAGCAAATTTGATTTTTTTAAAAATGTCTAGGAAATGCGGTTTCTATTTCTGATGAATCTTGCATAATTTCCAATGTTGATAATAGGAGGTCATCTATCATATAGTGTAGATACAGATATATGCCTTGCACATTGCAGCTCTCTGAAAGAGAATGGGTGGTTCAAAAAATGTGATAGATTAAGTTGTCTTTGTACATTACAGCTAATTCGCACTTTCTCTTCTCATACATCTGGGATCATATCCAAATGCAGCTGATATTTACTAAGCTAAATGACAAATAAGATGACATTCTTTCCTATTTTCCCAATGTACACATTTGTATGAATAAAAAGTGCTATCACAGAAGAATACTTATATTTTCTGGGTTCTAATCATTAAATATCATGAATGAAAAATAGAGCAAGATATTTTCAAAAGAAAAATTAGCAATTTCTTAAATATTTTTCATTTTTTTACATATTCATAATCATTTGTTGTACAGCTTGGAGGAAATTATTGCTGCCAAACCAAACAAAACACCAATTCAGCTGTTGCTTGAATATGGCACAAAAGCTCACCTTAATCCTGAATATGAATTTGAAAAAGCTGAGGGAGAAGTACACATGCCCATTTTCACCTATAAAGTCACCATAGGTGACATCATTGCAACAGGTTTGTGAAAATGTAATGTATTAAAATGCATTTCTTTGATTCATTGCATATAGTATTTGTTTCTTTGAAAAAGAATGAAGTGTTTCTTGTGTTTAGTATTTTGCCTCTACATAACTTGTGGCTCCCAATGAGTCCAAAATAACAGATGCTACTGAATTTCAGCAATGGAATTGGCCTTGCTGGCTGGAATTAGTAAAAGTTGTGCTTTAGCAAAATTTAGACAGCCACATGTTGTGCAGCCATGAAAGGAAATAGAATGGTTCAGGATTAGGGTATCAAAATGGGGGGGGGGGATGAGAATGCTCCAATGTTTATACAATGTTTATATTGTATCATTTTTGCTGAAAAAAAAAAAAATAAGGTTACTATTCTTTTTGTTTGTAAGGAAGCAGAAAATATTTATATGGAAAAAAACAGGGTAGACGATAAATGATTAAATTTAGAGATAATGTTGGAGATAGGAATTGCACTAAGAGAAAATATGTCAGTATGGAGGAAAGAACGGATCTCAAAGAATGGATATCTTTCCAACACCATGCCCCCCCCCCAAAAAAAAACAACAACTGTGTGAAAGGCAGTCATTTTAAAATTTAACGGAGTTTGATTTAGAGCAGCATTTCTCGGACCTTGGCAATTTGAAGACGAGTGGACTTTAACTCCCAGAATTCCCTGGCTGAGGAATTTTGGGGAATTGAAGTCCACACATCTTCAAGTTGCCAAGGTGAAGACACTGGTTAAAAGGATGAATCCTGTCCTACTTTCTCGAAGGTTCGTCCCATCACAACTATCTTCTAGGCAGCAGCTAATGCTGTGCAATAGAGGGGCATTCCTCCCTCCCCTGCATTTATTTCCCTATTCTCTCTTCTTAGTTCAAACATTTCTCTTTGTTTCCCTCTTTCCATACTGTCCCCTTTAATTCAATTTCAGAGCCCAAAGGGCCAAGGTTTGTCCTGATAGCCCCTTGTCCTTCCTAGCTTAATCACTTTTGATGTCACTTTAACGCTAATAAAACACTATATAGATACAAATTCTGTGTGGGTTTTTTCTGAACCTTATTATATACTGCCAAATGTAACTAGCTATCTTGTTCCCCTGGAAAAAGCAAATTGGCCATGTGGGATCGGGATAGTGAATTTACATTTTAATATTTTGAAAAATGAATTTAATTCAGTGCATAATGATTGCTGACTATAAGCCTATCTATTTTTCTTTCCCAGACAAAATAGTAACAGCAAACTATTGTTTGAAATTCAGATGTTGAGATCTTTATTGGTACTCTGCTTTGAACAGAGAAATATTTTTGTTTCTATTGCTTCAGGAGAGGGTCCCAGCAAAAAGATTGCAAAACACAGAGCTGCTGACGCTGCACTGAATATTTTGAAAAGCAGTCCAAATCTCTGGTGAGTTTGATGTTGAGCATTGTGAGGCTATGCCATTGAGTTAGCCAGTTCATCTGAGTTAAAAGTGAGAATTGCCTCTGAGGTCCCTGTTTCTCCCTCTTTATCCTGCTCATTGGGTCCCTGATCTTCATATGGTGATGGAGGAAGTTTATCAGGATGTTCTCACATTTTTATAAATAGTACTAGATATTGCTGAATAGAGGAGGCTGGACAGTGTCACTTATTTTGAAAAAATATTAGAAGAAACAAAATATCGTGTTTCCCCAAAAATAAGACCCTGTCTTATATTTTTCTGAACCCTGAAATAAGCGCTTGGACTTATTGCCATGTGCTCAAAAGCCCAATTGGGCTTATTATCAGGGGATGTCTTATTTGGGGGGAAACAGGGTATGTAATAGCATCTCACCTATGTCTGTTAGGAGTGTGATGATCCACTGAAATCTTTTCTGGCATTTTAGATCTTGTCAGAATTTTTATCACATTTACAACTCTTTATCTTTTGAAAAGTTGATGAATTTTCATGAAAATCTGGTTAGGCATGAATAGGTGGGAATTTCATAATTACTGTGAAGAAGATATCAGAGAATGAAAGAGAAAGAAAAAGGCATCAGAAAGTTAAAGAGAATATTAAAGAGAATAGCTATCCCTCCCCACTGACTTATAACTCCAGCATTGCTTACTTCAGATCTACTTATCACATTATGAAAAAATAGGGGGGAAATAGGATAACAATTCCTGTGAAAAGTCCAGTACATTTGGCATTATAATACATGTATAGTAGTACCAGAAATAATTTCTAAAGTGTCCATTTTAAGTTTATTATGTTCATTTTAGTATTTCTATGCCAGACCATATAATCCCTGAACCTCTCAATCAAGCACAGAATCAGACCAATCCGATTGGATCGTTGCAAGTGAGTTATAATGACCTATATTATATGAATATAATACATATATCTTTATGTTTTTAAGAAGTTCAGGGAATCTTAAATTACGGTTAAAAATCAGGTTTACACAACTAATGCAGGCAGTCAGGAACAGGTTGTGTGAATGAGGAAAGAGACTGTTCATATCACCCTCAGGAAAGAAAGCAACATAAAGCAAAGTTGGTGATTACAAAATAGTCAGAGGAAAAAAAAGATACTACTGATATAGGTAGTCCTTGGTTTACAACCACAATTAGGACTAGTAAAGATGGTTGTTAAGTGAGTCACACTCAATTTGACAACCTTTTTTTTTTGCCATGCTTGTTAAAAGAATCACTGCAATCATTAAGCAAAATCAGTTTCCCCCATGGACTTACTTGTCAGAAACCAGCTGGGAAGGTTGTAAATGACGATCTCATGACCTTGGCATGCTGCAATCATCATAAATACATTTCATTTTAATGTGTGCCTATTAGTGAACATCTAAAGTGACACAATAAAGTTTTTATTCTATTCTGTTCTATTCTGGTTGCCAAGTACCCAAATTTTGATCATGTTCATGGGGATGCTGTGATGGTCGTAAGTGCAAGGATCAGTTGTCAGGCATTTTATTCACTGCCATTGTAACTTTGAATGGTTGCTAGGCAAATGGTTGTAAGTTGAGGACTACCATACATTAGACAAAGTTTTTCTACCAAAAACAGAAACAAAAAAGTTTTCTCTTTAAAGGATGATATAAAGACCTTTTCTTTGTCGATGGATCTTCTGTAGAAACATCAGAATAGAGTTGGAAGGGACCTTGGAGGTCTTCTAGTCTAACCCCCTGTTTAAGCAGGAGACCCTATACCCATGATGGCGAACCTATGGCACGGGTGCCAGAGGTAGCACACAATGCCCTCTCTGTGGGCACACAAGCAGTCACCCCAGTTCAGCTCCGCCATGCATGTGCGTGCGCCTCCCATCGGCTAACTGGTCTTCACATCTCTGCCACGCATGCATGGGGACGGGCGTGCGGGGGCCTCTGCATACATGTATGGGGGTACGTGTTTGGGAAGGATGTGCGCGCATGCAGGGAGGCATATGCAGAGAGGCGTTCATGCGTGTGGGGCATGCATGGGTGGGGTGCATGTGCGGGGGCCACACAGGCACATACTCGTGCTTTGGGCACTCGGTCCAGAAAAGGTTAGCCATCACTGCCCTATACCATTTCAGATAGGTGGTTGTCCAATCTGTTCTTTAAAAACCTACAGTGATGAAACACCTACAGCTTCTCAAGGCAAGCTGTTCCACTGGTTAATTGTCCTCACTGTTAGAAAATTTCTCCTTAATTCCAGGGTTGCTTCGCTCCTTGTTTAGTTTCTATCCATTGTTTCTTGTCCTGCCTTCTGGTGCTTTGTAGAATAATTTGACCCCCTATTCTTTGTGGTAGCCCCTCAAATACTGGAATGCTCTTCTCATGTCACCCCTAGTCCTACTTTTCTCTAGGCTCGTCATACCTAATTCCTGCAACTATTCTTCATGTTTTAGTCTCCAAGCCTTTGATCATCTTAGTTGCTTTTCTTTGCACTTTTTCCAAATTCTCAACATCTTTGTAATGTGGTGACCAAAACTGGATGCAGTATTCCAGGTGTGATCTTATTAAGGATTTATAAAGCAGTATTAATACTTCACATGATTTTGATTCTATGCCTCTGTTTATACAACCAAGGATTGTATTAGTTTTTTTGGTTGCTGCTGTATATTACTGGCTCATGTTTAAGTGATCGTTCACTAGGACTCCAAGGTCCCTCTCACAGTTACTGTTTCTGAGCCAGGTTTCGCTTAATCTGTATTTGTGCCTTTCCCATCTAGGTGTAAAACCTTGCTTTTCTCCAAGATTGATTTACATGTAAAATTGCTCCATATTTTTCTTTAATTCACATTAACAGTGTTGATGGGAAGCTTACAAATAGCTTGTGTGCCTACCCCATCCTCCCAAAAGATTCCTTTGTAGCAGCAGTATTGTTAAAAGATTATTTTATCCCAGATTTTTTTTTGCTTTAATTTATATGCCACCCTTCTCCAGAGACTCAGGGCGGCTTACAATGCGTTAAGCAATAGCCTTCATACTTTTGTATATTTATACAAAGTCAGCTTATTGCCCCCACAATCTGGGTCCTCATTTTACCTACCTTTGAAAGGATGGAAGGCTGAGTCAACCTTGAGCCTGGTGAGATTTGAACTTGCAGTAATTGCAAGCAGCAGATGTTAATAACAGTGCTTTAGTCCACTGTACTACAGGCTCTTCTTAGATGCATTTGGGAGCCAGGCACACTGTATTTAATTGAAATGTTGGTTTAACAGGCTGTGTAAAGCAAGGGAGTTTGTTAAATACAAATGCCCGTCTTTTTTTTTCTCTCTCCCTTTTTGCAGGTTGAATACAGTCTCTTAAGAAAATATCCCTCTTAGGCCATGGAGCCTCTTAGTAAAAAATAAATAAAAATCCTTGGAATTCCTGATCAAGAGGCAAAGCACCAGTGATAGAAAACTGGCTGCATTTGAGTGGGCATTTTCCCCCCTTACTCTCTCAGAGAACCCCATCAAGATCTTGTGAAAGTTTAGGATTTACTCTTAGCAGTCTCATCCTCGGCCTTAGGAACTATTGAAGGAACCTTTTGGCTCCAATTGCTTTGTTGCTAAAGAAGCGTTGATTGGGGCAAGAGCCAGGGCAGGAGAAATTGCCACGGCTGCCACTGCTGCAGCATATAACCACTGACCTGCCTAGTTGATCTTCGTAGCATCTTCTGTTCTTCCCTCTTTTGGGAAGACCCTCACTTGCCCACCAAATCTTTCCAGCCCCCTTTTCTCAATTCAGTCATTGCCTAAATGTACTGCCCAATCTTCCCAATGCCTTGGCTCCATCCCTTTTCCATGAATTCACACAGAAAACGCAAAACTTGTGCAAATGACACCAAGTTTTCTTAGCACCTTTCTGCTCTCACTTGGAACTCAGACATGCTTCCGTGCATGCTTCATATTTAAGACTTAGGAAAAATTGTGCCCACTGTCTAGACCAGCGGCCTACAACCTTTTGGGCACCAGGGACTGGTTCCGTGGCGCATTTTTCTGCGAACTGGAGGGCACATAGTTTCGTGTGCTGCCTGCATCCCACAGATGGCTGTGTTGTGTGACACATTTCTGGCACTCTGTGACCCGGTACGGGTCCACAGGCTGGGGATTGGAGACCCCTGGTATAGACTGCTTCCCCAAATAACGGAGAAGTCCACTATTTTAACCATTATGTTCAAAGTCAGTTAAACTGAGGTCTATTGAACATAGGATTTACTGTTACGTTGTGGTTTGTTTCCTGTGCTGGATGAGGAAACCTCTGAAGTGTAGGGATTTTTTTTTAAAGCTGAGTCTAAAATGTTTTCTTTGTGCTTTTTTTCCCCCTTCAAGGAAATGGCTATGAGGAAGGGTTGGAGATTACCCGAATATTCCCTGGCCCAGGAGACTGGGCCACCTCATAAGAGAGAGTTTGCAATGACTTGCAGAATTGAGACATTTGTAGAAACAGGTACATAATTCTTTTTCAAAATAACTTGATTAAAAATGATGAATTGTTTCTATTATTTCAAACTGTCTCATATTTATATAATTTTGTTTGATAAATGGCCTTGTCAGATATTTCACTTGGAAGCCTGGTTATAAATGTTTTGAATTAAATGTACTTCTGGATACATAGCTGTACATACAACAAGGCAAGGAGAAATAGTGATTTTTTAAAAAGACTTACCAGGAAGTTTTTATGCCTGTATGCTGAAAAGACTAAGGTCCCTTGTCTATATTCTTGTGGAATAGCCTAATTCATGATTATTCTTTTTAGCAAAAATAGATAAAATTTTAAAAAAACACTAATATCTGATCTATAGAATTACTTCTACTGTGTTTTTGCCCCTTGATCGATTGCATGTTTTGAAGCTGGAAGAAGAGGGAGGGGTTGAGGGAGGGATTGCAGGCACATATTTCCTATTATATGAAATGACACTGAGTCCAAGGAACTAGAAGTGAGTCTCCTTCTCTCCTCTTACTTAGGGAAAATTTAATTGGTCTAATAAAATCAGGGCACTTTTTTAATTACATTGGTCATGCTTCAATATAATAGAACATCAAAACACTGATATGTTTTGAACCTTGTAAACTGAATTCTTTTCTCTCTCTCTTGTATTTTGAAAGGTGTGGCTGCTTGATAAAAGTAATTTAAAATTATAGTATGATGATGGAGGGAAGATTTCATAACACTCCTAGAGAGCTTTTATGTTAAGTCAACAGTGCGTGTCTTATTTCCCTGTCCCCTCTTCTGTACTTAGTGCACAAAACTTATGCACCTCCTTCTGTCTTCCTGCAATCTAATCAGATAGGCAAGGTACCTATGGCTTATTTCTATATATCCCACCAGAAATGATCAGGAATATAGCAAAGTTCTGCTTGATCGCCATTGCTCTCAACAGATACTGGAACTTATCACCACTTTGATGAGAGGTTATCCACAGCAGTTTAGCATTCTGCCATTAATTTGCCTTGCTATTTGTTTTATATTGTATACTGCTTTATATTAAATTTGTTGTATTTTGCAGCATATTATTGTTCTGTTTTTAGTCTCTGTCTCTTAAATCCGTAATACAGGGGAAATTAGGATTTGATATGATTTATCTATGTATTGGGGCAATTCATTTATTTCAAAACGGGCCTTTATCCTTGTAACTTTCTTATATGGTTGAATGGATGCAGTCAATTAAGTCTTTATATTTTATCAGCTGCACTTGCTGCTCCTTTTCCCATAGAGACTTTACCTTCAAATTGCAACCAAGTGGTCAGCCTGCTATAAGGCAGGTTCAAATGAAGCCTCAGCCAAGTTAGCCAGGCTGGTTCAAACAAAGCCAGCAGCATATCTCTTCCTTGTATTCTTTCACAGTATTCTGCATTCTCATCCATACAATTTGATGAATCAGTACTGACAGTAGCTGGAAGGGATCTCAGAGGACAAGAGTTAGTGATTGATGCCTATTGCTAAAGTTAATAAGTGCAGAACAAAATAGATACAAAGAGAATTTCAAATTTGTGGCTACAGAAAGGGATATACATACCACATGTACATGTAATCCTATCTGACTCTGGAATGTAATTGTCTAATATAATCCAAAATAGTTATTTTGTCTATTTCAATAATTTTACCTTTTGTTCATTATCTAGGTATGGGAACATCTAAAAAATTAGCAAAGCGAAATGCTGCTGAGAAATTACTTGAAAAGTTCCACAGTTTTTGTCAGGATAATATCACAATTTCTTTAGTAAGTAATTCATTAGATTTAATGGAAAGTACCTGAACTATATTAATGTCTTCATTACTGATAATAATAATCCCCATTTCTCATCTGTTCCTAATATGTAAAGGATGACATTTTTATACAAAGTAGTTTGGGAATAACTTCCACTGATACCGTTATAATTTATTTCTGAGCAAGCAGGCATTGAGTTGAACCCTGCAGTTCCCTCCAAAAGCTAGGATTATTTGTAAATCAGGAGGTACAATTCTTTTCAAATGAAGGCTTCCTCCTGGCCCTTGATTGGCAGGCTGAGGGCTGCACTATCAGTTGTAGGCAGTGTTAGGACACAAAAAGAGGTATGAGCAGGAAAATACATCAGATTAAAATTAATCAAGCACGTGTAACATATTAATTTCCCCATGCTTTGCATAATTTACTTACATTTGTTACAATGACAATTTGGTGGCAATGTTTGGAGAGGATTGGAGGGATACAATCAAATCTTCTGAGTTCTTTGAGTTACAGTCACTGGAACCCTATTATAAACACTTATGGGTCCTACTTTTTCCATTCTATGACAGCCCCTCTCTTTGGCTTCACTACCCAACTTTTTATATGGGTGAATAGATGCAGTCAACAAAGTCTCTATATCCCTCCAAAATAATTACTTAGACAGCCAAATGACTACTCTGTATTAGCATTGAAGTCTCCCGACTAGTATAACATAGCCATACACTTAATGGTGAAATCCTACTGGTTCGGATGAACCGGTAGTGATAAAAGCTACCGGTTTGGCGAACTGGTAGAAAAAAAAAAGCTACTAATTGGTCCCAACCGGTATTTCCAACAATCAGCTGTGCTGCGCAATTTAAAATTGCTAGAAAGCAGGAAATCCTGCTTTCTAGTGAATCTAAATTGAGTGACACAGCTGTCCGTCCCCCCGGCTGTTCTACTTACCTTCCCAAGCCTTTTTCCGCATACGCAGTGCACACTTGGCGCGCTCCGCACATGCAGCAAACCGGTGGCAAACCGGGGAGGATTTCACCACTGCATACACTAAATAAATGAGTACTGATTACGCTTGCAGCGCCTTTTCATCTTCTCAACAGAGATGAGGGTTTTTTAAATATAAATATTCTAATAAACCTCATCTATCCATTATTTGGTATCCATGATGAACTGCATTACTATTTGGTATAACAGTACATATTATTTTGACAGAAACAGAAGGTTTGATAAACTGCAGTTCTTCTGCACATGATCAAAAGTTCAAGAATGCTGTCCCCTCTTGTATTTGGCTACCTTCTTGACGCACTGGAGAAAGCAATATTTTCTCTTCCGGTGCTGTTATCTTTACAATAGGTCTTCACCCCCACTACCTAGTCTGGTGGAAATGCTAATTAAAACACAACTTGGTTTTTACTTTGTCCTGTTTGTTCTTTGTTGCTCTTCTGAAAATGTAAGATGTTTTGATTGAAATAACACAGTGCACCATGATTTTCCATATTACAATAAAAGGAAAAGAAATGGGGAAATTTCAGCCAACCCCCACCCCCCCACCCCTCCTTAGTGAGAATGGAATAAACTCAATTTTGGTGTCCAAAGTGATATTTTAGAAATACTATTAACCAGTGCTTTTTTGTTTTAAAAGAACGTTCTACAATGTTCATAAGTTGTATGAGAACTCTTATTTGCTTCAAAAATTGTAGTGTATTGGACAACTGTTTGAGAAATGTTAAAATCAAAATTCTGGATTTCTTTATCTCTCATTATCCCAGGAAAGGCAGAGTAAAAAAATTTAAAACAAGGGTGGAACTGCACATTTAAAGTGAAAACATATTTAAAAACACGTAGGCATTTTTCTTAAAAGTTAGACTATTTTATTAGATTTGTATCCTATTTTCACTTTATCCTGTATTTTAGGATTAGAACTGCCAAACACCAGAATGTTCACCCATTAGTAAACCTGTCTAATTCAGGAAACAGACCATGAAAAAAGGCTATTAACTGTCCTAATGGGGATAAACATGGTTATATTTTAATGTGAATCCAGTGTGAACTGGCTCATTTGCAAGGAACTTTTAACCTATCATTACTACAGAATCCATGTACAATCTTTCCCAGGTTTAGCATCTTTTAAGTGGCCTGCCAGGATCCCTATTACTAAAAGATAAGAGTCTGCAGCCAGGATAAAAGGTCAATTGGATATTATTTACATACATAGTACAATTGCTCTCTGTTCATAATTACTTCAATTTAAATGAGTAACAGTATTTGGAAGTCTCTGGAGGCTGCAAGTCATGCATTTCTCTTCTTGGCTTCAACATGGGCACAATAAAAGGATTGGCACATGAATGAAAATTATAATTACCATATTCAATAATAGCTTTGCCTAAATTCTGTTCTCTAAAGAAAGTAGCCCTGATATTTGGTTTAATTTTATTTAAAGGCAAGTTCCTAAAACATAACCCTTGAAATATCTGTGCGCTTTTTAGGAAAATCCACCAAACCTATCAGAGTTTTTAGTTTATCACCAAACTGGCTAGATGATTCCTCTGGTGTTCCTGCTGCAGCTAACTTTCTTTGCCCTGAAAAAGCCCCTCTCTTTCCACTTTCCCTCAATCTGCCGTCAGCTGGAACTGATGATTAACCCATAATACCAATGGTGGGTTGCCCCCGGTTCGCACCGGTTCTATAGAACTGGTAGTAAAACCAGCAGAAGGCTCCATCCACCGACCCCAACGTCATCAAAACGATTCTGCGCATGCGCAGAAGAGCGCACGTGTGAGCAAAGCTCACGCGTGCGGCCCCACTGCAAACTGGTAGTAAAGGTAAGTAGAACCCACCCCTGCATAGTACCATAAGAAAACTGTAAGAGGTGTTTTGATTGACATCTTCTTAGAATTGTGCAATGTTTTGCATTTAGTTCAGAAGGGGAATATGAATACAGCACCTTCCACCGCTCATTAAAGCTGCACATCGGTCTCCAGGATCCCATGCAGTGAAAACTTTCCCTTATTAACCTTATGATCCTAGAACATAATTTGGCTGCTTTAAAGAGTTACAGACAGGTGCTGCCATTGCATTTCCATGTTTTCTAATTAAAACACAAAGCATTGCATCATAGGTTCTCATCTCAGGATTTAAAAAATATTGATTACATGACTTAAATACCAAGCAATATTAAAATGTGCAGCAAAATCTAAACCCTCTTCCATTTGTTTCAGGGAAAAGAACAAATGCATAATTTGGGATGCACCTGGGATAGCTTAAGGAACTCTTCTGGCGAAAAAATTACTATGTTGAAGATAAGCTCCCTCAGTATTCCCAATACCGACTATATTCAGCTCCTTGGAGAAATTGCAGAGGAGCAAGGTTTTAATATAAAATATTTGAACATAGGTAAGACCTGGTGAACTATGTAGCATGCATTCCTTCCCTTTATATTTCTTCTCCCAACACTGCTAGGGCAGAAAAAGTAGTTTCAGATGTTGTATACTCGGAAATTATTTTTCAAATTTTGGTCTGTATGCCACAAGGAGAGAATCGGTTTCTATATTTTTGCTTTGTTTTTTAAGGTACTGTTTTTTAAGGTACTCAAGTACTGTTCTGTAGCTAGTTTGAAGAACATTACATTAGTTAATGTTGGAGTTTAACAGGGTCATCATGAGAAACGTGTATAGATAATAATGGAGTCTGTCATTGCTAGCACGGGATAAAAGAATGGTTCGGAAACCCAACCCAGCTCTGAGAATGAACTTCCGTCCTCATAAAAATAATAGTTTCTACATCAATCTTCAGAATAAGGCAACATCTCTGATGACTTGGTGATCTGTTCAGAACATTTCGGAAGGAGAATTTACCCATGTTTTGTTTGATAAAAAGATAAAGATTTTCTACTTAACACCGTTTGTGTCTGTAATTTCAGAGGAGTTGAGTGTGAATGGACAATTCCAGAGCCTCGTAGAACTTTCAACCAATCCAATCATAGTTTGCCATGGGACTGGAATCTCCTGGAGCAACGCCCACAATGATTCAGCCCACAATGCGTTACAGTATTTAAAAATCATGGCTGGGAGGAAATAACCTTGAAATGGGGAAAAAGAATAAACATGGGTATATATACATACCCATATATATATATATATATGTCTCTGTCTTAAAATTGAACAATTTTCAAATTATTGAGACTTTTTTTAAAGTCACATCACAACCTCTGCATTCATAATTGTATATTATAAAGAAATTGTAACTTAAACCTATTATGATGTTTTTGTTTATTTATTTTGGAAAGCTAGAATCAGGAAAACCAAAAGCTGTGAGCAGGGGATGAGACACACAGCCTGCAATTCTGTAGCATTAGATGAATTGCAATTCTCAGTATCAAAATAGTCATTAGTCTGCGAGCAGCTGTTCCCCAAAAGCAGCCTCAAATCCATTGCCTCCTTTCTCAAATATTGTTTTGTACAAGGATGGGGAAGTCTGGCTTGAGGCAAACCTGCAGAAGAATGCAGTGTGTGTTGAGGGAAGGAGTTTGTTTCTTAAGAATGCCATGCATTGGGAGCACGAAGTCCAGCTCGTTTTTCTCCCTTATTTATTTCTTACAGCATTAATTTTGCCTTGTCAAAATGTTTAGATATTTCACAGTGAAACCACAAAGCAAAACATAAACCATAACTTAATACTTTTAATAACATCTTACTAAAAGTAGATTAAAATTGAAAATCCAACTCTGAATAAATCAACTAGTTTCTTAAAAAATCAGATTGACATCCATATCCATAAAGCAGCCCAGCATGTAAATAATTCAATTCCTCCAAGCCCAGTGAAACAAAACTTCTCCAGGGTTTGCCTGAAGAATAGTGTTGTTGTGATCCTCCAGACTCCATTAGAAGACAAGTCACCAAGCAAGGTGTTCCTCTTATCATTCCCCCATGTCCCATAAGAGGCAGATGGGGACATTAACTGGCCTGAGGTCACTTCAGTCAGCTGATTTTTCTGTTATGCCAAACCACCTACCGTACAGCCAAATTCAAACATCCAGCACTCCAATTTGACTCCCATACAATCAGGGGAAGGGAAACTGTTCCCTATTCCTTGGCTTGTATATGATGAACTCACTGAAGCATCAAGTAGTTATAGGCAAGCCCTTCATTGCCATTATGACAGATCATAGTCAGAGACAGACTATAGACTAGTACAGAGATGACTTTGGGGAAAATGTGACCATTAGTAGAAAGTGAGGTCAATCCAGGAAAATAAAGTGACAAAGAGACTGCAGCCTTTTGACAGTCTTTGGTATAAGGGAGGGGAAGGGAAACATTGTCAGGCTTCCAAGTTTTTGTTATCCCAGTATAATCTACAGCAATGGATTTTTAGTATTTCTTGTGGTGGCTTTCCTGACCTGGCCTATCTTGAAGGGCTGACAGAGTTGCAGCTTTTCTCTTCCCAGGCTGCAGTTTCTTCAAGCAGCTGATACCCTCCCCTTTCACTGGGGCTGTGACAGTAGTGCCAAACAAGCCCCTTACTGAACTTGTTAAGTCTCCCACTGTAGTCCTCTCTGCTTACACATGTGGTTCTGTGTCTGCATGGCAGCAGATAAGTTGTAATGTGTTATAGTGACAGAGGTGATAATAATGTGCATCAGCTAGAATTAAAATACCACGTTTGTCACATTGATAGTGTTCCCATTTCCAGCAATTCCCTCTTTCTTCCAGTCCTTCCCTTCCCCCAATTCACATGTTCTGCCTTCCACTTTCTACACTTTGCTTCTCTTTTGTATCCGTCACTTGGTGCTCCACAATAACTGAGTTTCACCAGCTTTCCCAATTTTCTGCTTTTCCATTCTGTTTGATTCATAAATACTTGTCCTACAATCACATCTCTATTCCTCAATTCCTCAGGAACTGCCAGGATGAAAAACACACATACCAAAAAACCTTAAGATCCCTCCTCCAAAATGCCAAATATAAATCACTAGCTTGCAAAAATACGACTGACAGAGTGGTAATATTTACCAAACAATCATGTTGAGCATCATTCATCTATTCACTTGTACACTTTATTATATACTCTCCAGTTTTGCCTTAACAGCAAATACTTGGGATAATGTACACTAGCCTAAACCACACAATAAATTTCTATGACTAAGGGTGGACCTGAATCCAAGTCTCCAGTCCAGGTTTTAACACCCTAACCACTGTATTATTATCTTGGATGTCAATTTAGTTTTAAATGTGTCCTTCACTCAAATAATAAAAGTGATTTTAAAGGTGTGCAGTGATGGAGAAAATCTTGTTTCCATTCATTCTTTGTGATAGGTTTACAGACCAGATGAGGAACCATCATAAACTGTGGTTGGGCTGGATATTGGACATGCCTCCTATTATACAGTTAGAGCAGTACACTAGATTACAATCACATTACAATGAGAAAAGAGCAATTATGAATTATGACTTAAAGATATATTCTACTGGATGTTATGAAAAATGGCTAACTTTTTTTTTTAAATAATTGCATATTTCAGTAGCCAAGAGCATGGCTACTGATCTCTGCAGACTTTGAAGTTATTTATGTAGGCTGGCATTTCTTTTAAGACTTCATGTCTCATGAACTACAAAACACTTTAACTTTTGTAGCAAAAGGCTGAATAGTGTCTTCATGAAAATGCTTACAGCTGGGACCTCAAAAACTTGTTTTTCTAATATCTGAAGCTTCAAAGAAATGACTTATAATTGTACATAATAGCCATTATATATTTGTTTTTGTGTTTAAATTTCTTCTCAATTGTGGCCTTTTAAAACATGTTTGAAGATTAATTTCACAGAAATGATAAAATTTGTTACCAGTTCTTTTTTCATTAGATGTGTCATTCTTTAATAAATTGCTTTAAATGATACCAGTTGTTTTTGTTTGAGAAAAATACTCTTATTTCCTAAATATGTCCAATTAATAATGCACGTAGAGCCATAATTTACATTAAATGTGCCTTGTTCAATATTAGATATGAATGCAGCCTGTAAGCAACTTTTTTTATTTGTTGGGATTTTCAAAGTATTAATTGGTAGAATTAGTACAATCAATGGCAGCATAATACAGTAGTATGTCTCATTGAATTTGTAAGTCACAAATATGTGCCATATTAATCATATTGAACATAAATGAATATTTTTTAGTGTGAAAGAAATAGGTGCCCATAAGGTCAAAATAACATCAATCTGCTCACACAATAAACATGGGCAATTCAGTTCATTTGTAAGGAAATGAGGATGATTTTAAGTGTCATTCTTAAATTTCTTACAATTATAGGAAATGCAACAAACATTTTACCCAGCAAATACAAATAATGGAAATGTACCACTGCTGCCAGTGATAAGAGAAAGGTTGTGTTCCACTTTTATTTATTCTATTTATTCCATAAATAAAACTATTTATGTAAGCTAACAAATATTATTTTGCTTGCAGCAGCGTAGAAATACTGTATGTTTTAAAATGTGAATATCTATAATCCTCTGCTTGTGGCATACAATGTGATCTGAGCATCTAAGTATTAAGAATGGATAAAAATGATTCTGGCTAAAGAACTCCCAAAGCTGTGCCATGTTTTTTTAGGATGTTTAACCAAAACTGATTTAAGACTTATTCCAATCACATTGTAAACACAGTGCTACAAGATTATAGATGGCTATAAAGTGTTCACAAATTCACTTAGCAAGGCAAATGTATTTGCTGTTCTCTAAAATGTCTTAACAGGCAACAGTATTTATTTATTTTTTTGCTGTAAATTAATCATTTATTGGTTTAGCAAAATTACATTATCTTTTTTTTTATACCAGGTATTTTAATTAAAGATCTTATGGGCATGGTCTTATTTAAGGTTTGATACCAATTCATATCTCTTGAATTAAATCAGTACAATTAGACATGATAAAAGGGTAAGAAATCTGTATATGCAAGCTTCAGCATTTTATAAGCTGTCTCAATTTCAAAGGGACTCCCTTTTCAGAATTCATTAAACCTAATCCTAACCCTACATCTCACTTAGTAGTAACTAGAACTAATTAACATAGCTACTAATTAATCCTCAAGAAAGATTGGGCCATGAAAGGCAACAGTATTTAATTCCCAATCATTGAATACTATCATGCACTGTTCCACAATGAAATGGGACAGTCTTTAGAAAAAGTACAACTGTCAGGCAGCTTTTTAATATCCACTTCTAATATGGTAACTGGTTTACATAAACTATTCCATCTCTGAAAATAACCATATTTTTAATCAGCTGCCTGGTTGAATTCTTTGCAGCATCCTAACAGGTTAAATAAACTTTGGTTCTAAAATCCCAGCTGTGTTATTTCCTTTGATCAAGTTAAACTGAGCCAAGAAACTTAATTTGCCTTGTGTGAAAATTCTATAAATCACTGATTATCACATGCTTCACCATACATTTATATATTTCAGAGTTTGTCCCCAGCTTCCAAGGAACTGGATACTGTATGTTCTCAAACACATTTAATATAAATACAGATTTTACAATTGCAGAAACAAACATGATTTTTTTGATGCTATACTAATAAATATGCTGTCTTTTGTGCACATTTAAAAACAAATTGGCTAACTGCAAGGGTAACCCTAATTTTTTAAATCTACAATGCTGTAAGAATGTACAAAATATTGTTCTTGTGGCTTCCATTCTTACATTATTTGGCTCTGAAGAGATAAAACTTTTGTGTGGAACACGTCTAGAACCAAACTTATTCAGCAATTTCCAAGTATTTCTGAGGAATTAGCAAGCAGATTGACACTTAATAGGCTAGTCTATTAAAAACAATGGTCTTTTTATTCAATGGCATTTTTTATAAAGGTATACATGTGTTTTCATATTCAAGGCTGAGGATAAAGACCACAGAGTTTTGCAAAATGATCCTGTGCAAGTATCACAATGTTCTATCTTCGTATTTAGCTTTAACATTGGGTAATGGGATAAAGACAATATTGAGTTTGGGTTGCTGAAAATAAGATTCAAATCTCTGTTCAGTCACAATAGGGTTCACTGCAGAAGTTTGGAATCACTGCGATCTTTACAATGTAAGATTGCAGTCAAATTGCAACACTGTTAAAAAAAACTTTCTGAAACATCAAAGTGCCTTAAAAGTGCTGTGTGTTTAGGGAGGCCAGTTTTCTCACAAATGGTACATTCCTCTGCATGACATTTATCTGAAGAGGCATACTTCTGATTAGTTGATACTATAATATGGTGAGTCAAAGAAGGAAGTGGCAAAAAATATTACATTTTGTCTTAAGAAATACTTCCAAAAATGAATAGTGGTAATGTTGATACTTCAGGTCCCTAAGCATTCTTCCTAATGCCAATCATTTCTTTAAATTAGGCTACAGAAGACAACAGAGCAAAGCCAAGATTTTATGGCACTAGGTTGGTGTAATTAAGTTCTAGTTCCATTGCTTTCAACATTTGCAACATTTCTAATTGAGATTTACTGCTGCTGGTTCCAACTGGAGCCAACTCGTGTAGGGCAACTCGTCACAGCTAATTCATTGCAGGAGAAGAGTTACACTATTACCAAAGAAATGGTGGAATAGAATCATTAAAGAATGAAAAAGGAGGGACAGAATTAAATGTCAATGACAAAAATTAACATTTTTTATTTCAAATAATTGAATTAAACTGTCCTACAGTGAGCTGTCCTGTGGAGAGTTGGCCATGATGAGTTGTCCCGCGGCAAATTGGCTGCAAGTTGGCTGAGGCGGGGTTGTCCTATTTCGCTCTAGATGTGCCACACCACCTCTTCTACCAACATTATGCAGTTTGGATGGCTCTAGCTAGAGACAATTTGAGGGAGACTGATAATCTACTGGATTAGGCTTTTTATCTTTAAGGGAAAAAAAGCAATCGATAAATTGTTTCATAATACTGTTTCTTATTTGAATACATATAATTTCAAAAAATATATGGTGCTCAATATTGTCTTTTAAAAATCCTGATAAATAAGGTAAGTCACAAAAAGAACTTTACAATATATATTATTTTATAGGGGAGCAATTCTTTTGTTAATTTGGATGAAAACTTGACAATCCTGGGCATGGATACAAGTCACATTCTGTTGAAATAAATAGGAAAACACTCATAATACATTGCTTGCATTAAAATTATTACAGAATTCCCAGTTGCAAAATTGGCACCATTCCATTCTCAGAAACACAGAGATGGCTGAGAAAAAGTTTACTGAAATCTAATAGGGTTGACTTGGTAGACAGAATGTGGTTATTGTTCACTCTAATTATATGTAGCATTAGCCCAGAACCAAAGTTCCTTTGGGCAACCACAATAATTATTTATGAGCTGTGAAATACTTGGGAAACGTCATTTGATTTGATCAAGGACTTCATCTAAGTGTCCCTCCAAATCCCGACTTTATTTTTTTTTTACTGAACTTCTGTTTTGGAACTGTTATTTCTAAAGAGAGAAAAGCAGAGGAGAAGTAACAATAGTTAATAATGATAGTTCTGTGATAATTATTCAAGTATGTTTTGAGCCAATGTGCCCAAGTCTACATTCAGCCAATGCTGGGACTGCATGCTAAGACTCAGCAGTGCATAGCAGAGATAGGGATGGGACAGATTCCTGTTACACAACTGGGCATCTCAGTCTTCTTCTGGACTCTAAAAAGCCTCGTTTTTATTTGTTCCCAATCTACAGAATCCTCCAAATTTGCCATTATAATAAGGATACTTTCAGAGGAATCACTGATTGGGATGGCCGGGAGGGTAGATTGAGGGGAGGGAGGGCCTGCAAAAAGCAAAGCGTATAAGGTAAGTCAGAATGGGCGCTTGAGTGTGACATAGCTTGATGCAGAAACTTCGAGTGAATAAGGAGTATTTTAAATATGGGAGCGTATCACATAAATTAGATGTTCTTGAGATTTTCCTGAAGATTGTTTGAAAGAGAAGGTCAGGTTAAAGAAGAGCTCCATTTTTCAATCTGGAAATTTAATAAAGAAAAATTTCCATCACATGAGTTCAATCCTTTACAGAAATTCACATTCATCTTCTTAAGTTAATTCTATAATTTTCATTTTGAAATGCATATTTTATCTGATTTAAATGAACTCTGGCTAGCAGGATTTTTTTTTCTTTGAAAGCATTTTTTTTTCTGAAAAATTTACCTACTACCCCTAACTATCATATTTTATAGGTTTAGATGAAATAAATATAATATCTGCAGATGTGTGGTGAACGAATGAACTAATGTGATGAGTTTGCTCACCCTGTTAGCATGAATTTATGGTAGGACTATACTGTCAATTATAGCTAAATATGATATACTTGATTCAGATTTAGTTTAGAACCTTACGAAAGCATATCTTAAAATAAATGCTATAGTGAAATGATTTCAAGAATATCTACATTTTTAAGAAAATAGTTCAAACTAGAGATCTGGATGGGTTTCTTTTCCCCCAAAGTAGTTTAGACTCTTATATCTCTCAGTGTCCTGTGTTGAAAACTAAGAGAACCACTAAACCAATCTTGCAAGACAATTTGCAAGATTTACAAGGCAGTCTCTAGATTAGAGTTCTGTCTTGTGTAGAATAATATGAATATGCTTGGAATAAACCTGGGTTTTGTTGCATTTGTGATAGCTTTGGGTCAAAATGGGCCCAAACTGCCTAGCCTTCCTTTCACCATTAGCAAGGAATGTTTCACATCTAAAACTGGTAACCTAATTTACATTTTAGCTATCTTACTAAAAAGTATAGTGTGAAACCTTTGCTTGACCAAACCCATCATGGGTAGTAGAGATCATTACTGGAGATGCAATGATTAGAATGCAGTACTGCAGGCTACTTCTGCTGACTGCTGGCTATCAGCAGATCGTCAGTTCGGTTTTCACCGGCTCAAGGTTGACTCAGCCTTCCATCCTTCCAAAGTCAATAAAATGAGGAACCAGATTGTTGGGGGCAATATACTGAGACTGTAAATCACTTAGAGAGGTCTGTAAAGCACTGTGAAACGCTATGTAAGTCTTAAGTGCTATTGCTATGAGCCCAATTAGTGTTCATTATGGCATATGAAAGAGAGCAAATCAGGGTGGATAAAAATCAATGATTTTTTTTTTAATCAGATTTTTTTTATTTAAATCAGATTTTTTTTATTTTTATTGAATTTATTTTAATAAAAAACTTTTGGGGTAAAAATCTATCGTAAGATAGTTTTCTATTTAAGATACATAAATAATTTAGTTTATTCAGCATGAAACGGAGCTTAGTTATGTAGCACAAGGCTGTATATTCTGCAACACTGGGACTATCGGTGAGTCAACAGCGGGTCAAAGGAGTAGCAGAGATGACAGTTGCTCTTTAAAAATTATGATTTAAATCGAGTTGATTTAAATCAAGTCTTTTTACTAGTGATTTAAATCATGATTTAAATCGACTCGATATAAATCAAATCCACCCTGGAGCAAATGATAAATAGCATTAATTAACAAATGAAATAAAAAATAGTTTTATGTCTCTGAAAGGTGAAGGATGTAACAACTAAATAAGGTACCGTATTTTTCACTCTATAAGACACACTCCCCCCCCCAAAAAAGTGGGTGGAAATGTCTGTGTGTCTTATAGAGCGAATATTGCGGTGGGGGTGGGGCTGGGGAGTTGGTCCGGTGCGTTTTATAGTGCAAAAAATATGGTAGTTTAATCTTAGAGAATGGAATTCATAAAACATGTATGGAAGTGAAAACGTTTAATTATGAAGAGCTACAATATTAATTAGAAATTGATGTTATCTAGTTTGTTGAAGTGCATATGAATATAGGAATGCATAAGCTGGTGAGAATTGCCTCAGGGATGAGTTTTGAGATAATGTGCAATATTCTGAAAAATTCAATCTGGGGGGGAGGAGAATACTCTTAAAAGATAACAGTGAACAGAAAGAAGACAAGAGTACAGCAAAAGTGAGTAGGCCACATGGAAAATGAATAAAAAGCATAACTTGTAAGTAAGTATAAGTCTCTTTTTTGTCACACATTAAAGTAGCGTTCACTTGATTTTTTTTAAATGAATTATTGAAGGTACAAAAGTGATGAAAAGTTCAGAAATTAGATGCCAAATCATTAACGGTAGTCTCAAAAATGGATCTTAAGAAAAAAAAATACACATGGAAGAAAGAAATGAAAAAAATAGAATAACTACTGGTAGACAAAATGTGCCCTGTATAGATAAAATTGAAAACAAATAAATCTCCCAATAATCTAAAAAGAGAGTAGACTTGAGGAAAAAGAATATGTAAGCTAACTTAAAACAGTGGGAAAAATTACTTTACCACTGACGTTTGTGGACATAATACTAAAGAAAAGTACCAAAGTATTAAAAATGAATGAAGTCAAAAGTCTGTGAATGAGCAATACACAGGGGTAAGAGAATCATGATGAGTAAAATATATGACATACATGTAGAGAAAAAGTTGCGAAGAATGCAGTCACAGATAGCAGGGAGCTGTTTAAATAAACACAGGAAAGAAAATGCAAAGTAATTAGGATGGAAACAAATAATTGTTGAATAACTAAAGACATTATCTGTAGAATGAATTGGGACTGATAGGCAGTGACCTCTAGAGAACGAATGAAGACCGAACTGTAAAACCAACGTACGAAGGAAAAGTAAATGGATTCAAATGAAGTGGATAATGAAGGAAAACCATGGTTGAATGAGCTAATGAAACCCTCAAGAACTTATTGGTGAGAAGATTTAGAACCAAAGGCAACCTCTGAAGTGGAGTACCAATGTGTTCAAAGCAAGAATGGTTTGCAAGGATAGAAAAATACAGAGTTATAGTGGATTTTATGGGTGTAAATGTAGCTATCTTCATATGCTCCTAATCTCATCTCTTGTGGTTTGCTTACTAATTCTTATTCCTTTTTCACATTTTGCATTACCTGAAAGGAAATGGCTTGGATGAATTACAATTGTCCCAAAGGAAAACGGCTGTAGTCCCATATATTTAAATCAAACTTGTTACATTAATACAAGTAAGCCATTTGAAGTTTAGTTCTGGGTTCACAGAACAGGCTCAGGCAGTTAGCTAAGTGGACTGATAATCCAGGTGTGTACAATATAGAGACCCATTTTGGTCTGGTGGGTTAAGGCACCAAGCTAGAAAGCAGAGGACTGTAAATTCTAATCCTGCCTTAGCCATAAAGCCAGCTGGATGACCTTCAGTGAATTACTCTCACTCAGGTCAATCAATCTCACAGGGTTGTTTGTGGGGAAGAGTAGGAGGAGGAAGGTATGTGGGATATTTTCACTGCCTTGAGTTATTTATAAAAATAATAAAGGTGGGATAAAAGTAAATTTAAAAAAATGTTATAAACTAACCAAATGGCCTGCCTTCAAATAATATGCTAGTCAAGCTTAAAACTAATCAACTTTAGTATGTTATTTGGGGCAGCATGTTATGTCAAAGTTAGCTCGATTTATAATTGACCTTGTTAAGCACCTGGTCTCAACATTTTACTAAATCATAATATCTGTTAATATTTATAACTTTTTAATTAATAATTCTGGCTTTGAAGAGACAGTAACAAATTCCTGGGAGGTTACCGAAGACTGAATGTAAAAGACGGAATGGTAAGGCATTCTTTCTTCCTATTTTTACCAAGATTGACTAAACTATACCTTGTAAGGATTACTACGTTAACAAAATTCCCAATGTGACAGTGGCATGCTGACAGCTCCTGTTGTATAAGGACCATGTAAAAGTCCATGCATATTTTATCCTATGCATTCTAATTCTTTTTCAATTTGAATGAAATGTGCATATCAGCAAACAAAACATTCTCCTTCTGTACTTCAGAGACTCGTACTAGAATATCGTGCATATTTTAAGCCTTGGTCAAATACAAGTGATCCTAAGTTACAACTGAAATTCAGAGCGAAATCGCAGCCAGATAATAAATGTCTAGCTAATATGGTATACTCCCAGCTGGAAGTAACTTCAGGAAGTTAAGGCCCTATTTTTAAACAGGCTGTCCCTTATACAGGTGTGCTTATTAAGCAGAAATGGACATGGGGGAAATAAGATGAGTACTACATAGAATGCATAATCATATACAGTTAGTTTGCTTTCGGCAAATCATAGCCACCTCTGTGCCTTTACAGAAAAGCAATAAAATGCACTCAGTAAAATACAGTTATGTGCCATGAATATACAGAAATGTTATTTTTGAAATATATACAAGAAAATCTTTTCTATTGCCAGTGTCCAAGGTATTAATAAATTAAATCACTGGACATAAATAAAAGACAACTTTCTATTAAAAAGCATTAAGATTTTTACTTTATATATTGATTTTAGCAAAGCATGGTAACCAACTAGACTTAATTTTGAGGGCAACATCATCCAGGCTCTTTCCACATATACATCAAAATGTGCTACATAATAGCCATTTAGGTCATTCTTCATCCAAAAATATAATTGCTTTATGAAAAAGCAATAAAATATAATTTTGCATAAAAATGATATTAGCAAGAGTCAACTGAGAAAGTAGTGCATGTATCACATTACTTCTCCCAACAATTCCCAAAGAGGTGAGAACAAATATATATAATGTACATAAGAAAGCATGAATACATAGGTTATCAGGATGATTATACCCCTGCAGGATGCTTTTCTAATTTAAAAGATGTGCTTAGCATTCATGCACAGTTTTAAGGAATTTTAATTCTATAAAGGGTTATGAAAATCAGACAGAAGGAAGTATGAGAAGTCATGAAAAGAGATGGTGTATTTATCACAGCATTAGGCATTGAGAATATGAACTTAGATTAATTTCTCAAGATCATTACAAAATTAGCCAGTTTCCTTTCAACCTGCCTATATAGAACCACAAACTGCAAAGATAAAACATTCCCAGATCATCCTTTTGCTTTACAATTACAGTTCATTTTCCATAAATAATATACTTTATCCATTATTTAAAATATGAACAAAAATCTTGGTGTTTTTAAAAATCTGCCCTTGAGAAATGACAAATACATACATATTTTAAAATAACAACGTACAACTTGACATTGTTTTTAAGGCATGAAAAATGGCATATGAATGGGAAGAGCTTCTAGAAAAGCATTATGTTGTTTTTGATATAGCCAGTCCAAGCACAACACATCAAAAAAACCAACCTGACTCTAGAAATGAACAAGTGTTCTAATGTGATTCAAGATTCAATAACTACATGTGTAGACATTCTAGAACTTAGTTATAACAAGATTTATTTTATTGTTGAACTCTTCATGTCTATTTAAAGCACCAGATACTCTACAAAGCATCTTTGGCCAAATCAGTACATGCTTCTTTTATGCTGCACTTCCAGTATCTCAATAAATGAAGGGGTTGTGGGCTTTTTCCTCCCTTCTTTTCAATTTAATGATCATAGAAATGTTCAGAGTCTGGGCTAATGCACTTTTGGAAGTCTATTATAAATTGAATGTAAAAGCAAAGGAAGGTTTCCTGCAGACCCACAAATCACCGTCAGCTATAAGAAACATGTTGTGCATAGTGGTTTCTTTCTTTGTTTGTTTTTCTATTTTAAAAGAGTTATATGTTGCTAGATCTACATTCTCAGTTTACCAGAGTTTGAGTGTTTCTACTTTACTAAAGCCAGGATCCTTTCGGAGTTCCCAATAGGTGTCATTAGAAACCCATGCTTCTCTCTGATTGGCTTCAATAACTTTTCTGCAAAATTAAAAGAGTTATTGGTTAACATAAATTCAAAAATATTCTTTAAGAGAATAGAAATATACTTCAATTTAATTTACTTGTTGAGGAAATCTTCTGAAAAATGAAATTGCAATAAAATAATCCATTTTATTTAATCATAAATCAACAATCAACAAATAAAAGAAGAAAATCAATTAGGATAAAAAAAGAAAAAAATAATTGTTCTAAAATATCTAAGAAGGATTAGAAGAGATATTATGGTGTACTGTACAAACTGTAGAATGGTACTTAGCTGTGGTCAAAGATGTCAAATCACATTGACCTAATAATAACAAGATAAAACAAGTCAGAACGAATAGGATATTTAATAAAGAATTGAGATAATAATTCTTGGTGAGTGTCTAGGTATCATGTTCCAGCATTTCAATTATTTCTCCACCATGTGGGGACATCTCTATTCAAAAGGGATCTTTCATTCACCATGTCCCTTCAGTAACCACTGTTGTGCAGGCACTGAATCTAGCCAAGGATAAAGCCTTTCTAAATTTTGGAATCATGATGCAACTAAGGTATTTGGCTAATTGAAGAAGATATGTGGAGTGGCTCAAGAAGTTGTTTCTAGATAGAACTGATAACTCAGCCTACAACTCTAAATCAGTGGCCCATTGTTTGAGATCAGCTAATGCACAGTCATTTTAAGAAGGCTGGCTTTACTATGAAGCACACATTTGGCACACAATGAACTACTTGAAAAAGAATCAAAAATTTGGTTTGAACTCTTTCAAGACAAAGGAATGCCCTTTAAGGACCCAACTAAATTCCAAAAAGTTGCTGGGCTTGGATGTTAGTTGAAGAGATTTTAATTGCTGCTGATATATACGGAGATCCTTTTGAGAAATAAAAAAAAGTATAAAGCCAAAGAGGATTTCTGTGTATTTAGGGTAACATAATTGGTGTGAAATTTATAGTTGCCTATAGCATGGAAAATAATCCCCAGATATTTAAGACCTACTCTGTTAAATAATTTAGCTGCCAGACTTGTGTTCCTTAGCAAAAACCATGACCCTGATTTTGGAGTAATTAATTTCTAGCTGTTCTTCTTGACAGTCCCCACCAAGTATATTAAGTGCCCATTTCAGGCCAATCTGTGACTGAGCTCTTGTTTTCTTGCAGACATTTCATTACCCAAACTAGGTAACATCATCAGTGATCCTTAGACAGTCTGTGTCTAAGGAAACAGTGCAACAGCATCTGCATATAAAAGAAATGTGTCTACTTCCCAATTTTGGCAGATCAAGAGATGGGCTATTCAATGTGTCTATAAGAGTTAATTAGTGGCTTTCTCTGAAGCCTGTCTGCTCATCAGACAAGATATTCTCAGTTACACTCCAATGTAGGAGCTTGTTGTACATGTGCTAGCATATAATTAATTGATTGGCTAATGGGCCAATAATCTCTATTTTTCTTTTTTTGTAGATTGAAGTCACCAAAGGTAGGCCCAATCATCAGAGATCTTAGCATATTTATCAATACAGGTGAATAGGAAAGCCAAAATGGGTACCCACCAATCTAAACTGTTTTGAATGTCTTCCACTAAAATGAACTCATATTCTGGAGCTTTATTCAATTTCATCTGTTTAATCAGTGTTATAATCTCAGACCCTATCACAGGAAGTGGGGGGGAACTTACACTCAACTAATTCAGTTTCTTCAGCCAATTTCTCTACTTCTCCATCTGGTGTTAATAGGAATCAGCACTCTTCTAACCAATCCTGATTTGCAGCCAAGAATAACTGATTTAAAGAAGAAAGAATTCCTGATTTAAAGAATATAAAAATGATCCTCTTTCTTATTCAACCCAGGATGAGTTGCTGCTCTGCTGTTCCTCAAGAGGAAATATAAACATTATATTATTATATGCCTATAATAACAGGTATATATATTATGCCTGTTATTATAGGCAAAGAAGAAATAGGCTTTGAGAGAGTCTTGGAATCAACTCTCATTATAAGACTTTAGCTCTATCTGGAAATGCATAATTCTTTAATCTGCTTCCTCTAATTTACAAATTTTGTCTTTTATACCTGCTTCAGTCTGGGGACACCACTTCATATTGTTGTATACACAGAAGGAATTACTCCATCCGAAGAGGGATTAGACTATAAATAAAATAATTATTTGGCAGAGAAGGAGAAAAGAGATTGAATTTTACTCTTAGGTACTTGGCAGATTTTTGTTTTTCTAAGTTTACAAGGTTACATAAAAGAGAGGAACTGCACATACACTTATTTGCTTGGACAATTCTCTTTATCTAGCTAGGGGAAATTTTATGAAAGATAGTGCATGCATAAAACACCAATCTGAAGATCAAACATTAATGTTAGATCTCTGAATTTCAAAAATAATACAATAACTACATATTACAAATAAAACTGATTTCTCATTATCTAAGTCAAGATTCACAAAAATCATCATCTTTGATTCTAATTTAACTGAGAAATAAGACCCTCGGCTACAACCAATTTTCTCTCTATGTTTTGACACATTTTTGAAATTAATTCAGTTGAACAATAAGAAACATGCAGATGTTACATAATGCAAGACAATTTCTAATGCTAAAACATTGTTAGTATTTTTGTTAATATTGTTACACCATTATATATACCAACTCCATTCTGTTTGTAAAAGAATCACAGAGAGAGATATTACTTACTTAAAAAATTTTGGTACATGTTCTATATTGTTTTCCTCTAAATAACGTCTCCGGCATCTCTGGAGTTCTTCAATTCTTTGTTTTTCCGCTGCTGCTACTTCTAAATTTCCATCTTCCAAATGCCTATAGTTAAGAATTAGATCTTTCAGTAGATACATACTAACCTTTAACAAATATAACAACAAAATCCAGAAATCTCAAACTTCTGGGATTTGAAGCACCTAAATCATGTTCTATATTATGCAGGTTAGATAAAATTGATAGCGCTGTCATTCAAATAAATATATTTTGATTGAATCAGCATAAACATATATGATTAAATTCTATTATTTTGGACAAACAGTCTGCCTCCCTTGTTTCTGCAATATGCAGTTGTATATTAGTGCAGATAGTATATTACAAAAAGTATTTATGAGGTGGGAAGGGGAAGAAAATAGGAAGGGAAACCTCTTTTAAGGTGATCCCAGTCTGCTGCACTTTTTATAAGTTCACATATTAAAATATTTTAAATACTTCTCAAATTGTCTGGAGCAAGCTTGCTTTCTTTTTTTTTTTTTTGAATCAAGTTTTTTTTTTTTTTTTTTCTCCCCTGCCCCCCCCCCATTCACCCGCATATTTTATGAACAGAGTATTGGCCATATCATATCTTATACAACTTATCATATCCAAATACATTTTACTTAGTTACAATTTCTGCCAAAATCATCTTTTCCCATGTTTTTTAATTATATCTTAATATTTCTATGTTTATTTATATGAACAACATCTTCATTCACCCTCAAAATCTAATTTCTCTATTTTTACTCACATTTACTCTTTTTTACTTTTTAATAATTCATTCTTTATCCTAATACATTTACACATGTTCGGGATTGCCTTTCTTCCATTTCATCTTTTTTATTGTAAAAGCAATCTTTCTTCTCATTCTCTTCTGTCTTCCTCCCTTCTTTTATCCTTCCTACTTTCTTCTTTCCTCCTCTTCTACTCCTTCCCTACTTCCCCTTCCTTTCTCCCCCTCTTCCTTTCTTTCTCCCTATCTAACCTTCTCTCCTACCCATATTTCCCCTCCCTTCCTTCCTCCCCTCTTCCCTTTTTTCCATTCCTCTCTCTCCTTCTCCCTTCCTTCCATCCCTCTACTCCTTCTTTCATCTCTTTCTATTGCTGTATTCATTTTTAATTTACTATTTTCCACTATGGTGTCCAGGCAACCCCAACTTTTCCCTGAAGCAAGCTTTCACTGAGTAGCAGTAATTCACATTTCAGATGAATTTTTTAACATTAACATTCCTAATCAAAAGCAGCCGTAGCCTTTTTTTTTTTTTTTAAAGTGTACTTCTTGCCTTTGATCTGGCCTGAATCGAGCATCTGTTTTTGGAAGAAGATCTTTCAGTGCAGGATCTAACTCATTCAGCTCAACAGCAAACCTTGTGAAACCATAGTAATGCTCATAATTTGTTGGCATGGAACCTGTATTAAAAATTAAAATAAAGGTAGTGATTAACCACTGTGAGTAAACACTAGGTCTACATGATAAAGAAAATATTTGTATCTTGATCTGCATTAAATACCCTATATGCAGCACTGTCAATTCTCAAAACTCAGACATTATTCTACCTGTTATTGAGATGATATGGGAGATGGTGCACTGCTCATGTTGTTGTCAAGATATGCTCTGCTTGGCTAGGACCCCCATGTGCTCTCCCAAACTTTGTCCCACAAAATCCTTCTTACCCCGAAAGGCATGAAATGGTCTGACACAATCACTTCAAGCTTCTCTGTGCGAGGAGAAAGAAATTACTTCAGGAAGAAAGATCATCCCGAAAGATTCCAGAGAAGGTGGATACTTAGGGCTTCAATGGTCTTACAGACAATACTGAATGTTGGCCTTCTATATCACTGAGGCACAGCATGGGCATTCATATTATGTTTTATGCACAAGAAGCAATGGATAGAAATGGGAAGAAACTAATCAAGGAGAGAACCAACCTAGAACTAAGGAGAAATTTCCTGACAGTGAGGACAATTAATTAGAGGAATGGTTTGCCTCCAAAAGTTGTCGGTGCTCCAACACCAGAGGTTTTTAAGAAGAGACTGGACAACCATTGGTCTGAAATGATATACGGTCTCCTCCTGGTTAGGGGATTGGACTTGAGGACCTCCAAGGTCCTTCTCAATTCTGTTATTTTATTTTTTATTTAACTTATATTTTTATATTACTGAATCAGGCGGAATCATGGGGTGTACAAGTAGATAAAACCAGAATGTAACATTACGAAGCAAAGACAGTTTAAAGGCCTTATGAAAATTGTCAGTTTTGGCAGTTTTTTTTAAAAGATCCCAACAACGCCATCCACTGCTTTGAGTCCCCACTCTCTTATTTAATATATAAGTCTAAGCGAGATGGACGGTATATCAATTCAATAAATCAATATGTGGGGAACCCTTAGCATCCTGGTTTGGGATGAGCATACAGAATGAGCCAATTTTACAGAAAGGAAGCAGTTCTAAATAGTCCTTTTACGTGGCCTTCTCTTGCTTCCAACAACCTGGCAGCTGCTGCTTGAAAGTGACCAGACCTTAATCAATTTCACACTAAAGGTTTTGTTATGACCACATTGGTCATAAAATGAATTTTTTATTATCATTAATTATGGTCATATTTGCAAATGGTTGCTATCCAAGGCAGTTGCTAAATAAGAACTATCTGTATTGTGGGCCACCTTGAAACATCCCAGATTTAAAAAGATAAAGATAATTCAAATTCTCAATCAGTTTTCATATCACTTTTGTTAAATCACAAAACCAGCATATAAATTATAGGAGAACTAGGAACTGCCTCATAGATACCAATTTTGGAAAGTTAGAAAAACACAAGATTTAGTTCAGAAAGTACAACTTGTATCCTTAATCAAAGAATCCTATTTTTTTCCATCAATAGAAATAATGCATTAAACCCACTATATTATTTCTACTTTCTCTTCAATGTTCTTTATTTTTTTAACATTCAGTTTCACAAAATTTATCATTCAAATATGGGGAAAACTGATTGTAATTTTGTCCTAACCAATAAATCCAATTGACTAAGTAAGTGATTGTTTCCTTTTTCAAAGAAACTACTGTTTTTTTTTCTGTTCAGCTTGAAGAATATCAAAAATGTGTATAATACTGAAAAATGCACATTCATTTTGATGGCAACAGTGGCATTAAACATTTGCCACCATGCTCAAACTATTACATCTCTCTTTCTTCAAATATGCCATGTAACAATTTATAGCATTTTTGCATTATTCCTGCTTGATCTTAGAACATATTATGGAACACACAGCTTTCTAAATAAGTTGAGTTTGATTTAGATTTCATTGTGGGTACAAACGACTTACACTTACAGTTTCTAAGCTACAATTAATGTTCCAATGTACATTATCTAGTATACGGAGATGAAATCCCTGTGTCTATAGTACAAATTCTACTCCTTTCTTTATTACTTGTTTAATTATATTTAGAATTATATAAATGTCATGTATTACCGGGCCTCCATATACATTTTGCTGAAGGTGCAATTCCACAATATAATCCTTCATGCCATTTTCCAAAAAGGCGATGCACCACTTTTCCTTCTTGGTCAATGACAACACCTTGAACTTCATTTACGTTAGAATTCCAGTAATTCACCTAAAAATGTTAACCAAATAGTTTGGTTTTATTAAATGTAAAACAAATCATTTAACATCAAGAATATCTCTGCCTTCAATCAATAGCAAGAATGCAACCCCCATTACTAAAACACTCGATAACTGCTCTGATTCTTCACATGCAGTCCCATGAGAAAAAAATGTAATCTTGTTTATGACCTAACACACTGTGTATGTGAGTGCTCTGAGTTATGGCAGACTTCTAATTTAAAAGGGGATTGTAATATGAAGATCTGCTTCCACAAGCTGCTCAAATTCTGTAGAAGATCATTAAAAGGTAATTGCTGGGATAATGGAAAAGGCTGTGAAAGCAAGATTATTTTATATCCTACTCAAAAGTACTTTAGTCTTCTTGACAAGTGAAAGCATTTTGTAGGGCAGATTTCTTCCTTCTAAAACATTTGTCTGGAGCTCAAAAAAGAAAACAGCATTCTTGGTTGGGAATCCAGCCATAATTGGCTTTTCTAATTTCTCTTTTTATAATTATCTGCATGTAACTATCAAGGCCCATGAATTCCAGTAAGATTGGGACCTAATTAAAGAAATCTCAATTGATTAATTGTACCACTGGATAGTAAATTAACAGGTCACATCTACATCAGTCTGCACAGGAATGAAACTATTTTAAAAAACCCAGGTGTTTTAGATAATGTACCGTATTTTTCGGAAAATAAGACGCACGTTTTTCCCCCTAAAAGAGGCTGAAAATTTGGGTGCGTCTTATACTCCAAATGTAGCTTTTTTGAAGCTTTTTTTCAGCCTAACGAGACGCTAGCATGATCTTCCGCACTTTGCCTGCTTTTCTCATTGCTGCTCCCTCCGACGGTCAGCTGTGCTTTAGAAGCTGTTTTTCAGCCCCAATGAGGCGCTAACAAGTGAACAAGTGAAGCAATCTTCCACCCTTTGCTTGTTTCTCATTGCTTCTCTCTCCGACGATCAGCTGTGCTTTGGAAGCTGTTTTTTATCCCCAACCAGGGGATAAAAAGTGCACACGTGCTCAAAACCAGTGAACTAATGTGCTGAAGCTGACCAGACTAAGGACGCTAGCCAGATGAATACCTGTAGGCAGAATTTTTTCCCCCTATTTTCCTCCCCAAAAGTAAGGTGTGTCTTTTTTTTTTTATAAATACTTTATTGATTTTTGAAAAAAAGGTTTTTTTAAAAAGAAAATATCAAATCTCAGGTAACATCTGAGGTATCGTGCGATTACATATATACATTATATACACATCAAGTATCTTCAGATCTATCATTATTGGAAATAGGCATATCCTTATAGTCTTGTTCTATTATTCCACCATTTGTACCACCTTTCCCATATTGCCTTAAATTTAGAATTCTCATCGTCTTTAAGAACACTAGTTAATTTTGCCATTTCTGCACATTCTAGAATTTTATTTGTTATTGTCATCTCTGGAGGGATTTGTTTATCTTTCCAGTATTTTGCAAAGGTTAATCTGGCCGCTGTTATAAATATGTATAATTAATTGTGTCTTGTCCTTAGAGAGTCCATCTTTCGTCATTCCTAGTAGAAAAATTTCCGGAGATAATTTTATATCTTCTTCCACTATTTCTCGCAGCCAAGTTCGTATTTTTGTCCAGAACTTTTTTGTCTCCGAGCAGGACCACCACATGTGAAAGAAGGTGCCAATCTCCTTTCCACACTTCCAACAAATTCCTGAGGCGCTAGGAAATATTTTTGCTAATCTAGCTGGGGCTAGATACCATCTGTGAAATATTTTGTAGTGGTTCTCCCTATAAATTGCTGATTTAGTAAAATTATAGTTTCTATTCCAAGCGTCCTCCCAGTCGTTGAAATTTAGTCTATGGCCAATATTTTTTTCCCAAATGCTTAATTGATTCCTGGCTATCCCTTCTGCTCTGTCTTCGCCTAACAAGAGGTTATAAAATCTGGCTAGCATTTTCTTTTCAATCCCCAACATAATTTTGTCTAAATTGTTGTACTTTGTCTCTATACCAAATTGATCCCTATCTTTTTGATATCTAGAACTTATCTGCATATAGCTCCACCAGTCCAAATTAAAGCCTTGATTACTTAGTGTTTCTCGTGATTTAAGAATACCATTTTCATCTAATATGTCTTTGTATGTGCCAAATTTCACGATATCCCTTTTATTAGTAGTAATCAACGCCTCCATAATTGAGAGCCAAATCGGTACTTTCGTATAAAATCTTTGTCTAATTTCTTCCCATGTTTGAATCAGAGTCTCCCTTAATTTGTGTCTGTGGAAATATGATTTCTTTTTGTTCTTTGGGCCCCATAAATAAGCGTGCCAGCCTGCCTGTAGATCGTGACCTTCTAGCGTCAGGATTCTCTTATTTTGTAATGAAACCCATTCTTTGGTCCATACTAGTTTGGCCGCTTTCTGGTAAACTTGCCAATCAGGTAATCCGAAGCCGCCCATGCTTCTTTTCCCTTGCAGTGTTTTATATGCAATTCTTGCCTTCTTCCCTTCCCACAAAAAGTCTCGCACCTTCCTTTCCAAATCTAGAAAATATTTTTTATCAAGATTCACTGGAATGGTTTGAAATAGAAATATGATTTTGGGGAGAATATTCATTTTAATTGCTGAAATCTTACCTGTAAAGGACAGTTTTAGTTTCTTCCATCTATCTATGTCCTGCTTTATTTTTTGTAGTAATGGGCTATAATTGTCCTCTTTTAAGGAGGAATACCTTACAGTGATCCAGATTCCCAAATATTTTATTTTCTTTGCTATTTGAAGTTCAAGGGACCAGGGGATAAAAAGTGCACACGTGCTCAAAACCAGTGAACTAATGTGCTGAAGCTGACCAGACTAAGGACGCTAGCCAGATGAATACCTGTAGGCAGAATTTTTCCCCCCTATTTTCCTCCCCAAAAGTAAGGTGTGTCTTATACTCTGAAAAACATGGTATATGCATCTCATAGCACCTTAAAATGAAGACAGAAAATCTTTACTCGTTTCACTATTGCTTATACTGTCATCCACAGATCCATGGGGAAAATCAGAAGTTCCCACTTATCCTAGAAAAATCATTTTGGGTGAAAAAGAGAAAAAGGGGAAGATTCTTCTAAAATTGGTTTGTGCCATGTTTTTACTACTATTTTGCTTAAAGACAGGTATTTATTTATGGGGAAGGATTGAAGAACAAAAGTTAATATTAATATTGAAAATTACAACATTTCCAGTTAGACCTTTCACTATCATGCTGAATTGGTTCATATAACCAGGAACCACTTCTAGATTCACAGTAATATTTTACAGAATTACTGGGAGTCTGGCAGTATATAGATTTAATAAATTGTCGTTGCCGTTATCACTAATGCAGAGGATTTAAATAAAATTATGCAGAACAATGTGATTTTATATGCTGAAAGTTCTATTATACGTCACTGTCAACCATAGAGCTCTACAAGGTATTTATAGATTTGCATCAATGGACATGCATAAAGGCACTGATTGCATTAATTGTGGCACCCAATAAGAATACATAGGAATGTTGCCACTAAATTTATATGCTTTCTGGCAGCTAATTGAAAGGACTATTAATTATTCTCCCTACTGAAAAAGAAGCCTATCGAATCTAGTGTGCTACTGGTGCATTTCCAAACGCTCCTGTGAACAGGCCATTGGTAGCATGCATAGTCCCTTTACTGTTCATGATGATGATCACAGTAAAACTACCTTGATAAATGTGAGCTTACAAATACAGACACTGCTTTTTGTATTTCTAATGGTTACTTCTCCATAATGCTCTATCCATCTCCTTCCACTCAGGATGTTGTGTATGCAAGTAGTGACTTTGTTCCAAACATAGCAATCACCGTATCTAGAAAGAAAGGGAAGAGTAATACTTTTCAGAATTACCTTTTCTAAAGCCATGTGCAAATAAATCTCGCTACATTTCCAATATTAAAAACAACTCACAAAGAAGGAAAAAGTGCACCTCTTCACTCATTTAAACATTTATATTCTACCTTTTCTCAATCTATGTCCACAACATTATTTTACGATCAATCTTTGCATCACCATAAAAAAACATAATAAAACAACATTAGTTGAACATGGCTCTATATCCATCAGCAATTACATCACACTGATTCCTAAAGCTACCAAAAAAATATGGGGAAATAACAAGACTTAAACACTGTAAACAACAGGCCTGACCAATGTTTTCTGGAAAGACATCTCAAAGTCTGGGATGGTAATGATAAGAATACTCCTGCTCTAACAGATTCAAAAAGCTTGTCCTTCAGGTCTCTCTATACTGAATTGAGTACTTCCACTGTCTTTTTTCCCATAGAAGCTCTGTGCAACATTACAGCATTTTTAAATGTTAATTTGGATTGTCAAATATTTTCCTGAAATCAGGCTTTACAGGGTACTTCTGATAATGGAGGCACTAACATCCACATGATAGAATTTTTTTAAAAAAAAAAACATTTTTACTTTTCCAGAGAAGACTATGCTTACATTCCCAAAACAGAATTAACCACAAAAAATAATTAACATGAATGCATCCACTTGCAGATTGCAGCTCTGCAAACTCCTTCATTCCAATTATGGTCTTGGATCATTCTGTTGCTTGTATGCAGTTCAAAAGATACTTCTGGTAGAAGCTAATGTAAACCACTGAGACAGATTAGATTGAGACAAAGACAGCCAGTGCTGTAAATGATTAAAGTTCTGGACTGTAATTACAGAGATCCAGGTTGTAGCCCCTTGTAAGCTGCAGAAGCTCACAGAGTGATTTGAAGTCACTTTCTCGCAACACAACCTATCACCCAGGATTGTTGGAGAAAAAAGGAAGGCAGGATAACTATTTAGTTCTTGAACAAAAGGCAAGATATAAATCTAATAAAGAAATTTAAAAATAAATTAAAATTTCAATTTTCTATAGCTACATAGTGGGCTGCACACTGATGAGAAGTCTGAGTCTTTTTTTCAGTTTATTCTTCTGTTCGCATTAGTGCTGCATGAAGCAAGCCGAATTATAATACGTTGGCATCAGATGATAAACTGCAACATGCTTCAGGATAAACTTACTAAAGAATAGTAAGACTAAAAAAATGCACCAGGTTTCTCTACTTTCCCAACACTCCAGTTTGTACAGGGGCATATTTCATTTTCAATTACTAAAATATACCTACCTTTTTAAAGAAAATAACAAAGGAAAGTCTAAATGCTTTTACTGTTCTCAAGTTATGCCAGGCAACCATTGGTAAGGATCAAAACACCATCCATTCAAGCAATGACCATTTTCATCCTAGCTCAGCCAGAATTCATTTCATTATTATTGCTAGGATACTGGGATCTAGTTCTTCAGGGATCCCAGCTTTCTTACCTCTGCCTAAAAATTGATCCTATTCCATTCTGCACATTTCCAGATTTCATTATCTGTCACGTTATATAATAACTTGCTGTTTTAACAGTTAAAAAAAAAAGGAATACAGACTAAAAGCACTTACTTAGGAAGTGTCACATTCAGAGTTCCAATTGGCAATATTTCCATCGATTTCCCCCAGAATTTGTTTTTCCATCTAATATCTAAATAGAAGAAATTTCTATAAAGAAGCAAAATGCTATACACATTTATTCATCTCACATATCATATAAGCTAATACATCTTGTTCTAAACAGATCAATAGGCTAATCCAGAGGCAGAAAACTGTTGATTTCTAATTTCTCAATGTGAAATATATAATAAAAATATAAAAATATAACAATTGGCCTTTGCTATATTGTAACTGTTTAACTACATTTCAACAAGGGAATTGTATAAAATTTAATTTTCTTTTTTAATTGAAATTTGATTCATCCACTTGTAACTCAAATATATACCTTGCCAAAACACAAAATTCTTTGATTCACAGTGACAGGCAGAAATGGGTGGGTGATGGCTAACCTGAAAAAAAAAATTACATAGAAGTAATTGGACAACAAAATCTACATAAGATTTTTATATTCATCACCCTTCGGGAAAAAAAAATCTACACAACTATGCAAAGAACATGAATGCAAAGCTAAATTCTGCCATGTTGAATTTTAGCTAATATTGCAAAAACAAATCTTGTTTTAAAACAAATATAAGGATCTTGACAGCACTTCATAAATCAAGATAAAATGTTTTAAATAACTCTCCTTCCTCTCAAAAATTAAAGTCATACCGCAATATTTAACTATCTTGATTACAGCAGATCATACCTGCTCTGAGAAAAATCGAAATCCCTTGTCTTCTCTTATACACTCATAAGTCTCACCAAGTAGAGGGTTAAAAGGCTTGCTTCCTGCTCTGTAATAAGTGGAAGCATATCCTGAAGTTGCAAAGGCAGCAATAAGGACCTAATTAAAACAACAAAACAGTATTTAAGAAAACAATTCTGAAAGAGACTGGCTTGACACAAGTAGCAACTGTATCAATGGTGGGTTCCAAATTTTTTAACAACTGGTTGTCTGCTGGGGGTGTGTGGCTGGGGGGTGATGTGACTGAATGGGCACGGCCAACTCTACTTCAGTTGTGTGGGTGGTACCTGTATGGGACAGGCATGGTTAGGATTAGGGGTTTCTGGTGGGGTGGGTGGGGGAGGAAAGAAAGATCCAACCTGTGTGTGTGTGTGTGTGTGTGTGTGTGTGTGAGAGAGAGAGAGAGAGAGAGAGAGAGAGAGAGAGAGAGAGAGAGAGAGAGAGAGAGAGGGAGAGGGAGAGGGAGAGAGAGAGACTGCGTCAAGCTGCGAAAGCTGGCTGCAAGAGGAAGAGAAGCTGGTAAGCTGTTTTTTGGGGCGTTTTTCGGGCCGTTTTCAGGCCTTTTTTGGGCTTTCAGGCTTTTTTTGAAAAACATTTTTGAAAATGACTCAAAAAACAGCCTGAAAACGGTCTAAAAAATGGCCTGTTTTTTGGGCTGTTTTCAGGCCATTTTTGGGGCCATATTCAGGCCAATTTTGGCTGGAAAAACAGCCTGGAAAATGTCCTGAAAAATGGTTGGGGGTGGGGCCAGATGGTGGTCTGATTTGCCAGTTCTCCGAACCGCGTAGAATTGGAACTACCGGTTTGGCCGAACCGGTCTGAATCTGCAGCATCCCACCTCTGAACTGTATAATCAACCATGTTCTTTTCTAGGGTGCATCTTTGTCCTGTTTAAAGTAGTGTGTGTGTGTGTGTGTGTGTGTGTGTGTGTGTGTGTGTGTGTGTGTTGTGTGTGTATTACTTAGTTAGTTAGTTAGTTCTCATTTGCTTCCAGAGTGTAGCAAAATCTAAATCAAAACAGAAAGAAATCCAGGGCTACTGCTCTATTATTATACACAAATGCTTTTAAATGCAGGAAAGAAAAATATAAGAATGTTATATCTTGAAGACTTAATGGTAAGACAGGATGGACAGTGAATCTATGTTGTATATCTGTTTATGTATAATGTAAATATATAATCTAATAAACTCTTACAAAGACACCAAGTTCTGTGGAAAAACAAAAGAGGAATGTCAAGATGAGAATCTGCATCTGAAGAAAATACAGTGGCCATATTTATTTGTTGTGGGGAATCACAGCTTATTATGAGGTGCAGAAGATGAGGCAAACCAGAAGGGAGAGAGTTGAACATTTTAACTTCAGGCTTCATGGAAGCAATGCTTTCTATTTCTTTCAAACAGGGTCACAGTATAAACTATTTTATTGCCTGGGAACCAGAAGCTCCAAATAAATGTTCCAAACTGGACACTTACTAGATTGTTTAGATTTGAGGGTCTGATCTAACTGAACAGATCATAGAAAGAGCTACAGATCATTTCAGGGAGAAAAATGTAGGTGTGGACTGTATTTAACTTTTCATTCATACATGTTGTGCATATGGGAGGAATATCCTGCAGTAACATACCCCTTTTTGTATTTCCAGATCAGGAACATACCCTTTCCTATGTGAATTTTTCCCACATTGGTATTTGATCGCTTCTATAAAAAAAGTTGCTAACAAAAATCTACAACTACTTTTTAAAAGGCAGTATTGCAATAGGGGAAAAAACTGGAGGTGTAATTAAAAGAAAGAAAAGAATATATATTTTAACCTTTGAAGATACATCATAGTTAAAAGTCTTTATAGAAATTCAGCTTACAATAAATTGGGTATATTTCCCAGACACAGAAAATGGAGCATTATTCATATATATAAATAATAAATATAATGGAAACAGTTCACCGGGACTTTTTCCTATGCATACTATAATCATATTTTTATGTATATCTCTTGTTTATATAGCTGCCATTCTCGGTACCCTCTTCCTGTCAGAACATATTTTATGTTTCTCTCACAGAAAAGAGAAGGGGAGGCTATCTTGGAATGTTTAAGTATGTTACAAAGTACATTTTTATAGATAAACAAATGGTATTTTTGTATAAACTAGAGGCCCTCATTGTGCCAGCATCACTCCTTTTAGAGAATGCAAAATACCGGAGGTCTAAGAGAGAAGGAACACATTATGGAACACCATGATATGTTCCATAATCAGGCCCATTACCATACGTTCATAGGGATCATCGATTTCAGCAGCTTTGTCCAAAAGTTCACTATATTCCAGTTCCTCGCAAAGATGTTGCAAAGTATTCAAAGGCTCATTGAGCTCTACAGGCATTGATACTTTGGAAAGGTCCTTCCCAATATTATTTCTCAAAATGTTCCACAGATTAATATTACTAGTATCAGGGGAGGGTGTTGGAAGACATGTCCTTCGTCCATTTCTGAAAGCACCTCCTGTTAGCTCACCATTCATTACTGAAAGAGAAATAGAGCAGAATGATCATGAAACCTATACAATGTGCTGATATACACATATAGACATATAGTTGGTATATGTTTGTGTGTGTGCGGTGTGTGTATGTATATGGCATGATATTGCATAAAACTATAGGTAGTTCTCACAGTTACTGATTCATTTAGTGACTTTTCAAAGTTACAAGAGTGCTAAAAAAAACCAGCTTAACATCCAGTTCTCATATTTATGACTTTAGTAGAATCTCTGTTAATTTTAACTTGCTGATTTAGCCCATACTAAGATGCCTTCAAAGCGAAAGAGAAAAGCTGAAGGAAAGGAAAACTGAAGTAAAATCATAAGCATGCCTGCAGCCCTCCATTTTTACTTCATAACTGCTTTGCTTAACAAGCAAGTCATAGATTGCAACTGTGGTAGGACTACCTGTACTTTGAATTTTAATCATCTTACATATTATCTTACTATCCTACAAGCAAACTTGTAGCCTACAGTAAGGAATCTCCTTATTTGGAGCCACAATTTCTTTGCTTTTTAAAAATCAACTAACAAATATACCACTAAAGTCATGTTGTCTCCTGAAGTCATGGATTCAGAAATACTTTGTGAGATTAAGTACCAATTTTTTAAACCTGTTACAACAATTGAGGCCATAGTCCTCCCTTGTATCAGTACACCTGACTAAATCCTGAGTGCCTGGCAAAAACGTTAAAAAAAAAAAGACATTTAAAACCAATTTAAAAAAAACCTGATTAAGAATGATCCCAAATGAAGCTTTTATTGTGCACAGAATTTTACAAGGCATCCAGGTGTCATTATTTTCTTTATAAAACCACCACAATGCCTTACCGTGGCTTTACCTAGATTTTCCTTTGCTTTGTCATGTGTACATAACAAATTGTTAAGAAACAAGATGGAATAAGCTGCTTACCTTGAAATATTCAAACAGCAAAATAAGTCGCAGGGGTACATATTTGCTTAATCTTTCATTTCTTGCCTTTTTGCCACTTTAGGTTTTTTTTCTCCATAGCTTCCTCAACAGATGGAATTACAGAATTATATCTACGCACTAATTCCCACTTTTGCTTTTCTATTCCCATTAATTTATTTTCCAAACAGGCTTTCCTTCCCTTTTAATTATTTTTAAAAGAAGGCAGTCTCTTTTTTAAAAGGATTTTTGTTAACGTTGCTGTACTTTTGCATATAATTCAATTAACTACTCGCTGGCTGATGAGTTGCAGAAAAAAAGAATGAAAAAAGAGGAGGGAAGATGGTTTATTTTTTCCCCAGTCCCATTTTCTGTAAAATAATTGGAAAAATAAATATGTTTTGGTAATACCTGAAAAAAAATTTAATTATATCTTTTCAAATAATGAATGCAATAAGAGATATTTTCCACATATTGCTATTGTTTATTTCCCCAAATGTTTTTCTTTTGTAATTAGATTTTTTTTTCAAATAGCAGAGTATTAAACTTCTTATACACAGAGTACAGCTTTCAAATGTAAATACAAAATACATTTCAGCCACTAACGAGAACTGTCATTTTCATCAAAAAGAAGAATGATTTGGTACCTGATTTACTTGTGAACTTGTCTATTGCTGATTTTTTTACCTACAAGTCAGGCCTGCTCTTGACTGGGTCTCAAAGGATAGAATTCTGTTTTATTATCATGTTAATCATTTCTTCGGTCTTCAACTTTATTTTTTTCAGTGTGACAAAATTAAAGAGACCTTGGATTTCCAGGGAATAATTGCTGAACTGAAGACGGTTCCAGAAAACGAAGAGCTGACGATCGCACCAGAATAAAGAGCTGGTGAATAGACCAACTTTTCATAATTCCTCTCCAGACAAGGAGGGGACTTGAGATTGCCTATGTGTGCTCCAGACAGTTGCTCCTCATGAGACCACCTCATGACAGTGGTTTCCAACAGATTTAGCAATCTGGGAGTGGTGGGGGGTTCTTATTCAAACCGTGGTTGCTATTTTCGAAAGGACACTGGGTTTGCATACTTCCTTTTCTAATCACTTTAGGAAATTGTTAAATTGTTAACTGCCTTTCATCTATTAGGAACATTTGGATTGACGGTTTACAGCACCAGGTAAATTTCCTTCAATCCTTAGCAAAATAGAGTTTTAAATATAACATTAATGACTTAAAAATTCTTTCTGAAATAAACAGTAAAAGGGTAATTAAAACTTTGAATTTTTAAACATTTTTTATTAAAGTTTAAAAACACAAAGATAAAAAGTTAATACAAACTAAGAAAAATATAACAGTAAAAAAGTAAAACGCAAAAATATTAAATAGATATATATGCTTAGATACACACACACATATATATCTTACATATATATATATACATGTATGTATGAAAAAATGGCTGATAGAGCTGAAACAATGAGGTTTTATGGATTTATTTATAGATAACAGATGGAATATGGGAAAAAGAAATGATTTGTTGTGTTTTAAAAGAAGATGATGAGTGATTAAAATTGTTTATAATTGTGAAGAAGGGGGAAGTCACTTCTCTTGTTTTTTACTGCATTCTTATTTATTCTTCTTTAATAATTCCTTTTTCTTTTCTGCACTTTCCATTTTTTTCTTTTTAATCTTTCCTTTTTTAGTTTGTATTTGTTTTTATTGCTGTAAATTGTAATCTTTAATAAAATTGCTATAAAAAACAAACAATTAAGAGATCCTGGGTTCTTGGAATTCTATGGTTTATAGTTCCATTTGTAACAAAAGTTAAAAAAAATTATGTACATTCAATTAGCAAAGGGAAAGGAAAAGGAAAAGAGTCCCTGTGTGTTTTACTCCACTACTCATTGAGTATAGAGGGGCAGCGCTCATCTCAGTTTCAAGGCTGCGAGCCAGTGCTGTCTGGAGACATTTTCTCAGTCATATGGCCAGCATGACATTGTGAAGCACTGTTTCCTCCTCATTGAAGTGGTATCTATTTATCTACTCGCATTTACATGCTTTTGAACTGCTAAGTGAGCAGGAGCTAGGCGAAGATAGGTGCTCACCCCAAGACACTTGGGTCTTGAACGCAGGCTGTCAGCCTTCCAGCCGACAAGCCCAGCATCTTAACTGCTGAGCCATCGTGATGCTCAATTAGCAAATGTAATAATTATTTAAATAAATTACATATTTAAACTTAATCAACATAGCAAGCATTACTGCATGAGTAAACCAAAGTATAGAATTTGCAATATATATTTCTTAGCTGAACTTAAATGCATAAACAAAAAGTTTATTCAAATATTGGAATACATTTTTCCAATATTTCTTGACATATTTTTTCCAAAATAATTAGAAATAGTATTTTACTTCAAAATAACTTAAATCTAAAACTTTTGCATATCACTACTTGTAAGTAGAAGGGAAGGAGAAATTAGCAACTTAGAAAATTTAGAAAGATGATTTATAATGAGGTTCGGGTTAGCACAATGGGATGCAGAAAGAAGAATGAGATGGGAAAAATTAGCGCTGAATATGCTGGAAGATATGGAAAATAGAAATAGAGTAACAGAGAGAGCAAGGATGGGAATTATACACACAAAACAATACAATATCCTGAAGTGACCAAAAGAAAGAGGATTAATATGAAGAGAGGTTGAAAGTATCTTGCGATGGCAAAGAGGATAGAATAAAGGCAGAAAAATGGATTAACAGAAAGCATGTGTTAAAAAGAGCTCATAGAATTAAAAAAGAAAGAAAGTAATTTTCTGCAACTAATAAAGTAAATTAGAAGCAATTTGAAAGTAGCTCTCGGAGTGAAGACTCCTTGTTTGCCTCTTTATAAATTATATAAATTTTATTTTCTAAAAGTCAAGAAACCGCATACTTTGCCGAGAAATATTGTCTCCAACACTAGTGTTGTCCTCAGATATGTTGTCGCTCACATCACTTATATAAGATTCATCATCAGAAGCCTAATGAAGAAAACACTGATTATTATTATTATACTGAAGAAATAAATGCTATTGTCATAAATTCAAATTCCTTATAATCTTTTGTTTTTTTAGATCCATCCTGTTTGCCTGCAAGCATTCTTCCCATTCAATAAAACATTGATAGTTGCACAATCTGTGGTGAATCCCCCTCTTGGCAGAACAACAATGCAACAACTGCTAAAAGAAAAAGCAGCAGAGAGATTTGGAAAATTATAGCATTTTGCTGCCATCTTATAGTTGTTTTGAGTTTTACAGGTCAGATATGGTAGCCCTTATTTTATTTAGCATTTCAGAGTGCTCAAATAATATGTACAGTATATTACCTTAAAAACATTTGCAATAAATTAACTGATATGATTGCCTTCATACATGAATCACTGGCTGAGACATATATGTTTATGAAAAACATCAACAAAGCAGTTAATACTTGTGAATCATAGACAGGCTATGCCATGCTCATTTTCCTAATTAAAATGAAGCATCTAGTACTTCGACCTCACATTACATAAAGGCGTTCTAAATATAAATTGCACTGCTGAATAAAGATTGTTCTTCCTAACCTCATTTTCTGATGAGCTTGCAGATAGAAGCACTTCTTGGGCATCAAAAAATTCAGAGACAGATTCGGACATGGAGAGCCGGCTCTCATTAGAAACTTGTTGAGAAAGTGGGAGACTGACATGGATCTGTTCACCTGTCTATAAAAGAAAAGCATATAGATGAATTCTGCATACTGTATAGTGAGAGCCTAAGAGCTTATACAAGCTATGACAAAACAAAAATCACACCAAGCCACGGATAGATGCACTGCTTCTTTTTTCACATTTCTTTCCCACGTACTGAGGGAGAAAATAAAGCAGAGATGGTCCTGTAAACCTGCCCTGTATCTAGCAAATTCAGAATTTAGTTGAAAAGGAGTCATATTTTCAGGATGCACTCAAAACTTTCTGGTACCTGGAGAAAGAGATGCATTACTTTCCTCAGGATTAGTACAATTCTTAGTACGTTTACACTGCACTTCCACGTGTATTGATGAGGGTTGCCACAAAATACAGGCTGGCTAGAATTCAATTCATACGCAGCCAGCCATTCCCTCAAAGAGGGAATTCTATTCTTGCCCACTGTCATTCAACATTTTGTGATCAATGACTATGTTCAATTCTCAATAAATTATGTTTGCTGGATTGAGTATGCTAATAACTTCTAATTCTTCAGGTCTCCAGTTTTGATTATAGTCTTTTTACCACCCTGCTCTTAAGTGTGCTATTAGGAAAAGCAGTGCTTGTATTCTATTTACTGTATTTCAAGTCTTCCCTTTTTTAGGATAGGTCATATATACACAGTTTTATCTTCTCAATAGGCAATTTTAAGGATGGAAAGAGATATACTCTGCCATTCAGGCTTGCAGCATGGATCTCTTTTATTTCATTACTTCCCATTGCAAAGGGTATTCCATTAAAATAACACTTTTCTATTTACAACAAAGCTCAACAAACATCATTAAGAAGTTACTGCTACAGGATAGGAAGGCCTGAGAATATAGGAAACGTGATTCCTGCAACCCGAGAAAATGAGAAGTTGTCATATGCAGGAAATTTTGTTTGAAAAGAGGGGTAGCAACTTTAACAAGTGTCTAAATGCATCTGCCTTGATTCATACTATGGAAGAATTCTAACTTCATGCAATAGAAGTAGCTTCGAATGAAAGATACAAGAAAAACTTTTGTTTGCATTGAAGGGTTAACCAACAAAATGCATGGGAATGTAATTAAAACATGACATAAAATGCAAGTGAGAGAGGAAGAGAGACACCATAACTTTCAAGAAAAGGAATTTGAAAGAAAAATAAATAATGAAATAGAAACTTTGGTGAAACCAGTAAGCATTATCTTCTCGTGTAATTTCTTAAAACTAAGTGAAGTTTTACATTTTCTAACCTGGAAGGTCTTCTGCTCAAAAGGAGAACAGAAAAGAAAGATCATCAACTGAACAGATATTGTTGCAATACTAATTGGTTTATCTTCCATCTTTTTAAATCCAAAGCATAAGATTGATAATGCCAAATGATCAGAAACAAAAAGGAAGCAGACAATTCTTACCATGGATGGAGTAGTGAGGTTACTCTGAGGATCTATACTGATAATGACTAATGCTTTTTTAAACACATTTTAAACTCGTTTTTAAATATCTGAAGTTGGACTAGCCGAATAAGGTAATTGACTGTATGGACTGACCAGGGTGGCCAAAAAATGGCAGAGAAGAACTCTAAACCCATTTCTATAAACTGGGTAAGAGGATATAAAATGGCAAATGTGTTTCAAGAAATGTTAAGTATAAAATAATATGCACCAATGCCAAAAATTTTAAGTTCACCACACTGATGGCCACTGAATACACTGAACTGGCAATGATGAACCAGAAAATATCATCGGATCATAATGGGAACCAGAAATAAATATATTTTTCGTTTTGAAAAAAAAAGTAGTGGTTATGAATAAACTATGCATGATACAATGAAAGTAGACAGAAAATATATAATATTTCTCTCTCATAGCACAGAAACTCAGAAGCAGATTTAGGAAAAACAAATGAAAGTCTGTCTTCACACAGTATTTAAATGTATAGAATTAGCCATCCTAAAATCAATAGCTAATCAACTAATTAGATGTCATTGAGTTGATGTTAACTCTTAACAACCACATGCATAAACATTCTCCAGGATAAGCCTATAGCTTAGTTATAATTTTTTAAAAAAGATATTTAGAAAATTCATGGGGAATAAAATTACCAGTGGCTATTAAGCCAAGGAGCTTTAGGACAATCTTAGGATCATCTCTGAAGGTCAGCTACAGAAGAACATGAGTAGAAAAAATGCTAAATATTCACAGGGTCCCCATAGTAACTTGAGAACAGGCTGTTGTACTATATAGGTATTTCATATAAACTGGCATGGCTCTTATGTATTTACATTCCAGCTGCATGTTCAAATACTGACTGAATGAGGTTGTCAAACATTCTATTCAGCAATTTAAAGTATGCTTTTTCCAAAGGGAATTTCCCACTAATTACAGCTTATTACTTTCACGAATGCAATTAGAAAATTATTATCTAAAATGAGTTTGTCCCACTGCTTGCCAACCATAATCATTTAATCATTAATGGTTATTAGCAGAATTTAACTATGGTAAGTCCATTAGAGCAATGCCAAAGTCTTACCTCATCAGGACTAGGGATAATATTTACACTGACAACCTGATCACAAAGAACAGAGTCTGAGTGTATTCTGTTCAAACGACTCCTTAGTTCAGCATTCTGGTTGAGAGCCTTAAAATAATAAAATTGAATATTTAATTTCAATTTCACAAGAATAGTAAAAAAAAATAAAAAAATAGATCCAAGCTATCTTCATATCCTATATCCTGGCCAAAGTATAGTGTTATTATATAACGTACTGGGAAGGATTCATTTTCAAAATTAACATCTCTTTGCTGATCATAAATGCTACTTCCCAAAGATTTCTTTACTTATTATGCATTATTGCAACTACAGTATCATGATCTTTCCCCTTAAGATTTTATTACTCGTGTGATGGCTATGATGTTGAGAATTCCCTGCTAGAAATCCATAGTCCTTCACACTTTACATAAGTCTGAGACCATGAGTCATCTGATGGGATATTGGAGGCATCCAGTGGTGGGATTCAGCCAGTTCGCACCACTTCGGGAGAACCGGTTGTTAACTTTCTGAGCAGTTTGGCAAACTGGTTGTTGGAAGAAATCATTAGGGCAGAGAACCGGTTGTTAAATTACTTGAATCCCACTACTGGAGGCATCCCTTTTCTATAGCTGCCCTAGCCCTTTGGAATAGCCTCCCGACTGAGATTTGAGAAAACCCAACCATTTTACCCTTCTGGAAGGCCGTGAAGACCTGCCTCTTCCTCCAAACATTGGACTAGGGTTCAGGTTTAGCCTGAAGATTGAGACCTGATTGGTCAGACCCTGATAGGAAGGCTTGTTCTAGTTTTCATTAGTTGTTGTAAATCATGTAGGTTCTCAATGTGAGAGAAAGCAGCCCATATGAGTTCAATAAATAAATAAACAAGCATGTATGCATGCATAGTTTCCAATGGAAAGTGATCTGAATATATTTACTTGCTTCAGTAAGCAAAACATGCACTTAATAGAAATAATACTTATAATAATGACTGCTGTTTATAACTCTTCAGTATAGCAATACTTATTACTGATATTATCAGTCATAATCTCTCTCTCTCCCTCCCTCTCTCTCTCTCTTTCTCTCCCACTTCAAGTCAATCTTGATTCCTGGCAACTGCCTGAACAAGGGCCTGCAGTTTTCTTGGCAAGATTTAAGAATGGTTTGCCACTGCTATCTTTCTAGGGAGTAAGGGACTGAATAAAGTTCATCAAGTTGGCTCTATGTATTAAATTCTCAGTCCACACGATCACTGACTGAGGCGAGGCGAGGCGGCTGCAGCAATCAACAAACTTTATTCAGAACGGCAACAAGTTAACAGCAACAACAGCCGCGCTTTTGACAGCTTTTATACCCGAGCTGTCCCGCGGTTAACCAATCAGAGAACAGCTGAACCATTCGTGCCGGTTGCTGGGGGGGGGGACTCGCGTCCGGCAGTCTTAATATTCAACACTATGCCTAAGGCAGGATTAGAATTCAGTCACCCCATTTCTAGCTTGGTGCCTTAACCACGACACTAGATTGGTTGTCATACTAACATTATCTCATACTATTGATATATATTTGTAACAGAATGAAAATACTCTCCAAATAATCATAAGCTTCTATATAATGGGATAGAAAAAAAAGTAATAAATTCATCTCCTGAGCTGCTTTGTTTACTATAAATTAGAAAACACACATTTTAATATTAACTGTTTAATGTTTAGTTAAGCAAGCTAGACAATTTATTAAGCTGAATTCTATTCAGCTACAGAATATAATTCACCAGAACATATCGCAATGAGGGGAAAGCAGAATGGGACCATGGAAATTTTGGTAAACATTTTGATGATCAAAGAAAGAGAGGAAAAGATTAGTAAAGAAAAATATTTCATTTGCTAACCCTGATTCTTTTCTATTTTTAGAAATGTTTATGTTCTTCTACAGAAAGAAACTCATAATAAGTAATGAAAACTAAATGATCAGAGAACCATAAGATGCCAGACTAGAAGCAAAATTGTATGCCATGTTACTATGATTTTATCTTTAAACCATAATAAAATCATTACACGGCAATAAAAATGCTAATTGAGTCACTTAGATGATACTGTGACTAGAGGCAAAAGAATAACATTCTACTAGATATGGATTATTTCATGAAAGGCTTTTTTTCTTCCTCACTTCTTCTTTCCCTATTTTCCTCCCTATAGAAATTGTTATACTAGGAAAGGAGATATTCTAGAATACTGGGTTTCAAGATATCCTGTAAGTGCTAATCAATAAACATTGTAAATAATTTCCTCCTCCTTGGGAAGGAAAAAGAGTAACTAAACAGAAGAAACAATATTATCTAATCACCTCATGAAAAAAAAACAATGAACAATGAAGGCAAGATAAGGCACAACAAAAGCCCTATTTGGAAATATTTTATAAATTAAAACATGACTTCTAATAGAAAACAGTAACAGTAAAACAAAAATGAAACGCAAACTATAGTTAATATCAATATTAACTGAATTGTGAATTTATATGTGGATTCTACAAAGATGTTAAGGCAAAACTGAGGAGATATCAATGGGATTGTGTATGCCTTACTTCCATGCAATGTATATTTATATTTATATTGTATTGTATTTATTACATTACACTACATTACATTATATTTCTTTATTGCAAGTGCAGATTTTATTTAAACAGACTAATAAAAAGGAGGGAAGACAGGAAGTCTACACCTAAGTATTTGTGGATTCTTCAATGGTACCTTATCTCTGAAATACTCTCATTTCTTCTTTGCCTATTATCTTTGAAATGACCTTCTCAAAAAATGCTTGGCAGATACCTTCAGTATAGTTCCAAGACCAGGTCTCTTACTCTCCCAGGCAGATAAACACATTTTTGTGAATACTTAACAACTTTTATTGCTACTATTATTACTGTGGTTTAATGCTGATTAATTGTCCATGCTATAGCAGTTCATGAGTTCTTTATTTTGGTTGTTGTTTTTTAATATTGGTCTTTTTTTAAAAAAATTACGTTTTACTTCATTCAAAGTAAGTGGAGTGAAACAATAATACATAGCCTAGTGTGATATATTATGATCTAAATTACAAAAGGAAACAAGGTCATGTTAGGCAATCATAGAAACATTGCTGCTCTCCATAAAAACATCCATTTCAGCTGATATCTAAATAGGCAGATATCAGATTAATCAAGGCAGGCAACATTAAAGTCAACATTTAAAACATTAAAGCTCAATCTCAAGACCCTCTCTTGTTATGCAACTAAAAAATGTCAGATTCCCATTGAAAATTGATAGCATCGTTTTTCAGATGAAATTGTAAACCTTAGGATATAATTTGGGGGTGTTAGAGGTTTCTTCTCCATTAAAAAAAATGGAAACTATTGGACATGATGTGTCATATTAGTTTACTTAGCACCTTACCCTCCCAGCCTAATAGATTTAAGGGATACACAGGAAACAGAGTCTATCACATTAACACTTCTCCATAGCTCCCTTTACAACTTAAATACATGCGAGTAAGAAAAAAGGAGATTAAAGAAATGCTTGAAGTGGAACTCTAGGTAGCAGACAAACAGAATTAAAAATCAGTATAAAGTAAAATGTTAATATCAGTAAGTTTTTCAGCACAAGCAATATTAAATTGATTTATCTTATACGCTAGATTGAAAACACTAGGAAGGAAAAGAAATCACAGGCATTAACTTTCTATTATGTTACATGGAAGCATAAAAAATTATGGAAATTATTGCTCGTACTACTTTGTATTCTATTATCTATTAGAAAGTTGCTACATGTCATGTGTAATTAGAACCCCGCCACACAAATTATAGCTATTTCCAAAGCCAACATTTATTTTCCTATAACATTACCTGAGAAAGTGATTGTCGGAGACGTATCATCTGTGTGTTGTGTGCTGCGAAATCATGTTCTGTTACCATCTGTTTCAGTTTTTCCTTTTCTATTGCTATACTGTTAAATGCAGACTTCAAAAGAGAATGTACTGAAGAAGAAACAAGAATGTCTTTGAAAAACACCGTATTGTTTTTGAATGCAATTATTGAATGTAAACATAATAATATTAAATCTAAACATTATGCATGAAGAAAAGCACTGATGGAAAACGCTATACACGTAGTCCTTGGAAAATTCTGTACAGGTAGTCCTTGAATTACAACAGTTCATTTAGTGACCATTCAAAGTTACAACGGCACTGAAAAAAGTGACTTATGACCATTTTTCACAATTACGACCATTGCAGCATCCCCATGGTCATTTGATCAAAATTCAGACACTTGGCAACCGGTTCATATTTATGAAGGTTGCAATGTTCCAGGGTCATGTGATCTGCTTTTGTGACTTTCTGACAAGCAAAGTCAATGAGGAGGCCAGATTCACTTAAGAACTGCAATGATTCACTTAACAACTGTTGCAAGCAAAGTCATAAAGTGTTTCACTTAGCAACATAAAAGTTGGGCTCAATTGTGGTCATAACTCGAGGACTATCTATATACAAAATACCTCTTTAGAATACTTTCACAACTATGTCCCCAAAACTGAAAAGGGTTGACAGCATTTCAGATATACACAGCATGAAATAGTGATTTTATATTCTGCTCTTAAAAATGTTTCAGCACACTGTGCTCTCTCGCAGCTCCTATTGATAGACTATTTTGCTTTTGAGTTTTACTACAATGACAGTCTCAATAGAACAAAGGCCTTTTTTTAAACGTTTAGATTAATACTGCTGAAAGCACTGCCACAGACTTGAGAAGTTTCAAGAAAACTAGCTGCTGATCTGATGAAAAACACACAAGTGATAACACAACTTTTATGCTGGTGTAGCTTTCTACTAGTGTATCTATTTTGCAGGTTAGCTATAAGGATTCTTTGAAACCAATTCAGGAAGAAAAAGTCTCTTAGACATCTGATTCCATCTGTTTACATTTTCACAGATGAAATGGCCAAACCAGCAGCAGCGCCCAGTGGGATACGCACGCACTCACCTTTCTGAGCCATGAGGCAAAACTCTTCCTGAAGTTTTATGTAGTCTGTGGAGCTTTCCAAAGGATCCGATACAGGAGTGGGTGGGGTCTGAAATTCGATGTCTGCACAAAGGTTAGGATTAGATGAATGTAGTCGAACAGGAGACATTGTAGCACTGAAAGGAACCTAAATTGAAAATCAACAGATAACTCCAGTCATCACACTGACTCCATGAAAGACTAGAAAAACCTTATAATACCTAAATCATTTCTTACATTATTTTAGGCTTTATTATTATAAATATTTACAAAGTGTTTTTTTTTTAAATTGCCTTCCTGGTAGAGAGTCCTTTCTGATTTCTAACAGAACTCTGCTCTTCTATTAACTGAACTGGAATTTACTTTTCAAAGTATCAGGTTAGAATTATTTTATTTTTGTATTATTTTATGAAGTTCAAACCATATCAACACAATTAGTAGCATCCCTCCATCTCTAAAAGATGCACAGTTTTTGGCTTGAGTATTAATGTATTGGGCGAATGAGCCTATCTTAGTGATTGAAATTTGTATCACTCATTTTTGTTTTTTGTTAACTGAAATAATGTTCTTTTTATCTCCATACACATGCACTATTACCATGAAAATGTTCCTTTAACAATTGCCACCATTTTTGCAAGTGACTGAAGGTGATTGAAAACTATATCAAGTTATTTTTTTAAAAAAATAGCATTATGGTGCTAGTTGTTTGGAAATTCATTTTTAGGTGTGGATGCATTGTAGGACTGTATATGACACTGTATTTAAGCAGTATTTTACTATTATCTTAATAGTATTAATATTACAATAGTATTAACAGTAATAACATTATCTTAAAACATAAAACATGCGTTTAGATTATTTAAACAATGTTTATAAAACAAAGAAGTGATAACAACAGCACCCTTTTACAAACATCACAAAGAACATGTACTAGATTGTGAGATTCACATAATAGAGTGCTCCACATTTCAGAACCACATGTCATAAAAGATAAGGACAAGCAGCATTTATGCAAGTGATTATAGTGTGTGAACTTCCTACAAAACGTGAGTAAGCAAATCATGGAATTCCATCAAAAATCCTCACCTGGAAGCAGTCCAGCACTTTTGTTTATTTTGCAGCGAGTGCCAAAGTTAGACTCCTTTCTCTCAAATCAATGCTGATGCTTTTTGAACATTAATTGAAAAATACTTATGCTACGCAAGGAATGGATACAGTTTTCAATACACAGACAGAGCTAACACTTATAATATGTGCAAAAGCAAGAGTCTTCCAAAGACAGCAAAGTGCAACAAATCATATATTGGAGAGGAAGGAATAAAATAGTGGATTTTAATCAATACTTTCCGGAATTATTCTGAAAAAGCAGATAAGTGAATGGTGGCATTTTAGATATATATTATAATTCAATTAATGGTTTCAGTACACACTTAAACAGCTCAGTAAATTAAAAAAAGAAATTTAGTTAAGATTAATATTGAAGGAATACATCTCCAAATCATATACTATTTAGCTACACTGTTTTGGTGTCTAAATCGGTATAATTTGAAAATATACTGTAGTATTTTTATTTACACTAGCTTTCCTCCAAAATTCATGCTAACAAAATGTTCTTGAATTCAATCCTTCATAACTTGATGGTTTTCAATAATATCTGGAGGGCATGATCAAAAACTATCCTACATAATGCTTAGAATTAAGATTCTCTGAATATCTCAAAAGGCCCAGTATCGTATGCCATCTCACTTTTGATTATTTTCTAAAATATGTTTGCTGTACATACAATAGTGACCAAAATTGTGGAAACCTTTTGGGAAAAGTGTGCTTTTGAGGTTTGATGGCTAATAACACCACTCTTTTTTTTTTCTTTTTTTTTGGGGGGGGGGAGGTTTCAAGATAACATATTCCACTGCTGGAATGGCCTGGTAATAGCCCAGACCTTAACCCAATTGAAAATCTATGGAGCCGACTAAAGAAACTTGTTAGTCAGAAGCAGCCCAGCAATAAAACCCAGTTAATAGAAGCAATCATTCAATCTTGGTTTCACATTATAACAGCTGCAGCACTAAAAGACTTGGTTCACTCCATGGGAAGATGTTGTAAGGCCAAAATTCATGCTAAAGGTTACCCAACTAAGTATTGACTGACATGATAATTTTTGTATATCTCATTTCTTCTATGGTGATAATTTTTAATATCTCATTTTTTCTACGTGTTTCACTTTTCTTCTTTATACTGTAATTGCTATTCTTATAGCAAATCCTTCATAAAAGTTATTGCATTACATTCTTGATTAAATTATCTTTCCATTGATATATAATTTTATGGTACTACTCCAAAAAAAGTGGTGTTATTAGCTAGTTTTAGAAAATACACTTTTCCCAAAAGGTTTCCACAATTTTGGCCACTACTGTATATTAAATGTACATCGAATGTGTAAATTTTAATACAACACATATGTTCAATTTTGAGATATATCTATAAATCCTATCCTAAATATGTATGCCATCTGATATGCTCATAAAAACAAACACACTACAATAATATACATGCTATTCCATGGTATCGACATGCACAATGTAAGTAAAGTTAGATATGTAATTAATTTTATTTTAAAATTTACTCCAATTCAAATTGCTCATGTAATTTAAGGACCAATAATAGAAAAAATATTACGGAATACAGCTGTGCACACTTTGAACATGATACCAATGGGGTTTTGATCTCACCTAAGTGCAGCCTCTCTCTGCTGATCATTTAAGGTACCCCATTTAAATATCTTCTCTATAAGCCTGAAAACGTTATGCTGTTTAAGAACTGAAAGAACTTTAATGTGTAGATTCCTTTATTCCTTCACAAGACATCCTAACCTCTCCTTCCTAAGAGCTTTCAAAGCTCGCCCTGCCAATCACCCAAAAAAAAATATTACATAGTCTTTTGAAATAGTCTGAACAACAGCAACATAAAAAGTCACAGTACTCTATATTTCAGTAAGATTATTTCATTTTCCATACTATTTGAAACTGGACTAAAATAAAATTGTTACCAAGTTTTTAAAACCTGGACTGAAATTCTTATTTAGCTAAACTATCATTCTGCTATGTTTCTTTCCTCTAGGTATCTAGTTATTCTAACTGAAAGGTTAAGTTCCATTTAAGCTATTATCTGGAATCCCATTTACATCAACTAAGTTCCAATATTTAAGCCCAAGTCCAGCTGAAACTGAAAAAAACAAGAGGAATTTGCAATGTTATTGTCACATGCACAATGGATAATATTCAACTAGACATTTCCTACTGTAACAATACTTTCCCAATTGTTTTCCTTGGAGAGAATATAGAAGAGAAATGTATGATTACACTGACAAAGAAATCTAGATACCGTCCTGAGGTATTAGCACTGAACTGTAAATCTTTCCAGGGAAGAAATAAACTAGGAACTTCTCTTCAAAATGGAAGCAGGAAAGTGTTGAAAATTCACTTGTATAAATATCAGGGGTGAAATCCAGCAGGTTCTGACAGGTTCTGGAGAACCGGTAGCAGAAATTTTGAGCAATTCGGAGAACCAGTAGCGGAAATTTTGAGTAGTTTGATAAATCAGCAAATACCACCCTCTGGCTGGCCCCAGAGTGGGGTGGGAATAGAGATTTTGCAATATCCTTTCCCCAGGAGTGGGAGGGAATGGGGATTTTGCAGTATTCTTCCCCTGCCATGCCCACCAAGCCATGCCCACCAAGCCACACACGTCCACCAAACCGGTAGTAAAAAAAATTGGATTTCACCACTGATAAATAGGAATCATAGTTTGAATAAACTATGGGGAGGGCGGGAAAAACTTATAAGACTGAGGGCTAGGGCAACACACCTTGCCTTCAAGAGGCTTTAAAAACACTTCTCCAACATGGAGAAAGCATCTCTTGCAATGGCTTCCTTTGACGATGATAGGAGACAAGGACAGAAGAAGTTCACACGAAGTTAACTCATTCTCTGGAAACCTCTGGGGGAATACTGGCACTCCATAGACCAAATATTTATTTAGTGTATGCTCTTTTGAAAAGCTAGGATCTAAAGAGATGCAGCAGTTCCCCTATCAAAGAAACAACTACTAATATTTTTAAGATTTAAGATTTTCTTAATCTTGGAAATTTGAAATCAAGAAAATAACTATATTACCCAAGGATCAGAGAACAAGAAAAAAATGCCACTTATGAAAGCCCCCGTTTGCCACCAGAGCATATTTATACATCCAAGGGTACTTTGAATCCTTACGTTTTTGGAGTGAGGGTCACTGACTCTGAATAAATGCAAATCATACCTGAAAAAATCTAATTAGGCCAGAGAGCAATCTATATCTACCTCATTTTTAGTTTTAAATATTTATTTTTTAGCACACATACAACAGATCGTTATAAAGTAATTCTTACATCTGAATACAGATATGTATGTAATTATTTAAAACCAGTTGAATATGACTATTTCAAAGCTGACCTCTTTCTAACAAACTAGGCAAGAGGAAGAGAAGAGAATAAATTTTATATAGTATCTACAAACTGGACCAATGGTGGAATAAAGGTGTTACAGGGTATTTATCCTTTCCTCAAGGCTCATTTAAAATGTTTGTTTGCAACATTTATATTTAGCTTTTAATAATTTTTTGAAAAATTACTTAAGTTCATAATTTGTGTTCAGCACCATATCACTTCTAAATATAAGTAATCCTCAACTTATGACCACAATTAGCCCAAACTTTCTGTTGCTAAGCAAGACTGTTATCAAGTGAATTTTGTCCCATTTTATGAATTTAAGTTAATAACATAGATGTTAAGCGAATCTGGCTTCCTTATCGGTTTTGCTCGTCAGAAGATTGCAAATGTTGATCACATGACCCCAGGACACTGCAACCATCATAAATACATGCCAGTTGCCAAGGGTCCAAATTTTGATCAAATAATCATGAGGATGCTACAACGGTCGTAAGTGTGAAAAATAGTCATAAGTCACTTTTCTCAGTGCCACTGTAACTTCAAACAGTCACTAAACAAATAGTTGTAAGTCTAGGACTACCTACAATTTCTGATGTATTTGGTCAGTCTAGCTGCAAGCACAATTCCAATTCTTATTTTTTATGTTGAGAAGGATTTGGTTGTATCAAAGGTAATTTCCTACTAAATAAGCCTGCTCGAACAAGAAGTCCAGTGATATGTACAATAAACAGGTAGTTCCTCCAAAATGACTTTCTTAAATGTCTCAAATTTAAAATATCCTATATATAGAAAGTTAAGGAGGGAGGAACACTTTTAAAATTTTCTTGGCATCAAACCTGATCACTGCAGTAACTTACTTCGTTAGCTGATTTTTAATTTTATTGATATTAATTGTTATTTTAAATCACTATGTCTTGCTTTTGTCATTTGTAATATTCTACTGAATTGTTTCAATTATCTAATATTCTGTTTTACAGTGCTCATAATGAAATAAATGTATTTTATATATTAAGATGCTAATTAGCCACACAGTCACTTGTTACTTTAAATATCAGAAAATCTCATTACAGAAGTCTCAGGCATTCTTTTTTTTTTTTTTTTTTTTTTTTTGGCAATTCAGATTCATGAACTGACTGTCCCTTGGTAGTTGCGGAACTCCTATCAAGGGAGTCAAATGTAAATAATTAAATATCTTCTCTTTGAGCTATTGAATTATGTTTGCACTCTTTTACTTCCACTTATTCAAATTAACCCAACTTTATTTCATTGATTAATTAATTGATTGGTTCTCCTTCTATTAGATGTCTTAGTTCTTTAAAAAGAAAAATAATAAAATATTAACAATAATGGTAGTAATATGACTTTTTGAGAATGGAGCAGAAATGAAACTTATCTAAATAATGTAATATAACAAAACATGAAGGAATTCCTTAATGGAGCTAGTACAGAAATTTTTTTTCCCATTAAAAGAACCAGTATGACTTAAGCAACTGAACTGAGAACTAATGCTACTCAAATTTCATTGAGGTCACTCCAAAATGAGCATCAGAACTTGAATAGCCTTTTACTAATATTCATACAGCCTGGTATGTGCATGTATGTGTGTTTGTGTGTGTAAATACAACATATGTAGGCATTTGGTAGTTTTATTATCATTCCATTTTAGCTCATTTGGATTTTTTGGAGAGGGAGTTATTTATATAAAAAAAGGCAGGAGAAAACAAACAAACAAACAAATACATTTTGGATATATATATATATCTCTTCAGGGGGAAAGTGGATGGAGCAATTATACTAAGGTCATAATAATTCTGGTATTAAAACTCTTTCTCAGTAAGCATCCACATTTTAAATATATATTTATGTGCATGTTTGTGTGTGTGTGGTTTTCTAATTATACATACTATATAAATTTAATAATAAATAGTTTATGAAACTCAATCGCCTGGCTATGTATTTCTCTTTTGATTGTTGTTTTGGTGGTGTTTAAAATCACTATCCAAGAGGAAGCAGAATAATTTTTAAAAGGAAAAAAAATATTTACAAGCAACATAAAATTAAATTAAAATTTCGAGGTAAGCATTAGATAAATGAATGCTTCATATCAAATGTCAGGTATAATTTTCACACCATTAATAGGATCAAATCAATAATCAATAATTAATTGAAATGGCCAACATGTCATGTTAGAATGAACATTTCCATCAAGTCTTAAAACTTCTATCCTCACTGAACAATTCAAGCAGAAGCAAATGTATTAAAGCTTCAAGTTAAGAGAAACCCAAATTCTGAATGTGTTACAAGTCTATATATAAAATCATTATTTATAAATGTTTCCAATTTGAATTAAATTCTATGTTTGACTCGCTTTTCAGGTATGAAACCTCTGTATTTTCCACAACTTAACTTTGCCACTCTTCTAGAGAGGGAAATTACATGTGGTGATTTGGTATTTTTTAAGCCTTTCTTTCTGTTTAGCTCACAAAATTTACTAACAGAAAAGGGGCACATAGTCTGGGGTCACAAAGACTAGGGGGTCCTCCAAAATCTTGGGAACAGTCCCTCCACGTGTTGCTCCTAATTGCAACTTTTGCAGATGTCACGGCGAAATCCTAAACGCATGAGGATGGAGCATATTCATTATACTTAATTTAGTCTACATTTAATTTAAATCAACATTTTTCTTTCTTTCACTCCAGCCATTGATCAGTTTGACCCCTGTGTTGGAGGGTGCTTCCTAAAATGTCATTCAAAGGCATTTTAGTTGGGTCCCCAACTAAACAAATATGATGCATTCCTCCCATAGGTGGCCATGCATAAAAAGAGTTAATTTCTGTCATGGGAGAGGTGAATGAGACTATGAGAGGGAAGGAGCCAGGCTACTCTTCACCAATATAATAGCCACGGTACTAGCAACAATTCCTGGCAATGTTATGTATGTAATGCTTTTTACATACTGCTCATAATGAGCAATCCCATGGCTATAAAACATAAAAGAATTTAGCTCAGAAAATAGAAATACAACCCTTACGTGAGAAATGGCTATATAAACAATACAATTTACAGTCCAGTCAAACTGAAGGCTTTTTGCTAGAACCACATTTTCTCTCTCCAAAGTCAACAGGGTCTAAAGTCCATGAAATTTGGCTAGATTTTGTAGGGTGCTTAAACACACTTCTGTAAATTCCTATAAATCAGAGCTTTATGAGCCCATTTGTATTTGTATATAAATATGTTTGTATTCCACCACCATCCCCCCTTATGTGACAGCTCTAGTTTTCCAACCTTGCCCTCTAAACTTCCCCAAGGAGACCAAGCTCTCCATATGGTAAGTGCATGTTCAAGGTATACAGTTTCTCATCTTTAAAACTGGAGGTGCCTTGACTGAGGCGTCCACTCACTGTTGTAGCCACTGCTGCTGCTAGTCTCTGCCGGCGCCGTGCAGTACCGAATTGGCCCTTCAGCGCAGTCCCTTCCTGACAGGGAACATGAAAAGAACAGGGAAGCAAAAAGAAGGAAGAAGAATGATGGAAGGCAAGAAGGAGACAGATGATCAAAGAAAGGAAGGGTTGATTTTTAATGGAATATTCTTCCTAAAAATGCCAAATTCCATAACTCTCTGAACCTAAACAGAGACTGTCTATCTTATCCTACATCTACTGTACGTGTGAGGAAAGGAAAATTATTTTCTTCCCTCAGGTAAGATAATTAAACTAAATGAAATTGCATTGCTTGTTGTCTGGCCAATTAAGGAAGTAGGTAAACAAATCATCACATCTAGCTATAATTCAATATTGCCACTCTATGAGGAATCATCAGAATTTATCATCGGTCATAGTAGTAGAGAATATGTTGGTAGAGAAGAGTGTGCTTTGTTTTGTTATATGCAATAGAAATTCAAAATATTTGTTATGCAGCTTTCTTAGTACCATCTGACTGTGGTCAGCTATGTCTAATCATTTATCATGAAAATAATTTTAAAAAAAAGGTATGGGATGAAAAGACAACAAAAAACTAAGAATGTGACATTCAGATGATTTACTTTGTATTTCTAATACAATCACCTGGAATGCTGCTGTATGCTTTACAGGTTAGCAGGATGGCTACAAGAAAGGGTCAAAAAAGCTAAGATAGCAGCCACTACCATGCAATCAGGCACTGTCCTGTTTACATGTATCGTAAAGACTTTTGAGTGTATGATCGTGGCAGCTATCAAGACTTTTTGATCTCTCTGCAGACTTCCTGCAAGTTAGCTAGACAAAGTAAGCTCATATTTTAAGGTTTTCCAAACTGGCTATTTTCTACAATCAACCTTCTGTAGATTTTTACATTATTAACCTGTCTGTTCATTTCCTTTCAAAACTATTCTACATCCCCCATCCCCAAATAACACCAAACATTATATAACTAACTGTATGTTTCATCTACCAAAGGAGTGATGATTTCAATATTCCATCTAAGATCTACTGTAAAATTACCATTCCACAGCATGCAGCAAACAGTAGTTTTGCAGGATTATAACCAATTCTTTTTAAAAGCCACACCACAACTTTGTATGTCCAACTGATAATAAGAAAAGATACATAACATATTCCTACTTGGATAGGAGGCTTCCCCTATGTCTTCGAAGCTTTGTTCAAGTTAATTACATTTTTTTTTCAATCCAGAAAAAAGGGAGTAAGATTTAAGGTTGCACAAATCTTTGCTACATTCCTTCTGCACAGTTCTTTCATTTTATTCCTGGATGGTATGTAATATGAAGCAAACAGACTTTTATTCCTACACTGGATGTTTCCCTTCAGCATTTCTTGCCTCTGCAGCTCTATCCCTATAGGTCCTCAACAATAAACCACTGTTTAAGTGAAGTAGAGATAAGAATCAGAAGTAACTGATGGAGGTTGTGGGAAAACTCTGAATACAGCCAAAACTGATATTGAGTACAGTAGTTAGTACTATATTTTAGGTAATGAGGACAGAAAATAGGAACAGACAAGAGAGAGAAAAATTCACTTCCATTTTATACCAGATATGATTTAAACAGGTGTAGTGGTATGGGTGGCCTAGAGGTGGAGCTCTCTCCTCACAATCAGGAGGCTGTTGAGTTCAATCCTAGGTAGAGGCAGATATTTTTCTCTCTGTGCACAATGAGAATATATCTGCTGAACAAAAACTCCGCATTGGCGACAGGAAGGGCATCCGGCCAGTAAACACTCAGCTCCATTCAGTTGCCCAGACTCCACCCCGCAAGGGATTGCGTTTCAAGAAGGTGATGATGATTTAAACAGATGCTAATTATATCTAGAAACTGTTCTATTATGAGCCACCCAAGAGAACTGGTCTATTACAATAGGAGAATTTTGGAATTCTTTTCTTTTTTAGAAGTCACATATCCAAAAATAACTGCATGCAGCCTCTAATATATTTTTCCTATTTCAAATGGTTTTCATAATTTAGCAGCAACAATTTAAATTGTTGCATTAAAATAAAATTTGTGTCCAATTCTAAAGGGTAATGCTCATCTCCAATTCTCAGCTAGGGAGCCAGCATTGTCCAAAGACATTTCCATGGTGATGTAGCCAGCATGACTATACACCGAGGCGCATTGAACATTGTTACCTTCCCACCGAAATGGTATCTATTAATCTATTCACATTTGCATGCTTTCGAATTGCTAGATCAGCAGGAACTGGGCCAAGGACAGGCTCTCAACCCTGTTCTACAGCACTGGGGTCTTAAGCCCTGGCTGTCAGCTTTTCCAGCTGACCAGCTCAGAGTCTTTAACCACTAAGCCAACGCACCCCCCATCAATAAATTATTATTATTAAATCAGAACAGTCTTGCAAAATTAACATACTACAAATGTATTTATTTTTTAGCACATGGCTTATCATACATGGAAATAGCAATATATATTAACATTTTATCTAGATTAGCAAAACCCAATAAAATATAAATGTTAAAAGATCTATGTTCAAATACCAATATCTAGGTAATGTAACAATTGAAGCGCAGCATCATTTATATTTTAAAAAATCAGATACTGGGCTGGTTTATGTTCTCTGTTTACAGGCAGTTACGATGTGATCTATAATTTGACATGGGGCCCCTTAGTCACACTAAGGGGAGGGTACTCTGCCGTAATTATGCAGAGCATCCCTCTACATTAGAAATAGAAACAGTGAAATTAAAATTTGGATCCAGGTTTTCAAACCAATCCTCGTTAATCCTATATCTATATCTATATCTATCTATCTATCTATCTATCTATCTATCTATCTATCTATCTATACATACATACATATCACTAAAATATCAATTTACATAAAAATACAAAAATAAATACTGCAATATTTATTTATTTCTTTTTTGTTGTTTAATGTTGGTGACTTGATAGAAAAACAATCCGTCAGACTGTTGACTGTTATTCTAAAATCTTTCCACGTAATTTCAAAAACATTACATTAATTCCAAAATGTGCAAATTCTATAGGTCTCTGAATTATACCTTCTATATGGGAAAATTAAAATAAAGAAGTCACAAAGCAATCTAAGCAGAATTTTTGAAAGCATGGAATAATTTTAGGAAAATCCCTTTGAAATTTCTGCTATAAAAACAACAGCTCCATCACTGAAGTCCTGCACTTAGGCAAGAAAACCAAATATACAGCTATAGAATAGGTAATAGCAACAGCAATAGCACTTAAGACTTTACAGCCCTCTCTAAGCAGTTTACAGAATTAGCATATTACCCCCAACAATCTGGGTCCTCATTTTACCGACCTCAGGATGGAACAACCTTGAGCTGGTGAGAAGCGAACTGCCAAACTGCTGGCAGCCGGCAGTCAGCAGAAGTAGCCTGCAATACTGCATTCTAACCGCGATGTCACCACGCCACCACCAATATCTGGCCCAATAGTAGTAAACTGTTGAGAAGGATCTGGGTGTCCTAGCAAACCATTACGTAAATATGTGCTGGCAGTGTGCTACAGCTGCCCAAAAAGCCAATGCAGTCCTAGACTGCATCAACAAGATCACGAGAAGTAAAACAATCTAAATTTAGTATTCCTTACACAAAACATTAATTGAGATATATAACAAAACCACTGCTATATAAACACTTCATGCAAAGCATACCACAAACACAAAGATAGTGTTTAGATAGAACACACGTTCTCTCTTCTAACTTCAGAAAGAATACAATGGAAGTCATGATTCCTTTTTTTTTTCCAAGGAAGAAAAAAAAAATCAATATGTCCTGTACACTTATAAGCAGTTATCATTATACCTATATTATTGCTCTAAGCAGAAACCACTTATTTTCAAGCTTGCAATAGTCTCTTTGTGAAAGTAATGCCATTTTAAAAAATGTGAAGATATCCCACTTCACTCATAAAAGAAATGTTTATGAAGTTGTTAAAGTGAATTCTTCCATAAATAGTAGATTCTATTTTGCCATATTGCCATTTTTGCTATCAAGGTAGTATCAACAACATAGCATAGGCTGTTCACGTTTTTCCTCCAATTTTAAAATCATGACATACTTCAATCCAGCCACCCTTATTATATAGTCAGCATACAGATTGAATAAATAAGGGGAAAGTGCATAGTCTTGACTTATTCCTTTGCCAATCTTGAGACAGTCTGTTTCACCATGTCCTTTCTGCACTATGGCTTATGTGTTTATGAAATATAAACTATGGTTTACATTTCATAAACACATAAAAGTAATAGTCTTCTTTGGTTTGATCTCCAGTTGTCTATTCCCACTGTTTTTGGAAAGTCAGTCAATGATTCTCATGAAGATCTTCCCAATGACTGGTAAAAGTCCTAAGTCTCAGTGGCTTTTGCATTTGCAACTATTGCCATTTTCCAAAGTAGCGATTTTAATCGCTCATTTCCATGCAACGGAAACCTCCTCTGACTGCCAAATAATGGGAAACAGTGAATGCAGTCATTGAATTACATTATCTCTACCAACTTTGAATATCTTGGCTCTAATTCCATTCATTCCAGCCGTTTTACCATTTTTCAATAGATTTAATGCTGTTTCTATTTCATTAAATCCAGCATTCAAGACCTGATTTTGTGGCGCTTCAATGAGCAGTGGACCTACTGGTATCCTGCAAAACCTCATGTTTGTATAGTTGCTGGAAAAAAATTATATCCATCTTTGAAATTGTTCATTTGAAGATTACACATACCACATCTCAAATGTATATATAATTGTCTTTTCATTACTTGTTGAATTCTGCCCCCCCCCCCCATTAAAGCATCTAGGAAAACAAAACTTTGAACATCTATGCAAGGATGGTTTCTGATACAATATCACTTTTGAGTACATAAACCTTGCACACTGCTGCTGTGTATAACTGCTCTGTAAGTATCATAATTAAATGTGATTTCCCAAAATATGTTCACACCAGGAGTGAAATGTTACCGGTTCGGGCTGGTTCGCCAGAACCGGTAGTAAAAAATGCTACAGATTCACCGAACCGGTAGTAAAAAAAAAGTAAAAAAAAAAAAGTTCTGGCAATCAGCTGAGTTTTTTTTGTTGTTGTTGTTACTTTTTAAGCATTTTTTTACTATTGGTTCGGGCAAATAGGTAGTAAAAAATGCTTTGAAAAAGTAAAAAAAATGGCTCAGACAATCGCGCGGCACAGCTGTGATCATTGGAACCTTTTTTTTACTTTTTTAAAGTATTTTTTACTATCTATTCACCTGAACCAGTAGTAAAAAATGCTTTACAAAGTTTTTAAAAAGGTTCCTAAGATCGCATGCCACAGCTGATTCCCCCCCCCTCGCTATTCTACTTATCTTCCCAAGCCTCTTTTTGTTGTGTAGTGTGCATGCGTGCACAGGGGGCATTTGGTGTGAACTGTTCATGTGTGTGCTTGGTGCGCATGCGCAGCCAGACCAGTAGCAAACCAGTTCATATTTCACCACTGGTTCACACACAAAATAGACACATATATTCAACATGTAACTTATGATAGTGTCTTTATGCTTAGAGGAGAAATGATATGGTTACCAGATCAAGACTGTAAAATCCAAAGAACCGCTAGATCAGGGGTGTCAAGTTGTGGCCCGCAGCCTGGATTCATCACGTGCTGGCCACATCCACCCCCAGTTTAGCGAAGAGGAAAAGTTGTGATACATCATGTGATGATGATGCGACTTTGACACCCCTGCACTAGATGGAAATAAAGTTTTATAGTTATCTGCTACTTTCCAGTGGTCCTTTGGATTTCTGCAATGAGGTCTGGCAGTTCTAAGAAAGGACAAATAATTACAAAAATAATTTGAGCAGCAGACCTTAATTTTCAATTTTTAAAAATATATCAACAATTAAATATCCAGTAATTCAAATTCAAATTAATTTTATGTTTTATTATTTTTAAGAAATACTTAACCAAACCATAGTTAAAACAGTGAACTCAGTACCTGAAGCTGTATTTTAGCATCTTTGCTCACACTTTTTGTTCTCCATCTTCTGGTGACACGCTTGTCTTTCTTATCTACACTGTTAGCCTATGTTATAAAATAATTAAAGTAGTAAAGCATTGGGTTAAAGCTGACAAAGCTGACATGGACAATACTGCAAAAGTTAGTAACAAACATCGAGCATTAGCTGACTGCCAAACATAAGCAAAGTGCTAATCTATACATTATGGTACAGATAAAGCAAACATGCCATTAAAGACAGTTTCAAAAATAACAATTGCAGGACAATTCTTCAACCATTTACGATAAAGAATTCTTTCTAAAATTGGCTAACTAGGATAATTCCATTTCTCTTTTCAGAACAGTTCTTAACACGAAGAACAAAGAACAAAAGGGCAACTGAACATTAAATTTAGAACAAAATATGCAATTTAGGTTTAAAAATTATTTCAGCTGACGCTCTTTAGAGAACCTGACTGTAATAATGAATAATTCTGCACCACCTCGTGTCATACTAGAAGTTCATATACTGAGAATGATATGGCTGTTAGCAGAGAATGTTCATACAGAATATTTCAAATGCAAAATAGTATAAGCGAACATTATTTTAATAATTTTTAAAAACAATTTTATTTACCTGCATATCTGTGAAACTAGGTGCTGACTGAGTTCTCTGAAGTATTTCTAAGTTCTGAAGAATTTTACTGAGTTTTACAAGATTTGATTGACAATGTGCAAGATCTGACAAAAAAATAATAGATTTAGAACAACAAAAACTTACTTTAAGATTTTATTTTCTAGAGAAACACAAGATAATTTTCTGAAATGACAACATCTGAAACCCCCATTCCCCACTAACATTCCATAAAGGAAAGAAGATGATCACACAGTAAAATCCATAAAGTTCATGCCACAGTATGCTAACAGATTTTGGGCTTCCTTCTCTATTCCACACTGCTGTTAAAATTTCTTCCTGCATGTCCCCAAATCTTCTTAGAATTAACTTCACAGACTGGTGGATATCATGAGGGCAAATTATTCCATATGCAGAACAGAACAATTTATGTGCTAGTCTAGTGGGAAGACCCATTGAAAAAACTGCCTGGAAACACTCAGAGTTTTGGGAAGGTTTTTATTCTTTGATTCTTCTATCTTATTAAACTGTAATTCAAGGCAAATGGTGGGAACATCCTAAAATTCATTTTGGCTTATCTTTAATCCCTACAATTATTATTTCTGAGTTAAATGATAACTATTTTAAAAAATTTAAAGGATACATTGAAGTAGAAAGTATAAAATATGTTATTATTACCTATAATATATAGAAACTACAGAATTTTCAGCTCTGTATTACAGATATACATACTACATAGGAAATATTTGTTAAGTAGAAGTTGAGCACTTTTAACTATAAAATATACTAACATTAGAAAAGATTTTTGATTAGTCTCGAAAATCTGAATGTTGATGGTTCTTGGAAAAATGGCATTTAATTAAAAAGAGGGGGCTTCATTTTAAGTACAGCCAAGGGAGAATTCCTATATTTTTTTGCTGCATAACATACAATAAGTACATTTCCATCATAGCTTCAAGCTCTATTCTGCATGTAGCTCTATCAGTAGCAGTGAAGATTAAAGGAAGGAGGTACTGACCTTCTGCACACTTATCCATCTCCTCTGATTCTTGCAACCAAGCAACTACTTTACTTTGGCCAGTAGTACATGTTTCAGGTAGACTGCTACTGCAAGGGATAGACGGTTGCCAGGGGAAATTATTCTGTGAGACCTAAAGAAAGATATAGCCACATATATGCATATACCTGTGAGAATTCTGGGAGAAAAACTGCCTGTGATAAAAATAAAGTAATAATTGTTATTCTCTTCTTTAAAACTTGAAGCATGTATATGTCTGACATTCTAGTCTAAATTAAACTTAATAAGTATTTCAGTAAATGTGGTACAGGTAGACCTCAATTTACGACCACAATTCAGCCCAAAATTTATGTTGCTAAGTGAGGAATTTGTTACATGAGTTTTGCCCCCCTTTACGACTTTCGTTAAGTGAGTCATTACAGTTGTCAAATTAGTAATACTGTTGTTAAGTGAACCTGGTTTTCTTATTGACTTTGCTTGTCAGAAGGTTGCAAAAGGTGATCACATGACCCTGGGACACTGCAACCGTCATAAATGTGAGTCAGTTGTCAAGCATCAGAATGTAAATCTCATGACCATGGGAAATGGTCATTAAGTGAACTGTTGTAAGTCAAGGACTACCTGTACAGTGTAGATTCCTTTGTTGAGTGTGTTCTTCTTTTCAGTGTTAGTGTTACTCATATATAACGGCATCCATTTTCATTTGCATCCATAATGGAAGAAAATGAGTGGATAGCAATGTTGTATATTATAAAACAACTATGTATGAACTGAAGGATGGTATTCTTCCTGATCAAAAAAGATTATACCTTAGTTTCCAGCACTGTGGCATTAGTAGCTGGTGAAGATTCAGTGGTGGAAGTTGAAGGGAATATGTGGAAACTGGCATCCCGTGGCGATCGCACAATCTCATTCTGACGATATAATCTATGATGGCGCAACTTGGACACCCAAGCATCAAATGAATCCTGGGATTTTACCTAATTAAAAGATCAGCGTGAGTAAGGAATCCAATAATAGTATTTGATCTTCCTTTTACAGCAAAACTTGAAAATAAAAATTAGTAGAAATATTCCTTACTTTTAAATGGTAGATATGCTCCTCAGTGTCAAGATCTATCCTACGTGCTTTCTTTTTAATTGACATAACCGATAATCCCACATCTATGCTCCCATGAACCTTCCCTTTCTGAGTCTGAAAAAAAAAAGAAGAGTAAACATATGGACATTAAGAAATAAAAGGCAAAACTGGTAAATTATTGGTCTTTAGAATGGACGGACAGATGTAAAGCTTTCTGGGATATAATGCAAGGATACATAAAATAGCAAAAATAAGAAAAAGTTGGGAAGACATTATCACATGCTGCTTATCAGGACGGGATTATTATGTAAGAAGCGCACTGCTTTTTTTCCCACACATAAATATCAACATTTCACAGGCTGAGTAAATAAAAGATGTGGAATAATTATGTCTAAAACTATTTTAAGAACAAAACCAAGCAAATGACAGATGTTTAAATATGAGAATGAAAAACAAGCCTGTGGCTACAATTGAGATAATCTACATATACGCAAAAATTACACATGTAATTTAAGTGACATTTCTATGACAGCTACTTTCACTGCTAAATAAATTCAGATTAACACTGGCTCACCTATGTAATAGTAAAAGCTATAATGATAAAAAATGGCTAATATAACTCTGGCAAGATACATCATTCGTATGCAAATGCTACATCTGTAAAGATCAATTTATACTGATAAATAATAATAGAGAGTTTCTGCCCTCATGAAAATTTGTACCTATATAAATTCCAAAATAGGCCCGAAGGCGCAAACTACATAAATAAGCATAGTAACTTCTATTTGTCATCCATTGTACACATATTATAACTGAAAATAATGTTACCTAAATAGTTAACTCTTCCTCTGAACAAAATATTGACATGTTCTAAACCAATGTTCCCTTCCCGCGATTATACACAAAGGGAAAATTAATTATAATTTAAGATTGCTTTTGTGTTTTATGAGCATTTTGTGCTGAAACTCTTGTTTTATAAAATAAGTAACAAAATGTACTTAATTCTAATATATAGATATAGATATAGATATAGATATAGATATAGATATAGATATATAGGTAATGTATGAAGGTCTAAAGATGCAACAAAAACTAAATTCATCTACAATACTGTAGGCCTTGTTTGTTTTATACTGCTGTTTATTTAAATTGCTAGATTATGAAGTTTCAGCAATAATTATTTATTATTTTAATGTTTTTCTAGGCTACAATTTTTCCAATGTTTATATAATTACTGACTTGTATTATGGTAAAAATAATTATTTTATTATGGTCTACAATCACCTTATAATTAAAATAAAACAAAGTTACAATTTAAAATCTCTAACCGCTACTTATTAGTATGGTAAACCCTTGATTTACCAATCTTCATTAAAAATTGGTTCATGGAAGCAATGGAGAAAATTCATTTACTGTTTTATGCATCCCCTTTGCCATTTAATGGATATTCAGATCTAACAATAATCCCTTCCTCTCTATTGTTCTGTGAAATTGAGGGTTTGATGTATTTTGTAGTCCACTGAGCAGCAAATGGCACATAGAGTGTTTCTAAGGCACTTGACCTACAAGGACACAGGTGCTGCATAATAGGTACACTGATGATATCAATGAAATAATATTGCAAAAGGCAGAACACTGATCTGACCAAAGTAAAGTTACAAAGTAGTAGTATTAAGGCAAGAAGCTGGTGTGCTTTCTGTTTTAAATCTCAATAATTTAAGAGCCAGAGGGTGGAATTTACTGGCTGGTTATAAACAGGAGTTTGCCCTGTCAATCTTAGTTGGGGTGTGCTTTCTTCCTTGATGTAGGGAGAAACCACAGGAATGAGATTTCGTCTCTAGGTGATGAAATAACTGCTGGAAAACAATTCACCCCAGAGACACTAACAACTCAGCAGGTTAAAAATTGTCTAATTGCCACAAATAAAATCTGACAATTTATAAAACTGAAAAATCCAGAATGTTTGCGATAAAAGGAGAAGGGGGTGGAGCGGAACTGAATGGCAGGATTTATACCTTTTCTCTGCAGTACAGGAATGTCTGCATCACTACTGGAACTAAGCATCCAAATAATATGTAACACTCAGTTTTTAAAAAGCCCCAGGGTTACTTACATCAATTGGTGACTTTGAGTATTTCAACATTCCATTGTCCAGAACAAAAAAGCGCTGCAGGAAAAAAAATGTAGGCGATCACAATGCAATGGAGGCTATATAAAACTATTAATGAAGACATTAGTACACTGCATGCAGCAATAAACATCATTACAAAAAATGAAGAGCCAGGATAGGGACAGATTTTCATAGCTATGTGGTTGGTCCACACCAGCGTGATGGAACATAATCAATCAATCCCAAAGCTAAGTCATTAAAGTTGCTTTATGAATTGAGTTATGGTATATGGCAATACAACCCATCACTTTTTTTTTAATAAATAGCTCACAGGATCATATGGGAACAAAGTATTTTCAGAATGGATAAGAACAGGACCTATGCAGTCCTATTGAATAAGAAGCACTTATGTCCCCAGAGCAGAGAAAGGAAGGATCTATTGGCTCCTCAAACTAGTCTAGACAAGAAGCACAAAACAATGCTAACAGTACCTTTACTGTAAGGTTATAGAAATAAAATCTTGCAAGCCTGAAAGCACCTCTCACATCATTTTACTTTTTCTTTCTAGAAAACTAGGAAGGGTGCCTTCTGAGATGCTTCCTACACTCTTTTTCCTCCTCTTTTTCCGAGATACTTTGGCATGAGAGTTATCCAGTATGCGGCTCTTTCTCTTGCTTCCCAAGGTCATTCCAATAGACCATGACAGAATCAGACTGACACAAGCAGCACTGCAGCATTTGATGCAAACCCTGCCCCAGTCTATGTGCATTGTAATGTAAGGATATCTCAAAAAAAAAAAAAAGAAAGAAAGAAAAGAAAGCAGAGCTTAAGATGCAATACTGCTTTCATCATTCTGACAAAAGCAGCAAGATTCTGCAGCTTGTACCGATAAGGGGCCTGTCTGAATTTCTGAAAGTGACTCTGTTTTATTTGACAGAATTGAATCAAAGCATGCATGGGGCAATTTCAATAACCCTACTGAATTACTGCATCTGAAAGCTTGACTAGAATTAGGTTTCTGAAGGCTAGGGTCTTAAGAAACTTTGCTTGGTAGAACCCTTTAAATGAAGAGAACCTGATTTCCTGCAAGTCTTTGCATTGGGATCAGAATTAAAAAACACAAAGGCTTCATACTGAATTGATACACTTTTTATAAGAACCATTCCTGTCAAATCCTTCTGCAATCTCAGAGAAACTGATACTTTCTTAAACACCTACAATTTACCCAGTTTCATACATCATACTCAAGGATTTCTGTATTATCACTTCATTCAATAACTGATTGCAATGGAATCTGAACAATTACTTTTTACAATAATCAAACCAATATTCGATCAGACAGACAGATAGATGTTATTGAGTTTTAAGAAGAATAGTAAGAACTAATACAAACTAAAAGAAAACAATAAAGAAAGAAAAGAGACAAAAGAAAAAGCTAAAAATACAAAAAAAGTAAGAAGAAGGTAAAGAAAAAAAGGAAAGTAGAAAAAAGAAAAAAATAAGATAAAGAAGTGACTTCCAATCCTTTTCTCAGCAGGTGTTAAGTACAATTATATTTTAACCTCTCTCTCTAAGATTAAATCATTACTCTCTTCTTTCTGTAGTCTATATATCCTTTCTAATCATCCAAACCATAAACCATAAGTCCACAAGTCTATACTAGATACTGTTTTTTTTCTCCAATCAAATATGTCAATTTAACCAGTGGATTTGGTATTTTCTATTCCATACCAGAAATATATTTTACTCTGAATCACATATATCTTCGTAAGAGAGTACAATTTATATTTCACAGTCCATTTTCTCTCTTGCTTTTCCTCTGTCTCTGTGTATGTCTATAACTGAGTAAGACATATACATGCTGACGCAGTTAAATTTCTGTAAAGGGTATATGATCATGTGATAACTGATTGTTTCTAGCCCTACAAAGAACTGAGGAAGGTTTATTAATCATGTTCCCTTGAATGCTGATAGAATTCAACGTATTATATGAGTGCAAAACGAAGAAAGAAAGTGAAAGCCTCCTTCAGATTCTACCATTCAATTCAAGGTCAGGGACTTAAGAGGTAGGCATGGTTCAACGACTGCTAGTCAGTTTCTGAACAGAGTTCAATTTGCTACAGTTCATGATGAATTTTGTGTAATAATTGAAAATAACGGCACCTAACATGTTTTACACATATTTTACCTTGTGCCAGCCTTTTAAAGGCCATTTCCTTTTCTTCAGCATGAATCCTTCATGTTTGTCTGGCTTCTGGACATTAGTCTGGCCAATTTTCAAGCCCTCTATAATTTCCCAGCTGTCTGGTTCCTGAGGAAAAGGGGGCGAAGAGGAGGGAACAGAACCAAACAGATCAAAATTTCACTTTTGTGGTGCCTATTATTCAAGCTGTTTTGGCAACCCAGTGTACGTTTACATAAAATCTATCCCACTGAATTCAATAAGACTGACTTTAGTTAGCAAATAAATAAGAAACTGGATATTACGTAAACTACACTAAGAACAAGAACGTTCCAGAAGTATATGCTAAGGAAATTACTGCGGGAATTCTAAGGTTAAACTATATACCCCTATGAGGTACCAGTTTTGGCAGCATCTCATTCCATTCATAATTAATTGTGGCTAAAATCTCCTTAGTTCTATTTGGGCTTAGTTTTTTTCCAAAAAATGTTTGGAAGAAACCTGGTTTGTATGTACATATCTGAAGTTGTAGCAAGCAAAGATGTCATCCATTTGCAAAAGATGTACCTAGCATAACTTCTGGGTACATCAAGACACAATAATTCTAGGAGCAGTATTTCAAATTGTAACCAAGTTCTTTGATTGGAAACAAATGACGAGGGCTGATTTTAAGCATTCTGCCTAGCAATAACTATCAAAATCACGCTACTCATCATGTTCAATCCCTTAAGTTTTTATAATAGAACAGAGACTTGTAAACAGCACTTCTATGCATTACTGATGTAGTACAGGGATACATTGAAGGATTGTGTTATGCTGAATTCAGCCTTCAGTAAAAGGTTTTTCATTATATACAGTACCTTGCAATATTTATATCAGGGGTGAAATGCTCCCAGTTCAGACCGGCTCGGGCAAGTAGGTAGCGATGATGGCCGGTAGTTCAGAGAACCGGTAGCAATGGCAGCTGGAGGCTCCGCCCACCCGCCCCATTCCCCAGACTCGGGGAATGCACCATTCCCGGACTCCTACTGCTCACCTTTCTCCCGCAGCTGGCTGTCAGGGAAGGCAAGCGCCCAAAAGGTAGCGGAGTCGCTCACTCTCCTTCTTGAATGAGCCGCTCTGGTCAATGCACCGGCTGCACAAGCACACATCATTTATTTAATTCAGCAGCAGGTTGGGTGTGCACTTGCGCAGCCAGCCCATGGACCAGAGCGGCTCATTCAAGGAAGAGAGTGAGCAACTCCGCTACCTTTCAGGCGCTTGCCTTCCCTGACAGCCAGCCGCGGGAGAAAGGTGAGCAGTAGGAGTCTGGGAATGGTGCATTCCCCAACTCCGGGGAATGGGGCAGATGGGCGGAGGCGTGTGGTGAAGGGCGAGCAGGCAGCGGCTCTGCAGCAAGACCGGAGTTGAAGAATGGTGCATTCCCCGGACTCCTACTGCTCACCTTTCTCCCACGGCTGGCTGTCAGGGAAGGCAAACGCCCAAAAGGTACCAGAGTTGCTCATTTTCCTTCTTGAATGAGCCGCTCTGGTCCACGCGCTGGCTGCGCAAGCGCACATCCAACCTGCCGCTGAATTAAATAAACTGTGCACTTGTGCAGCCGGCTCATTCAAGAAGGAGAGTGAGCAACTCCGGTACCTTTCGGGTGCTTGCCTTCCCTGACAGCCAGCTGCGGGAGAAAGGTGAGCAGTAGGAGTCTGAGGAATGGGGCGGGTGGGCGGAGCCACAGGAGAAAGAAATTTAAAAAGTTTTCCTACCGGGTTCTGTGGGCGTGGCTTGGTGGAAGGGGGTCTTGTGACTGAGTGGGCGTGGCTGTGAGTGACATCGAATTGGCCATGCCCACTCAGTCACAGGACACCCCCCCACCAAGCCACGCCCACAGAACCGGTAGGGAAAAATTTTAGATTTCACCCCTGATTTATATACAAAATTATTCTCAAAATCTCATGCAGGTAGTCTTCAACTCACAACCACAACTGAGCCCAAAATTTATGTTAAGTGAGGCATTTGTTAAGTGAGTTTTGTCCCATATTACAACCTTTCTTGCCACATATGTTAAGTGAATCACCAGTTGTTAAATTAGTAACACAACTGTTAAGTGAATTGGGCTTCCCCATTGACTTTGATCATATGACACTGCAATCATTATAAATATGAGTCAGTTGCCAAGTGTCTGAATTTTGATCACATGACCATGGGGATGCTGCAAGGACATAAGTATGAAAAACAGTCATAAGTCACTTTTTTCAGTTCCAAGCAACTGAAGCAATCAATTAGGCTAATGCCTCCTACTAAGGCAGCATTTAACATCCAGCTGCCTGCAATTACTGCGAGTTCAATTCTCACCAGGCTCAAGGTCGACTTAGCCTTCCATCCTTTCTAAGGTGGGTAAAATGAGGACCCGGTTTGTGGGGGCAATAAGCTGACTTTGTATAAAAATATACAAAAGTATGAAGGCTATTGCTTAATGCATTGTAAGCCGCCCTGAGTCTCCGGAGAAGGGCGGCATATAAAAATGAATTAAAAATTTTTTTAAAAAAATTAACTCACCAAGGATCTGAGCTGGAAAGGATGAAGCTAGAAATGGTTCCAATCAGGGTTCTCACTTAATGATTAGATTATGTTAATGACAGCAACAGGGACTGTCATGATTGTGGTCACTAAGGAATGTGGTCACATGATGTCATGCTTAATGACCTGTTTAACAATCAGGCACCAATTACCAGTGTAATTCAAGGGCAACTATATGCTTCTTGTAGTTTGCTTAGTTTCATATGATTTGCCTTTGTTCTTTTGCCAGGAAGAAAATGCATTGATAGTAGTCATTCGTTTTTTCTTCTAGTGCCAGAATTTATGGAAGCAGATGTATTGTGTTTTCATTATATGCAGCACTTACAGACATTTTTATTTATTTGTTTTCAATTAACTAGAATAACTTTTAATTTTAAAAAGCTGTTTCTTAATCCAATCTTCCTTCCTCGTAATGCAGATGAGAAACACATATTTCAAAAAGCTGTAGGATATTTTATCTTTATAGTTTTCTCCAAAGATTCACACTTTCAGTATAGGGCTGAGCAACCTCTGTTAGACCTCTACAGTTATGAAACCCAGCAATGATGATTCAAGGTGGGGAAGATGGGGAGGATGAAAAAGATAAAAGTAGCCCTCGAATTATGACTGCAAATTGGGCCCAAAATTTCATTTGTTAAGCAAGGCAGTTAGGTGAGTTTTGCCCCATTTTATGACTTTTCTTGCAACAATTGCAAAATGAATCACTACAGTTGTTACACGTTAGTAACACAGTTGTTAAGTGAATCTGGCTTCTCTATTGACTTTTCTTGTCAGAAGGTTACAAAAGGTGATCACATGATCCCAGGACACTGCCACGTCATAAATATGACCCAGTTGCCCAAGAGTCCATATTTTAATTACATAATCATTTTTTTCAAAGCCATTGTAACTTTGAACAGTCACTAAATGAACTGTTGAAAGTCAGGGACTACCTGTATTAGATTCTTTAGAGTGAATTGATATAATTAAAGTGGCCACAGAAGGCACATGCAAGATCCACTTCAAATAAAAGTCCTTTAATTGATTTTTTTTCAAAAAAATAGTTTATAAATTATTTATATGCATGAAATGCAATCCAGAAAATATACTTTCAAGTTCTTTTAATATATTTTTTAAAATGCTTGTATTCTTTAAGCATAATCTGAATCATTCTCGTTTATCATCAATACCAGGATCACTATTTTTGTAGAAATGAAGATTATCTAGAAGAGTCCTCAAAGCAGACTTTAATGGAAGCACTTCAGTGCTTTGAGGAGTGGCACTTGGCTTATAGTATTGCTGCAGTCAAATGATTTGCATACCCTTATTGAATACCTCCAAGTATTAAATACATTCTCCAACCATCTACTTATGCAGGGACCAAGACTTTACTTACTTTAGATACAGCGACTGGCTCATTTTCTAACAACTGCTTCCCAATAATCAAGTCTGTGCTTCCAACAGAAGCATTGCGCTCTAACACATGGCCACTCTAAAACACAAAGAAAAGACTGGAGTACATTTTTGTGATAGAAAATACTTAGTTCTCATACATAAGTAAGACACTTTGAGGGAATGGAAACAAAAACAAAATATACATTTATTCTAATAAACAGAATAGACAAAGTATTTTCAAAGTTTAGTACTGACTGTTATTTCAGTCAGCATCTTAACATTCAACAGTCTTTTTCTGCCAACTTAAGGTACTATAATTAAGTTTTTTTCCCTAAAATTTCCAAAATTACATTGAGTTAATATAAAATGGCTTATGTCCACAGCTGTCTTGTCTAAAGTACAACAGGAGATTATGTACATACTCTTCTTATATAAAGCGAACATGTGTGAGACAAGAATGGATTCCCGTGTAGGAATATTATAATCGGGCTACAGAAATTCACACCAAGATATACAGAAAAATCTGATTCTTTCCCACATCCAGTAGTTATCTGGATTTTTGCTCCCAGATGCGATAATTATGACAGCAAATGCCACCCATAGTAGAGCAGGTCCATTAGACTTCAGAGATGGATATTTCAGGAAAAAACTTGATGAAATATCTGAGCACATTCACTGTATACACTATAACAATGTGAAAATTAATTAGGTCAAAGTAAATCAAACTCTTTCTATGCTTTAAGATAAACATGAGTTTGATCCTGCCTTGAGTTGAGTTGAATAAAATCTGTCAAGTACTAAAAAGCAGAATAAATTTATTTTTGATATATGTGTTTGAAAATACAAAGATTTGAATATCTGTCTTGCAATGTTCTGTTAAAAGTGCTTTCTTTTAAGGTAACTCAACTGTTCCTTATCAAAACATAATTTACAGAAAATTAAAAGAGCAGAATATTGAAAGACTCTTCTTTGGGTGCTTGATATTTGCATAAGGAAATCATGCTGAGTTAAAACCTCTTGAAGAAACAATTACACAAATACAAAACTTGTCAAAAGAAATTTACAGAAAGTTTGTGGTTATCTAGGGGAAGGTTGAGAGCAGTCTACTGGTGACACTTTAATTTGGACTTTTGCAAAGAGAATAAATTGGGCTCAATAAATTATTTGATCTCTTCCATCTGTATGATTCTAGAATTATACCGGTTAATCAGCTTCTGCCTGTTGCATGGCACCACTGGGCACAGCCCAACTGGCTTATTTATATTATTGATCCAGGAATATTTGTCAATATGCTACAATATATAACTCTATTTTTTGGAGTCTTTAAGACAATAATACTCCCCTCATCTATGTATGTATATGTATGTCTGTATGTCTGTATCTATCTATCTATCTATCTGTGTGTGTGTATGTGTGTGTGTGTGTGTGTGTGTGTGTGTGTGTGTGTGTGAGAGAGAGAGAGAGAGAGAGAGAGAGAGAGAGAGAGAGAGAGAGAGAGAGAGAGAGAGAGAGAGAGAGAGAGAGAGAGATATTAAACAGTAATGAGCTTGACAAGAGATAATAAAATGAAAACAATCCAAGCTAGGTGTTCATTCTGATACGGTATGCTATGATTTGGAGAATCTGATGTTTGTTATGTTTGGATGGAGTTACATTGCCTATGTAAGGTTTGAGAATATTCTTGGATTTGCTGGTCTCATCTGTGTAGTATAAAATGAAACTATGGCCAAGAACACTTTCACTAGCTGTATAGTACAATGACAGCAAATGACATCAAAACATTGTACCGGTTCATAACTTCCAGATCAGATTACAGTAATATGCTCTACTTTATACATAGTTTAGGAATTGCAGAGTCAAAATGCAGCAACCAGAATAGAGTCTGGGGTTAATAAAAGAGAATTTTATACCTTTTTCTAAGCAGTTGAACTTTTTACTTGTATTTTTGGAGAGAAATAAGTACTGGTTATCAGTACTTTAAAGCTTTAATCACTTAGGCCCAGCTTTAAAGATCCATTTTTTCTTATTGGCTTTTAATAATGTTTAGTTGTCTTAAATGTTTTAATGCTTTTATTTTTATTTTTTATATTATTTTAATGTAGTTAAGTTATTTACATTTTATTCTAACTACCTCAGCCATTTAGTAAGAATAATAGAGACAACATCAATAGCAAAATAGATGCATCATGAAAACAACTGAATAGCAAGTGTGACTAATGTTTTGTGGGAGACAGAAATTTTTCTAATGACAGAATTTAAAATGATCAAGAAATAAAAGACTAAATTAACAGATGACGAATGATTACTGGAATACAATACTATCAATTCGGCATCTTTGTAATGCATTCCTTTCTTAAACTGGAAGTAATTACGAGGGACTAATTTTGACATAACCTGGGGGTAATAAAACAATTTGAAACTGCTTGTTTGTGAATCATGGATCTCATTTGGAATTGCCACTGCTGAACCCTTATGTAAAAACAGAAACTGTTTTTTTTTTGGGTGTGGGTAATGACACTATTGAAAACCAGGCAAAAGAGTAATTAGTAATGCCTTAAATCACATTTTTAGAATTATTTTAAACAGTAATACTGCATATAGAATATAATTATCTTTCATCTAAAACATAAGTTTAGATTTGGAATTAATAATTAATATCCAATTCCAAATTACGTCTGTAAGTTCTGGCTCAACTCACAAAGATATATTCTACAAAGAATGATATAACCATTTATGATCTCTTCCTTATAGAAAAGCTAACAGCTCTCAAGGCAGCTCTGACAGGAAAATTTCCTCAGAATAGCAATGGGTCCCTTGTGGGAAGTCTTGGGAGAGGCATTCTTGAGAAGTAAAATGTCAGGCATTACAAGACCAATATTTCACTTTGATATACTGCTAGCCATTACCACCAGTATTCCAAACAAAGAAAAAGCAAAGGATTGATCCTATCAGTACTATTTCATCATAAGGAATCAGGGATTGGCAGCGGAGCATCTGAAGGAGGGTTGAAAATAACTCAATATTGTCAGAGGTGGAATAAAAAAAAAACCCTAACAATAGAACTGAACATGTTTCAACAGGGTAGGTGGAAGAATCAGAGAGACTGAAGCTTCGAGGATAAGGTCTCAAGATAGCAATAGAAGGGATTAGGCAGCTATATAATAATCCAGCATGAGTGGATACACTAGAATAATGTAGGATAAAATGGTACCAGTAAACAAAGAACTAGAGAACTCACAAAGGATTTTGCCATTATTAATTGCAGCTATCTTTACTGGAACATAATTTTATCCACTGACTCACTTTTATCTTTAAAAGGTAAAGTAAATAAAGAACGCCCCAACTAACTTGCAGGATTTCTATATCCATAATTAAAAGAACCCTCTTTCACTTACCTGCCTAGTGTCCCACTGGGAATATGATGAAGAGGAGTCAGCCTTATGTGATGGTGTGGAGGTTCTGTGAGCAGGAGAAGTTCCTTTCTCTTCAGAACTCATCACTGCAGATAAATTCTACGGGCCTTCTTTCACAGATCTAACACCACATTCCGTTCAGTTTTCCATGGAAAGAGGAAGCCAAGTGATTTTCAGCATTTCTCCCAGAGTCTATTCTTTACATGGGCAGGTCAGATTAATGTAAAAGGCATTCAAACCAAATCTTGAAGGAGAAAAGAAAAGAGAGAGTGATGGTGTGCTATGTATTCATGAATTAGCATGAATTAAAATGTCAAACAAAAATAGGTCTCTTAGGTTCCATCTATCAGACTTATGAAAAACATTTAATCTCAGTAAATAAATGGCAGTTTCTAGTCTTCAGAATAATTACTTTTTCAACAGCAGAATTTGTCCTCAAATGATATTGATTACTCTATTCCGATGATTTCCCAAGTGACACATCATAGTACCTTGCAAATGAATTGTTAAAATCTGTTTTCCCTACTCTATCCCATTTCCGCTTTTTGTCTTTGGAAACACATATATTGTAAATATTTAACAAATGTCATTCACAGAACAAGTTAGAAGCCGAATAATTACAGTAATCATAGCATATTTATTTTCTCCCCAAACATACCATTGATATGAGTATGAACATTTAGTGTTACCAACAAACAGCCATTTGCAGCACCTTCTCAATAACTTCGGAAAAAATAAACACAACTGCCTGTGAGATGTATATGTATATGCATATGCATGTTTTGCCTTTATTATTTTTCGTGGCAAGCATATCCAAGATGCCTTCCTCCTCCTATTTTCCACACAGTAATAACCCTGTGAGGTGGATTGGGCTGAGAGAGATGACTGGCCCAAAATCACCCAACTGGCTTTCATGGCTAAGGAATGGCTTGAACTCATGGTCTCCCGCTTTCTAGCCTGGTGGTGGCCTTAATCACTAGACCAAACTGACTTTCAGTAACAAAATATGTACGCTATGGACCATTTTCATCTTTACATGGTATACTATTCTATGTCTATCAGAGGATTACTAAGCATACAGTACTTTTTTTTATATTAGCTTCATTGATTAAAACAGACACATGTACAAATGCCTTTGATCCACACTTTACTAAAAGAAAAAAAAGCAGTTAAATAGTATCTGCACTAATTTGAGAAAAATCAAAACGTTCTGTAGTTTCAACTAATTCAACCATGGTTTGCTTTATTTTCACTTCCTCCTATAATCTCATAGTTTCAAAGTAATGTATGAAAGAAAATAGCGACTTCACAAATGGCTTTTAAAGAAATGAACAGAGATATTTTAGCTGATGTCAGTTTTAAGTCACCTCAACTCCCAAAATATTCTGGAAATGTTTTATCAAAAAAAAAAAAATTCTTAAGCAAATGAAAAAATATATATTCTAAAAATATACATGAAGAATACATAGTAAAATAAATACAGGCTTCATATATTGCTGTTAAATGCTGCAAATGAGATGCAAAAGGAAGACCAGTTAACTGTTTTGACATATTTATGTTCTTAGTTCATATACCATAAACCGTCTCTGACTAAGTCATATATTGGTCTCAGTTACATAGCGTTTAAAATTACTATGTCAATATTAGCATACCTCTTAAGAAGAAACACAAAAATGTTTTGTCCAGCTTTCTATCTATATTCCTACTTTATTTCAGAGTTATCCTAAGTTAAAGTTCTAGGCATCAAAATTCAAAAAACAAAGATTCCAAAGTATCTGGAATCATATTTCTTCTATAGCTCATCTTACCACTAAGCTTTGTCCTCCTCCCTACTTCTTTATTCACAATTATAACTTCGGAATAGCCTGTATTTTCAGACTGCAAAGGATAGATATAAGGCATCAAAGTATGTCAAATAAATGAATAAAGAAGTAGGTTTATTTTAAATCATTTTCAGAGCTACGCTCTTCAAAACTGATAGAGAATAGTAAGTTAACAGTAATAGGATGCAAAAAAATAAAAATAAAAACAAGATCTAAATATTATATGAAACAAATTCTTCATGAAACTTTGCTGCCAACTTAGGAGATCAAAAGCAGCCTTGAAGAGTTTCATCTAAATGTTACTGAGGAAACCATAAATTAAATCATTGTTTGAAAAGATTTGAACCATGATTGGATTGTCAGTTGTAAAAGACAAAACAATAGGGGGTAAAAAAAGACAGAATATGAAAGTCATAGGCTTATGAACAATGTTTGACATTATATTTGAATGTCATCATGGAGCACTGAAAGCTGCAGGTGTTGTATTGTTGAGTTTAACAGTATATGAAAGTGATCCCAATTACTCGAAGCAGTTCTTCCTTATTATCACAATCATGACTGAATCAACATTAAAATTACTAATGAACATCTAACGTAGCAGATAAAACTGATACACCATTAGCCTATACATTTTATTATCCTTTGAAACTAGTGTCCTTCAGTGGATTTTATTTTTATAAACAGAATCAATTCTTTAAAAAATGATGGCTGAGTCAAGTATTAGTCATCAGAGGTTATGGCTTCAGTTGTAATAAACAGCACAGCATACCCCAAAGGGCTACAAGAACAATTCTGTTTGTACTTTTCAAGGCCACTTTCAGATGTGTTTTAAATACTAAGTTAACTCTTTCACATATTCCAATGTCAATTAATTCCCAATCTACCTTGCATTAGTTTCACTTCATAAGTGAGAGTAAACTGAATAATTTGAGAATACAGTGCTAAATTTAGCAGTGAGTACCTAAAGGTTTAATTTGGTTCATAGTTGTGGAAAAATCAACAGAACAAAAATTGGTTTTCCCAAACACTGTTTTATTTTCAGCAATGTTTTTTAAGCCGTTGGGAAAACAAAATTCAGTGTCATGCAAAAAACAATATCAAAGCAAGGACTAGTGGAAGAAGGGACGTAGACTTGTACAGATAGTCCTCAATTTATGACCGTATGTTGAGGGACCATTCAAAGTTATAGCAGCGCTGAACAAGTTACACTTGTTGCAGTATCATCCACAGTCATGTGATCAAAATTTGAGCGCTTGGCAGCCTCCCCGAATTTATGACCACAGGGGTGCTTCAACTGCCTCCAGCCACCTATATCTCTTTTCCATCTATGCCCTTTTGGCTCTACACCACCTTGTGTTCTGCCACCTGAGCCGACCTTTACTGTATTCTTGCCCCCACCACTGACAAAGCATTCCTGGTCTAGTTACTGGGCCAGGCTGGTGTTGGTTTAGTGCTATGAAAAAGAAAAAAAAAAGCCCCAGAGCCACAGAACACCAAAACTCCCCTTTGTGCCACACTCCTAGGCCAGGCTAGGGCTGGACTTCAGCTGCAAAGAAAAAAGAAAAGAAAAAAGCAACCCAGAGCTATGAAATGTCAAAAAGCTCCTTCACACCATACTCCTGGGCTGAACATCCCAAAAGTCTAACAGAGTTTATTAAATTCATTGAGTTGAGATGACTATTGGAGTAGACAAAGAAGAACTGAGTAGTAAGTTTTCCTTAACACCCACGAATGAGAGTGAAGGTTACACCCACACATAATCTTGCTGTTTAATAGCAAATTAATCTCCAGTAAATAATACTGAATCTTTATTCGTTAGTATATAATGAATTAGTATCACCATGCATAGCTTTTCAAAGAAAGTTTGTATAAATTACTAGTACAGGTAGTCCTCAACTTACAACCACAATTGAGCCCAAATTTTATGTTGCTAAGTGAGACATTTGTTAATTGAATTTTGTCACATTTTACCACCTTTCTTGCCACAAGTGAATCACTGTAGTTGTTAAATTAGTAACACAAACGTTAAGTAAATCTGGCTTCCCCATTGACTTTGCTTGTCACAACAAGGTCGCAAAAGGTGATCACGTAATCCCAGAACACTGAAACAGTCATAAATGAGTCAGTTGCGAAGCATCTGAATTTTGATCATGTGACCATGGGGATGCTGCATTGGTTGTAAGTGTAAAAAACGGTCATAAATCACTTTTTTCAGTCCCACTGTAACTTCAAATGGTCACTAAATGAACTGTTATAAATTGAGGACTTATCTGTATTATTTGTTAGTATGGGACTACCCAACAATTAGATAAAAGGTTCCTATTCTAAATTGCTGCTTGCTTATTACAATGGACACACAATAAAAGCTACATCATTAAATGTCACCTTCAGAATGCCTATTTATTTTAACATCAACCACAGATCAAACAGGTCTTTAAATACATTTTTTTTTTAAATTGTCAGTTGTCTGTATGGTGTGCTATGCCTTGTCTGACACTAGCTTTCTGGAAGTCTGTGGCATCCATCATAATTTAAGTTTCCAAACAGAGATGATGCTTTAATTATAGACCACATATCTTTTCAGTGCAAAACATTCCTTTCCTAATGTAAGCTTTTTAACAGCATGCCAACAGTTCCTCGCTCTCTTCCAGATTTGTGCCAGAGAAAACTCTAGTGGGTACAAACAAGTATTTTTGAAGGAAAAACCTTTGACTGCTTTAACACTATCTCAAAGTGTTAAGAAAATACCATATTAAGTATCATAGGAAGGGCCTAGATGAAACAGTTGTCATTACAGCACTATAAAACCTAAAAAGACAATTTCTATGATAATTACAACAGCTAATTCACCAATAGAAATAGATGTACTCTGAGTCTTGCCCTTTAGAAAAATCCAGACCTGTTTTGTATTTCTAATTAGATTTCTCCTGGAAGAAAACGATAAGACATTATGATATAATTGTCAATGCAACTCAAGATGCAAAGATTACAAATCTTATACAGCCTATGAAAATAGCAGAGACTAAGCAGATTATTGATTGGATTTGTTTTATATCTCACATGACCTCCATTTTACCCCCCAATAGAAACTGTACAATAGATTGAGATGAGTGTGTGTGTGTGTCAGTCTTTACTATTTTTTTCAGCAGTGAAGGTAAAACCTAGACGTCCCCAATTCCAGACTTTAATCCAATACTGGACCACCTAGCTCTCTAAAACAAACATATAACGAACGAGTACAGGAGAAAACCCAGATGGACAGCAGAATGAAGAGCACTGCATGTTGTATAGTATGGCAAGATTTTATTTCATCATTACAATCTCTGATCTTCTATAAATTGTCTGCACCAGCTATAGGATACTGGCATGGAAAAGCTATTCTGCAGGTGAATTTTCATATGAAATTATAAATAGGCAGGGA